TGGCACTCTGCTCCATATGCCTGCCATGCCATTCTGGAGCCCGGGCAGCGAGAAGTGCACGAGATGCAGAAAGTGTGACTGATGCGTGCAGCCCTGCACCTAGCCGCTCGCCCCGTGCCCCAGAAGGTTCAACGCAGCTGTCCCGTGAATGTAAATCATGTCAAGCCTTGATTCGGCACCCGCTAAGACCTGAACCACCCCAGAGACTCCAGAGGAACCGTACCGTGACTCTGGGAGAAACGATCCAGCTGCTCGGAGTGCAATTTAGGGTTTAGGGTTTAGGGTTTAGGGTTTAGGGTTTAGGGTTTAGGGTTCTCGGAGTGCAAGGATTCGGGAAAGCCGTCGCGGGCGGCCCAAGTTCTGCACCTTCCAGGGTCGTAGGTTGGATGAAGTTTTACAGACGGCTCAAGTAAATGAACAGGCAATGACTATGAAGCCAAAGCAAAGCTATGCACTTAATTATGCATATATATATATATGCTATATATACTTATCTATATGAATACTATATGTATATATATATATATTTGTATACACACAGGTATACCAGTACAGGTGTGTGGCACGCACCCTCCCGCTCAATGTGACTGAGAGTTGCTGCTATCGAACGTTGTCTCCATGGGGGGCCTGGTTCTCTCGAACGCCATTTGTTTGAAAATGCAGCGGCACCCAAACCTTCACGGGGGAAAGCCTAGGTTTAAAGCGGACCTTCAGCTGCGTTGCAGTACAACTACGGGGGGCAGTGACCCGGACTGCGACTCGGCTCTTCTTCATTGGCCTGTGCAGGGAAACGGCTCCGCAGCTGAGTTTATAGCTCAAGGTGAGCAAGAGATTGCAAGGGTGGTCCTGGTGATTTGGAGAGTTTGTGGTTTTCGGGGTGACCACTGTACCTGTCGGGTCACTCCAAAGTCTAGTGCATGTCCCTCCGAGTCCCATCCAGAAGTAAACGTGGCCCCCTAGTGCCTCAGTCCGGTTCAACCTGAAACGCAGTGCGGCACGAAAGGACAGTGCGCAACTCCTTACTTCGGAGAGTTCCCCCTCTGCCTCCGACTCCCCTCAGGTATCCACTCAGATAGCTTTCCGCCGGTTCAACAACGACTCCGGGTGGCCTTCGCCGGCATGCTGGCGTTGCCCCAGCACTTTGGCGACAACACAACGCTTGGAACACACAGCACGCGTGGGCGTCAGGGGCGTGGGGAGCTAGCAAGAGTGCTGCTTCCATGTCTCAGAGTCAAGCTGACAAGCTGCACGGAGCCCCCAAATCTCAACTCTAAGTTTTCCTGCGCCCACTGCACCTCAGGCATGCGATTGACGTGGAAGGCCAGCGACCGATCCGAAACCCATTAAGCTCCCTTAGAGAAAAGCAGTGGCCCTCTCAACACACGGCCAAAAAGCTCCCGCATCTTGTGGTCCCCTCCTCACACCCCCCCGTCCCCTTCCTTTTTGTTTTGGTTCCTCTCAACAGGAAGCACGGGGTGGTTTGAGAGCTGTCGCTGTTAGAACTGGTGCGGTCGTGGAGCGATGGTGCAGTCGCATTCCCTTCTCAGACAGTCGCATAGCACGTGTTCAAGAAAGTTGAAATGACGGACCGCCCCAATCCCTAGATGTCTTGAGGGTGCTCAAAGAAGGGACCCCATAGTGGCGAAACGGAGCCAGATCCTGCGCACACTGTTCTTCCTTGTTCTATTCACTGTTGCCCCCTTCTGAATCCTAAACCCTAAGCCCGGATTCCTACACACGAATATGTAACTGCGCCCTACAAGGAGGGCCCCCCCTTACTATACTACCTGTAGTTAAGGGACTTATCACCTAATTTAGGATCCTTATAACCCAATTTAGGGCTCTTAGAACTCTACGTATAACTAGGGGGCCCCACCTTGTAAGGCGCCTCTGAGCTTAGGGTTGGCAGCCCAAAGCTCCATTTGGGAGTGCAGGAGACTACCAATTCTTTGGCCGTCGGCTGTCGGAGGACTCCCGGGGGCCCGAAGCACTCCATGGGGGGGTTTTGTGGGGCGGGTTTGGGGTGTCGGGGGTCTTAGGGTTGAGGGTTTCCAGGGTTTATGGGGTTTATGGGGGGTTTCTTCGGGGTTTAGGGGCGGGACCCTCTCTGAATCTTTTCAACTGGAAAAGACCTTCCATCCAAAGACCTACAGATGTCCGAAGAGGCCATCGCTGAGAAATGCATATCTGGATGTCCGGACGCCTGGGGTGTCAGGCTAGGCTAGCATGCCTGTTCGAACTGCTTGCCCGAAGCCAACGCGAACTGACATCCGGCTGAACCCAAACTGCTGCTCCACGTAGCCCCAGCTATGCCCTGGACATCAAGCTGGGCACAGGAGAGGAGCGACCGACGGCTGCAGAGCACGTTGGCTCCCAACTTTGTCATCACCATCAGCCTAGTGCTTTGGCTTGAAAGTTTTGCTTGCATTTGCCACAGGTGCAGTCGCCGTTCAAGTCTTTGCACAATTCGTGAAGGTGGTTTCAGATGCGTCGCCTTGATTTCCAGTATGTTCCCACATGTTCTGAAGCCCCGAGAAGTGTACCAAACAACAGTCGTTGCCATGAGGTTGCCGAAGATCCGGCACAAGCCTCCGTGTACTCCAGTGTCCAAGCTATCCTCGAGGACCGCTCTGCTTACAGAATTCTTGTGCAGATTGCACTTCTCCAGGGCTAATGTATGGGTCCATTGCCCCAAGTGCCCAAACAAATTGGCGCTGTGGCCGCCGGAGTTCCTGAGTTGCTGAAGACACCCATGCTACGAGTGACCAGAATGAATCTTAACCTCACCTTCCGATCTTCGCAACAGAACCGAACTTGAAGCCAAAAGAACAAACACGACAACAGTCTGCAGTTGGGTTGGGCAAAAACCCAAGGCATTCAGAATCAGCGCTCTGGTTGGTCCTTCCCTTCTACCACTGCACCATCCAAGAAGGTAAGATACGCACTGGCCCTAAGGCAGCTGGAAATGGACAAAGATTCCTAGGCCAGGGCCAAGGTTTTATAGTTCTTGCAGCTCTGTATTGTATATAGCATCAGACCCCCCCGACAAAACTCGCACTTGGAGTCACGCGCTTAAAAAGAATGTTGCATACATGCCGGTTGCAATGACATGTTTCATCTCAAACGACTGGGTTACGCCTCCCGCACAAGGTGTTGATGCCAATGCATGTCACAGGCACCTCCCCAGAAGACTCGACGCAAGGAATAGGTGAGCACCGAATTGGTTGGTAGTCTATGGCCTTCCAAAGAGGAGATGCGCTTGGACCCAACTGGCCTGGCCAACACGCTGGCTGCGAATTACGACGCCTGTTTATTTGAGTTCTCTAGTGTCGCGTAGCATACAGCTTCGAGCTGTTCAAGGAGTTGTGACATCTCAAGACATCTCAAGAGGTTGCTAGTCTAAGAAGCGAGATTGTGTGGGGAAAGGTGATTTGGACGGTTTCGATGTCCTTGCATTCGTCGTGTGCAGTGGGTACTGGCGACGGTTTTCTTGACGATCAAGACTCTGGACCCTTCATTTTTTTGGTTCAACCACGTCGCTACGTTGCTACAGCGCTCACTGTTCCCGAATCACGCAACGTCCAGCCGCCGTGTCTTGGACACCATCTCTGTTGCGTACGCGAACCTCTACTTGGAGGTTCATGGTACTTAGTAGCCCAATTGTAACTGTACTTATAACCAATTATAACGCTGACCCTATTCGGGTACTTTAAGGGGCTTAAGTGGGCCATAATTGCACTTTTAATTGGTTACGAAGCACCCTGAACCTCCAAGTAAGATTCGCCCGAAGTTCCCGGACCTCAAGCTCTGCACCGCACTCCATGGCTTTTCATTTTCGACAGTCTAGGCGGTGTTTTAATCGGACCAGGATAGGGAGAGGGAAATCCTCTTGGGTCCGCAACTGAGAAGCAAGCATGCAAGCACATTCTTCTACACACGGCAGGGTAGACGCTGCATGAACACTGCATGACGATGAGAGAGCCTCTTCGGCCGTATCATCAAGGACACGAATTTCTTCGTGACATCTTTCGGAGGACTCACAGGCAAAGAGTGGGCAGAGTCGAGTTGCCTTGGGAACATAGTACGGGAGTGCGCATGTCTGGCCATGAAGTGAAGGGTTCGCGAGTACCATCCGCCTTAAGCCTAACATGCAAGGCCTTCAAAAGTGTGAACGATGAAAGGGTTCGGAAGGCATGTTGACTCTTTTGAATGCAGGCGGTTCTGTGGACGAGACCAGAATTCTTCCTGCAGCCACCGGATTGCAGTGCCGGTTGCAGGTTTGCACTTTGAGAACGGGGCGTCATGGGTAGCTTTCTGCTGTTCTGAGAATCCTTGGGCTATGCAATTTTTTCTGAGAAGTCGAGGCAAAAATGGCGATCACGACAACCACGTCCCAGCGACTCGTGCATGACAGGGAAGCCTCAGGCTTGCACGGATTCTTCAGGATATAGGCCAGGAAAGGACCGGGTTTAGGGTTTAGGGTTCAGGGTTTAGGGTTTAGGGTTTGAGGAGTGAGGCGCCTGGTTCTTGGTTCAGCAGAACCAGATGTTGTCATGTCTGGTTCGTTCAGGTTTCATGAACATGTCAGTTGACGGAGGTCACCATGCAAAGCTCAGAGGGTCTTATCACGTCGTGCCCAGCTTGGAGCATGGTGAGCACGGTAAGTTTGGGGTTAAAAGATGCACCCAGTGTACGGGCCGGGTGTCAAAGCAAACTTAGCTTTTGGAGACATGCCATGTTGCTCTGAAGCCATGGTCTATAGTACCCAGACACGGAGCTGAGGCCCTAAACCCTAGACTCGAAGCCTTAAACCCTATTGTAGTCGAAACTACAGTGGCCGCTCCTACTCTAAGCAAGGCCTTTTCTTCCTTGCTGCCGACTTGAGCCACCGCATGGTGGCAGCATATATCCTGAGGGAAACTTCGGAGGAAGCTCCTTGTGCAACTCTGCTTTCCTGAGGGAAACGGTTTGGGAATCAGCCTCAACACAAAACACACCGGTCACACTCTAAATTCCCAAAACGTTAGGAACATACTCTCGGAGAAGCGTCTTGCTTCCCGCTCCAGGGCCTTGGCCTGAAGAGCATGTCCTTCCTCTGCTATCGCCCAAAAACCTTTGTCAAGAACGTATCTTAGATATGTTCCTGGATGCTGCTTCGTAAGTGGATCCGATAACATAGATCTTGTGTCGATCCAGCGGATGGTTCCGCCTGTCTGTGCCAAATCTGCCTTTATGACTGCAAGGTCAATGGCAGTTCGTTTGTCGCTAACATACGAAGCTGTACACGCGCATTTGTTAACGGCATCAAAAAGAGATTTGGAGTCCACTGCAGCAAGAAAAGGTAACCTACCTGCTACTTCTCTCCAGTCACTCGCCGAAAGCATGCCGTAAAAGGCTTCCATGAAGAGTAATCGGTGCCAGTGAATGCTGCCGAGCCCTGCTTGTAGAGCTTGTCCTTCCGCAGCAAGCGTGTCCACCGTCTTCCTCTTCAGCCGGTAACTCTTCCACGAAGCCACCGTAGCCATCGCCGGCTGCTCCGTCTCGGAAAGAGAGCGGTCGTGGTACAGGATGATCTGGCCACCCTGGCTGCTGAGATTCTGGAGTTGGGCGAGACTGCTGTGGATCTTCTGGTTGGTGATCTTCTCGTCGTGACATTTGTTGAACACTGTCCTTCCTGTCCACGGTTGGTCTTGAAGAACTCGTACTCCATGGCCATCGGACCAGTCATCTTCAACTATGCCACTCTTGATCTCCCCGTCGGGCTCAGGAGCGAAGAAGGAGATCTGTCTCTTCCTGTCCAGGCTGTGGAGGTCTGGTCCACCTGGCGCCGCGCCAGGGTGGAATGTCGTGCGCCTTGGTTGAACGTGGTGCCTCACCCACTCTCCTTCGGTTTCTTCCCAGTAGTCATCGGGATGGTCTTCAATCCAGGGCTGATCTCTAGTGTTACCCCAGGCAGCATCCGTCACTACCGAGATGCGCAGTCGTTCCGGCGCAATCGGCATGACCTTGATGCCAAGATGGGCGTACTTTCTAGCCTCTTCACTGATCTTGTTGGCTTCGACCAGGTCCTGAACTCTGGGCTCTGGGAAGGCTTGTTGCAACAAGGCCACTCTTCCGGCAATATCACACCGGGTCTCCTTTGACAACCAGGATAAAACACCCAATGAACTTCTCAAGGCTTCAATTTCTTGGGGGGTGCACTTGGAATACCGTTGTTGCTTTCTTTTTCGGGTCAGGGCTATGATCTGGATCTTCTCCTTCACGTAGAAGGCCTGACTCACCTTGATGGACCCGTCGGCCTGCAATTCAATGTCCTTACCAGTGAATCTGCCCGTGCCCCTCTGGTTCTTGCCTAACTTGTACTCGGCGGCTATGCTTGCTATCTTGGCCCAATGTCTTTCGTTGCCACCGTGTAACAAGTCATCAGTCGCAACACCGATGACACCTTCAAGTTCAGGGTTTTCGGGATCAGCACCGCCATGCAAGAAATACAGACACGGATCTGCTTGACTTGCCTTGTATCCTAGTTGTCTGAGCTTTCGGTCGAGATGCTGGTACCAAGCGTAAGGCCCGTCTGTGAGACCATAACAAGTTTTCAGCAGTCGCAACAACTGACTTGCTTTGGCGCCTGGTATGCCCTCCTTCGGCTGTTTGCAGTAGAGCTCGCGCTTGATGGCATCCCCTGAATGAAAGGCTTGTGTGAAATCCAAGAAACCTGGATCCCAACCCAAACTGGCGAGAACTTGAAGCAGGAATATCACTGTATCCCTGTTGATCTGAGGCGTGGTGCTTTCAACGTCCAGCGCCGATTCTTCTGAGTATCCCTTCATGACATGTCGACACTTTGCTTTACAAGGGCCATGAGTGTCATCATTCAGCAACAGCCCTTCACTCTCGGCGCCGGCGACCTCTGCTGGCTCCAAGGGCTTCTTTGTCAAGACGTATCTGGACTCCATCACTTTCTCTGGCTTCTCTCTGAGAATCTGCTCGGACTCAGCTGAGCTCAGCAACTCGTACGCCCTGGTGCCGAGATTGTTGTTGATTTCTTTCAGAATGGCTCGCTGCAACTTGACCGCATCCGCTCCTTTGAAGTCGGTCGCTCTGACCTCCTTCTTTTGTCGAGCCCTTGCTAACGTTTGAAGATGTAGAGCATAAGCTTCAAGAAGATGTACTCGACTACGTTTTCCAGGAGGTTCTGGCTCTCTGTCTTCTGGACCCCTCTTGTTGTCAGCAAACCCAGACGACCCTGTAGCACTTGTCCCTGAAGAACCCTGGCCTCGCTCGTGGTTCTCATTCTCTTCGACGTCGATGTCGCGGTCGAAGAGCTCTTCACCTGGCAGGAAGGGAAGAGGGCCTACAGGTTCAAGAGCGGGAACTTCAGGTTGTTCTCTTTCTGGTTCACCTCTCGGTTCGGTTGGGGGTTCTGTAAGACCAGGAGGAGGCCCTAGTGGTTCTTTTGCATGTTCATATTCTCCGGTTTTCTGTCGTACTCTACGCAGAGGAGGGACTCCGGATACTGGTTCAGGGTCTTGGAGAGGACTAGTATCATCATGTGGTTCGTTGGCTTGGAGATCATCTTCAAGTTCGCCCGGCATCTCATAGTCTCCTGTTAGGTCTACGAACCCCTTCTTTGGAAGCTTCTCGAAGTCCTGCCGGGTTTTGGAAATACCACGCAACCAACCTGAAATGGACATATTCTCTTCAGCTGTTGCATGTCGAACACGTTCAGGGGCTGCCTTAATCAAGGTGTTGCTATAGGCGATCCAGATGGCATTGGGAAGAGATGTCATCACGATTCCCCCAGGCCCAGTCCAATATGATTGCCTCGTCTTCTTTGTGCTTCCAGCGCCCCTCCGCCAAAAGTAGACTGCCTGGCCGACTTCGAAATCGCAAAGCTTACGTGGCCCAGCTAGTGTAGCGGCTCTCAGGGCTTGGTCACAGTCCGATTCATGAAACGCTACAGCAGCCGCCTTTCTCATCTTCATGGATCTAGTCACGTCTCTGTCTCCCATGACAATGCGGCCTGCCATGGTGTGGTCATCTGCGCCACCAGTCAAGAGGCCACCTGGCAGACGAGGTGTGTATCCGATCACGCGCTGGATGGGAGAGTAACCCCCTCGAAGAAGCAACCTATTTCGTGTCATACAGGCTACGTCTACAAGTTCTTTCCACTCTTCTCGGCTTTGGCACTGGTAGTCGAGCATGGACTTGTAAAGGATGTTCTTGAACACTCCACCGGCCCGTTCTGTGAGGCCTCGTTGAGTTGGAGTTTCCAGGGAACTTGGCAACGCCTCGCTTCCATCGTTCTCCACCTGACGGCGAAACTCGGCTTTGAACTCTGTTCCCAGGTCAAACATAACCTTGCGGGGCACCCCGAAGAACCGAACCCACTGCCGATACGCTTTTCTTACTTCAGCTGCTGATTCTTTGTCCATAGGGATCACCAACTGGAAGTGTGTATGAAAATCAATGATGTTCAAGGCTGGTACAGCTTGATTCTGATGGTCACGAAGATGTACTGTGTCAACCCCAACCCATTCATTGATGAAGAGTTCTTCCTTGGGCGGTGCGCCTTTTCGCGCCGGATCTGGAAGCTGATATGCCTCACAGGTGGAGCACCGGAACTGCTTGGCTGCTTCGATAACTTCTTCCGACGCTTTAGACTGCCTGAGAATACGAAGAAAACGACCATGCTCAGGATGTCCCAGGCCTTCGTGAGCCTTCCGAATCATTCTCTCTAAGGTCACACGCGCCATGCCGGGAAAATGTCTCATGTGCCGATCTGCATGCTGATCCAATCTGGCTTGGTATATGCTGAGGTAACGAGTGTTGGGCTGCAAGCGGGTGTCTTGGGCCTTATCTTGCCAGCGGACCTCGTCCTCTAGCAGGCTCCAGTCTGCGCCATTCCAGGTCCAAGAGGTTCGCCAAGGGAGCCGCCAGGCCTCATGGCCGGGTTCGGGCCCATTGACCTTCTCGGTGTGTTCTTCCAGGTACATCCAAGCACCTGTGTCCAGCTTTTTCCAACCAACTTGCTTCAGCATGTCTTCGGTGACCCCGAAGGCCTCGGGCATCATCTCTCTCGCTGGTGGGACCTCTTCGCGATGTCCTATTTCTTCTGGCTCTTCCAGAGGCATTGCTTCAGCTCCATCCATTTCCTCCAGCTCCTCAGGGAAAAAGTAGCACTGATCTCTTTGAAGGTCTTCTCGTGCTACGCTCGCCGCCTCGACCAAGTCAATCTCCTGCGGCGCCTTGCCGACTGTTCTACTGTAGGCCTGGAGGATGGCACCCACCAGTTCGCTGGGATAGCGCTTCCCTTGACATCCACGGCCCAGAGCCTCTGCGACTCTACGGTTGTTGGTCAGCAAGCTAGCGGCCTTCCTCTGTTGTTGGCCACTTCGACTGACAAGACCATTTCTGCACTGTTCCGCAGTGACTTGTAGAACGCCAGGTTGCTCGAGCAGCCGCTGCACTGAAGGCATCTTCCATGACGAAGTGCTGCACGAATGTTTAAAAACAAACGTCATTCCTTGTTCATGGCAAAGTTGACAAACCTTCATAGCGAAATTGAGGAGCACCTTCCCCTGCTTAAGCTTCTTGAGGTATCTTCTGAGAGCTTCTAGGTTCTTCTTGCGGAAGTTGTCTAGCAGGTGGTTCAACGCGCTGAAGCCATCACAAGGCGGAAACACGATGACAAGTCCTGGACGTTCATGCTTCAGGTAGGTCAGCACGGAGTGCTGGACTGAAGGCTTCAACAAGTCGTGGACAAGCGGCAAATCAAACGCCTTGCCTGGCCGAAGGCGAAACTGAGCTGTGCGTCTACTGAGCCTATGTGGATTGTAAATCTCAGACACTGTCCGCAGCTCCTGCTGGCTGAGACTAAAGAGCTCCTGGTAGTGCTTCTGGCGCTTACCGTTGGCTTGTTGTAGCTCGCTTCTGGCTCTTTCTTTTAGCTGCTGGAAAGGCTCGCTCGGCTTTGGATGGCATAGACAGCGTTCTACTTCTGTCCATTGCCGCTCTGCTTCCTTGAGCACACTAAGCACCTTTCGGCTCTTGGATTTGCCGAGGTCCTTGCTCAGCCCCGGCGCTCTCGACGTAGCATGGCCTGGAACTTCTTGAACTGCTGGAACTCGGCATAGTCGTCCGTTGACTTGTCGCTCTGGGCTGTCGCCTCCATCTCTGGGCCCAGCTGGCTGCTGGCCCCCGCCGACATTGGTCTGCGCGCCTCCCGCTTGAGGATCTTCTGGCAGTCCCGACATCTCGTGATGAACACATAGCCGTTGGAGCCCGCATGGCACGTGAACTGATGTAGGCAGTTGTCTTGGCTGGACTCCTGTCCTCGGCTGGGCATCTTTGGTGTTGGTGGCATCGAGCTGCTGGAAGGTGACTTGGTCCCGGGCTGCTTCGCCGTCGTTGTCTGCGAAGCTTTGGCCGTCGGGGAAGCTTTGGTCGGAGGAGTCCTTGGCGTCGGTGACATTGTGGTCGAAGTTGGAGTGCCTTGCGCCCAAGCTTCGTGATTCTGCGTGGGTCTCCAGTTCGGCTGCTCCTCCAGCCACATGAAGAAGTTGCATCGATGGGTGACGTCCCGCCAGTTTGGGCATCTCTTGAAGAGTCGCCCGTGGTTCCGGCCCTCCTTCCTGGTTTCCAGGGTCACGGTCTCGAAGCCACAATGGCAGCGCTCCACCACTGGACTGTTCAGCTCTGTCTCGTCGTGCACCAAGATGAAGCCGGTGGTGTTTGTCGAAGCTGCGTCCTCTGGAGTCACTTCCCGACTCCACGGTCGTTGAGCATCCCACTGATGCTCCTCCAAGCCCTCTACCTCTCTGCACTCCAAGTTCTGCTTGATGTGCTTTTGCATTTGCCTCAGCTCGTGTGTCGTGAGCCGTGGCAGGTCGCTGACCATACGGCGGTACAGTTCCTCTTGGGGCCCTCGAACACACAAGTGGTTCAGAACTGACTGCTGCATGGCATGCGTCATGGCCATCATGAAGCGCAGGACCATGCGATTCCACTGCCAGTCCGCGTCGCTCGGTTCTCTGGGCTCCTGGAACTTGCGAGCTCTCTTCTCCATGGGCATACTGGTGCGAAGGTGCTGAGGATGCACACGTGGATGAGGTAAAAGCAAAGGGTTGATTGCTGAGCCGATCATCAGAATCAAGGCGGAGATGGTGCAGACCCTCGGGCTCGGACTCTCTAAGACATTCCAGGGCCTGACTAAGTTCGCGATGCATTTGTGGACGAAAATTTTGGAGGGGAACCCTTAAGGCTCCAGTCGGGCCAATGTGGAGAGGCACTCGGTGCTGATATCTCTTGAGCTCGAGTTCCAACCCTCGAACTGGATCAAGGTGGAGAACCGATCTGCAATGTAGTAAGAACGGCAGAGAAAGCAAGAAGGGCGCATGTTTTGTGGCTTCGTCCTCGAACACGGCTGGCCTCAAAACACAACCCTTTGGACCCAGACTTGTTGGAATGCACGCAACCTTGTCAGTCTTGGACACCCCGTTAATGGACTTGAAGTGATGGGTCTCGTTCTTAACTACCATGCCAAGCGGTGCTGGTTGCTGCTCCAATATCTTCTTCAGGGTTTCGCTTCCTACTGCAGTCCTCTGGCAACCTGTGTCAACTGTTGCGCATGCTTCTTCAGGACATTCTTGATGCTTGTGAACGTAAAACACTTCATGCATAAGACTGCGGTCCTTGTATGCGGAGTTGAGCTGCGAGTCAAAACGTGCTCCGGAACTGCTACTGGGCTCATTGCTCGGGTCCTGCGTCCTTGCCTGGGCCGCGGCCTTGAGCTTCAGAAAGTCGTTGAAGCCGAGAAAAAGTGCTTCATGAGTAGGCTCTTCAAGAAGATGAACTCCATGGTCGCCAGACTTCTGCGGCGACTTCTGGTCCTTGTTGGGACACTCTCTGTGCCAGTGCCCGACTTGTCGACAATGAGCACAGCGTGTGCGCTTCTTCAGCGCGGAGATGCTCACTTTGTAGGAGCCTTCAAGGCCACTGTGCTTCGAAGGTGGTCCCTGCCGAGAACTGTAGCTGGAACCACTTCCATATCCTCGGGCCAGGTTCTTGGCCTTCTTTGCTTGGTTCACCGCCACAAAGCTGCGCTTCTTCACCGCATGTTCGCGCACCATTGTCGAGAGGATCTCTTTCGCCTCGTCCTCGTCGAACGTGCCGTTGTCATACTCCCCGGACTCATCTCCAGGGACCTCGCCGTCGAGCTCCTCGATCGCGCCCAGGAGGACCTCGATGCCTTCGTCTGGTCCGTCTCCGTGGAAGTCCTCGTAGTCCTGAGTCGATGTCTCGGGCTCGACGGTGTAGTAGGCGTTGGCAATGGGCTTCTTCTGGACCTGGCTCTGCTGAGCGGACTGGCGAAGGTCAAGGTTGGTCTCGTGAACCCTCGCCCACTCCTTCACATCCTTCTGGCTTAGCTTCCCTTGGGTGAAGTTCATCAGTAGCTTGACCTCCTCCTGGTTGAGCTGGAGCGCCATGGTGAGCAGGAATCCAAGGTATTCGGAAGGAAGACTGATAGAATGTTCATTCAGCTTGCGCACGGCTATCTCCCAGCGGGCAAAGAACTCCTTGTGGCCTTCGTTCTTGTTCCGCCGGATGGCGTACGTCACCTTGAACAGGCTGTTCAACATATCCTCCCTTTCGTCCTCGCCATAGAGCTCCTTCGTGTCCATGAGCTTCAGCATCTGCTCGCCATTGTCGTTGGCTTTCATCCATGCTTCGTCCTTGGCCAGGTACTTCAGGTCGTCAAAGAGAACGCCGGTCAAGTTCTTTAAGAGCATCGGCCCTCGGCTCCTTGGCTTCGTCTTCGTCGTAGCCAACCACAGCCGAGCCCTGACCAGGTAGTCCTTGAACGGCGACGCGCCGTCCCAGGCTGGAGGTGGTCCAGCATTGCTCCTGCCGCCGCCAGCCTCGTCATCGTCATCGTCATCGTCATCGTCATCGCCCCTTCGGCGCGAAGCCCTGCCTCTGGAACGACTGTCACGATTCAAGAAGCGGAGAAACTGCTGGTACTCTTCGGCGTCGGTCGCCCAGCTGCCGCCTCCAGCTCTAGAGCCACGAGGAAGCTGAGCGTCATGCCAGGGATCTTCTGGTTCCTGGCTTTGAGGCTCTTCAAGGCCTGTGTCGTCGTCTGGCACTTGGGGTTCGCCGTCAGCCGCGGCCGTGGCCATGCAAGCAGGAAACAGCGGAGATTCTAATTGGGAGCAGTACCCGTACTAGGCCCCCAGGATCAGAACTAGGCCCCGCTACCACTGTAGTCGAAACTACAGTGGCCGCTCCTACTCTAAGCAAGGCCTTTTCTTCCTTGCTGCCGACTTGAGCCACCGCATGGTGGCAGCATATATCCTGAGGGAAACTTCGGAGGAAGCTCCTTGTGCAACTCTGCTTTCCTGAGGGAAACGGTTTGGGAATCAGCCTCAACACAAAACACACTATATAAGCCCTAAGCCCTAAACCCTATAAGCCCAAAACCCTGAACCCTAACCCCCAAGCCCTAACTCAATGCGGGTGGCGACAAACCCTAACTCAGCGCAAAGCATTCTGAGTCAAAGGCCGCCAGTGGAAGCAACAACAACCGCCGCCCCTACGTCGCCACCGGAAGAGCCCGTTGCGCACGGGGGCCTACTTTTGGGGTTTAGGGTTCAGGGTTTCCCGGTTTCCCAAATTCGGGGCACCTTATTGGGGTCCAAACCCCCACATCCGGTATGGGTCCTCTCAAGCAGAACGCGAATCGCACCCGGCACAGCTTTGTGAGAGTAACTTTCCGGGCTGCCTTAGCAAGGTAGGCCTCCCGATAGACCCTAAATGGAGGAAATGGAGTGTGAGGACCAGGCCTTTGGCTCACCAATCTTACCAGGATGGGCTATTCGGCCTTCTAAAATCCCCTTAGTCAACCCCACAAGATGGCCTTTTTTTCTAGGGGTCCTAGAGAATAATCGCCCATCCTGGTAGGCCTCAAAGTCGAGTCATGGTGGGTGTGGGCAGCGCCAGCTCATGTTGTTTGTATCTACAAGCAACACTGGGTGTGCACGCCCAACACCAGAGAGTTCCCCAAGATCCTCTTGTTGAGGGTTCAGGGTTCAGGGTTGAGGATTGAGGGTTAGGGTCAAACTCCCAGTCTTCAGGAGGCTCGGCTTGCTGGGATCCTAGGATGGCAAAGCTGCCCACTGGGTTCACCGAAACTGCTGTGCTGCAGGGTCACGCAGGACCTCAGCGATGCCGAAATTCTCGCTGCAGCGCCTTGGGTCTTACCAGGGTTTAGGGTTTAGGGTTTAGGGTTTAGTTTAGGGTTTAGGGTAGTGGCGAAAACTTGTGCATCGAGATGGCTCTAGATGCACCAGCATGGTATGGTAAGATGCCTGCACCACATTGACAATTGCCCCAAACCCAGAGAGCCCGACATCCAAAGAAGGAAAACAGAACAAGAAGCAAACAAAAAAAAATCTGAAAAAACAACCTGTCCGATGCTTCAAGAGTCGCCCCTATAGGTCTTTGGAAGTCTTGGCGGCTCGTTCATGATCATGGTCACCTGGCTCGTCGCCTCTTGGAGTGCAGCAGTTTGGCGATACCGGACACGTGGACCTGGGCTCCCATCTGTTGTCCCTTTTATACCCTAGAACGTCCTAAGAAGGCCCTTTATAGAGTTGATGATGGGGATTATAAGGCTTAATAGCCCATCCTGGTAGATCCCTTCAACTTTCTGGGATCCCGGGGTTCCTGGCTTACGCCAGCCATGGGACCGCAAAACGCATCCGAGGCGAGGAGACGATGTTGCAGCAAGAAGGCACCGTGTGTGTATGCTTCTACAAGGAGGGGTCCCCTTACTATACTAACTAACTGTAGTTTAGGGAGTTATAACCTAATTTAGGATCCTTATAACCCAATGTAAGGGCTCTTATAACTGGGGCCCCACCTTGTAGGACGATCTCTGCTCGTTGCCGACGTCCTGCTAGAGCCGACTGCTGTGGGTTGAGTGGTTGGGTTTAGGGTTTAGGGTTTAGGGTTTAGGGTTTAGGGTTTAGGGTTTAGGGTTTAGGGTTTAGGGTTTAGGGTTTAGGATTGGAAACTCCTAACCCCAGTTTCTTTGGACACAACACAAAACCTCTGTGCTGCGAATCTACCCGTGCTTGGAAGGCCAAGAAGACATCTCCAGCCTATTCAGGCCTAAAGACTTTGTGAGTGGGCTTTTGGCGTTCGGCATTGTCATGCAACTGAATCTGCTTTGGATTTTGCGGCTCTAGTGCATGGTGGGCAGGAGTCTATTGGCTCTCCCTGGCATGGATTGTCAAGATCGACCGTTCACATTCGAGCATTGATTGTTGTTCTGTTCTGCCGGCTTGCCTGTGTTCGCTTGCTAGACGCATCGCATCGGACTGATACTGCTTCGGGGATCTGGGATATCAATATCTCAGCAGCCCGCGTTCGAAGAATTACTTCAAGGATGCAGCTCAGACCCCAACAGCATTCTTAGCAGGCGGGCCCTCTGCCGTGGTGATCGGTGGCAAGGCGATGCAGCGCTCGGACAGTAAGGAGTTGGTCACTGGACAGGAGAAGAAAGCGATGTGTTTGCCCCCCTAAGTCCTAAGTCAATGTGGTCTCACTTTCCTTACTTCTTTCCCTAAGTTAGAGCTACATGTGGGGTTTCGTCTCAAGGCCCCAAATCTGCATCCAAGGTGAACCCGCTGAACGAGACAGCGGCCAAAAGTGTGCCAAAGTATTGGACGGGATTCCGGGAGAGCAAGGACGACGACGCAGCCATCGCCTCTCGCCCTGGGGATTCAGGGTTATTCAGGATTTGACCGGGATGGACCGGGAAGGAAACTCAAGATCGCATGCATATTGAGGGCTAGCCCCCTTCTTTTTTGCAAGAGCGTCAGCCATATCGTCTCAGAGGTCCGACAGGACCTGTCTTTCGACGAGCTCATGATTCTCGATGCAATGAGTGCTGGTTGAAGCATCCCGAACCTGGAGCATGTGCTCCACTGGCTTCGTTGAAGGTTCTCCTGCTTCTACCCTTGGGTTTGGGGGGCCCCTTTTTAAAGATCCTCTGAGGGAATATAAGGGCCCCTTAAGGGCCGCCTTAGGAGTAAGGGAACCTCTGAGGGATACAACCTTCAGGGCTACGAGTCTTAGCCCCTTGATTCGTTGGTCGACATAGGGCTGAAAGAAACAACTGGCCTTCAGTCGAGTCCAGGCAGATTCGAGATGGGTGGGGGGGCTAATGTGAGCTTTGCGTTTGAAGGCTCCACTGAAAGCGAAGAGCAGGCCTTGGCCCGCGGTTTCAATGCTTTCCCGCACCAGGCTTCACTAAGCTCATCCAGCATGGGCCATTATACCCTATAATCCCCTTAAAAGGGCCCTTTTATAGGGTTGATCATCGGGATTATAAGGCCTTATAGCCCATTTTGGATGTTGTGGCGCATCATCTCCCGCCACGTTCGTTTTTTTTGAAGGCCGTCGAAGGCTCAGTACGCTCCTGCCGCTTCGTGAGTGCAAAAATGAGGTATGTCAAGCATGAGGAGATGCAATTCTTCCAGGACCGCAGGGTGTGCTTTGCTGTCAAGGCTCGCTTTGGGAAGGTGCTGCCCTTCGACTCAGAGAGCTTGAGAAGTGCCTTGGGCCTTGGGTGACCCCCGAAACTCCTGCATCTGAGTAGGTGTAGACTTGGGCTTGAGGAATACACCCTAAACCCTAAACCCTGAACCCTGAACCTTGAACCCTGAACCCTGAACCCTGAACCCTGAACCCTGAACCCTGAACCCTGAACCCTGAACCCTACACTCTTTGAGAAAGGAGATGGTCAACTACACCTACAAGCAGATCACGACCCAAGATCGCCTCTGCCCAACTGGCAAGCACGACAAGACCAAGGGCCGCAGCACTTGCATTCAGCCACGTTGGAGGTTTAGGGTTTAGGGTTTAGGGTTTAGGGTTTAGGGTTTAGGGTTTAGGGTTTAGGGTTTAGGGGTTTAGGGTTTAGGGTTTAGGGGTTCAAGGTTGTGTTCATACTTGGAGGTCTGGAAGCAAAGCTGTGGGCATATCTGCGAAACTGGTGTGATGCATTCTATGACCGCTGCGGTTGCTATAGCTGCTGTGGCCCTGCCGAAGCTTCAGAAGCCGGCCCTAAGGTGGATGCCCCTGCGTGCAGCCTGGGGGTGATCCAGGCCTGCCCACAGGCTTCCAGGCGCGGAATCTGCCACGCGCGTGGAGGGCTTGAAATGCAGAACCCACTTGTTGGGTTTTTAAAGCTTACAAAATCCCAAGAGGTAAAACATGGTAGGGCAGTTGACGTCGCCTGGCTGGGTCTGACACTTTACGCCTAAGCCCTAAGCCCCCCCGAGCCCTCAGATCAAGCGCGTCATCCGCGTGGAAGACTCTGACATGCAGCTCGGCAGCATCTCTGCCGGGTAGGGGTGGTTCAGACTGGGGGGGGCCAAGACTCCTTGTTGCGTGGACGCCGAAAAGCTGTCTCCAGCCAAGTAACAGTATTCCTAACTCACCGTTTGAGCCCTACAAACCTTATGTTCAAGGCCAGCCACAGCTTTGTCAAGTTTTAGAGGGGGACCCTATCCACTACTGCCACTACGGTTGAGGTTCACGCGGTACATCATCAGACGTCTCTTGGCCCAGATTCAGTGGGCGGTTTCGAGAGAGCGGCTTGGAGGTTGGCAGGGTCCCCTTACTTCACGGCCATCAAATGCTCCCAATGCCCCCGAGTTGCCAGCGCCGGGTTCTTGGACAGAGCGCAGCTACCTTATTGATAAGGGGATCCTACTACATGGGAGTCGTTTTTAGGGGCCCCCTCGTAAACCCGCAATTGTTTTTTGTTTTCTTGGCACCTTACCTGAGCAGCCGAGGCGATAACATCAAAGCAGCCCGTTCATCCTGCGAAGCGCCGGATCCTGCCATCTTCACTCGTGAAGCAATGGACCACCACCGCAGCTCGTTCGCAGCATCGGCCCCTAGAGCCCTACAAAGAGCAATGCGAAATTTATCCACATGGCGTGCGGAGAAAAAAGCGCACCAGGCTGCGAGAAAAGGTGCAATCTGGCAACCCTAAACCCTAAACCCTAAACCCGAGTTATAGGCGGGGTACGCAATGAGGCGGCCTCAATGATGTCCTGGGCGAACTGGACGACAGCCTCAACGAGGCGCTTCATGCTCGGGTTTAGGGTTTAGGGTTTTAGGGCTTTAGGGCTTTAGGGCTCTAGGGCTTTAGGGCTTTAGGGCTTTAGGGGTTTAGGGGTTTAGGGTTTAGGGTGTGAGCCTGACTTTCCCGGCAGCTGTGCAGACCTGGTTGTAAAAAGGGTTTAGGGTTTAAAGCCACTTTGAAGAATAGGCGAGCGTTTGGGACGATGGCTGTTGAAGCCAAATAGTACCTTGCTTTCAGGCCGTTCTCGCGTACAGCTCATGATAGAGAAAGAGTTTCAGCTTCAGTCCTTCATCTCGTCGGCTCGGCTTTTCCAAAACAGACCAAGCTCCGAAAATTGAATATCAAATTCCAAAGCGCTGCTTCTGATGTCTGGCTGTCCTTGGCCCTTCCAAGAGCATATATACATATATATATATACATATATATATATACAAAAATAGACACACACGCACATGACATGATAAATGCATATATGTATGTAAGTGAGGAACTCTCCTTTCCCCGTGTTCCAAGCGGCTCGAGCCAGGTGTACCTCTGGCACGGAACTCAAGTGCGAGTCGGCCTGAAGATCGCCCAAGACGAGCTTTGGCCCTAAACCCTAAACCCTAAACCGCAAAGAAGCCCCGTGGGCTCAAGGAACCCTCAAGAGGTTTGAGGGTTTGTAGGGTTTAGGGGCATTATAGTGAGCCGGAGAGCCTCAGAAGCCCCTTCTTTCTCCTGGTGATACTCTTTCGTCTGCTTATGCAATTGCAGTAACTAAGTAGTGGTGCTGGTACGTAGTGGTGCTGTTGATGGCTTATTATTGGGGACGGGACCACCGGGCAGCTCAAAGTACCCAAAACATGCAAACGAGCGTCCTCAAAAATGTTCCTGCGCGCGCGATCTCCCAGGATTTTAAGCTCACCTTCGCCGGCTCGGGTGCGGGCACGATGTATGGGAAGGCAATCAGGGGCTTCGGAGGTTTCAGTAGCTCTCGAAGCGTTGGGATGCTTAAGGCTCAGTTTCAAGGGCAGTTGCTCGGTTTCTGAGCTCGCATGCCATCTTCCGGGTATCTTCCACTCAATGGGTACGAGTCGGGTTCCTTATGAGAAATGCTGTTTCTGAGAATGGAAGTACACTTCCGGATAATGCACTTTCGCCTAGCGACCCAGAGCCCTGCACACAAAGCACAAAAGCACCACAGCAAGCGGGTGAGAAGTCTTAGCGGAGATCCCGAGCTATTCCATTCCCTGATTCACCCAACAACCTGCTTGGAAGGGCCTGTACTTCTCGGAGAGCTGCACCAAGGCCCTCTTTGCATTGCTCTCTTGGTCTAAAGGATGTGTTGAGGGCCGGCCACGCCGCAGTGAACATGGTTACTTCCAAGACCCGGGTACCCCTTTTCAGGTTTAGGGTTTATGTATAAATAGAATAGAATCCCCTTAAAGGGACCCCCCCAAAAAGGGTACCCCTATTTCGGAAACCCCAACATACGCTCCAAGCCTGTAATCTGACCCTTTTGGCATCTCTATCGGATAAAGGCCCGACGTACATGCCGCATGAGTCGTAAGAAGATTCAACGAGTTGCAAGAGCAGAGAAACGCGTACTACCTACCGGCGGATGCCTCCTGTGAATGTGCATGCAGAGGCTGCAGACAGATGCAGAGAGAACATGAGAGAACAACAACAAAAGAGCCAGAAAGATATCAAGAAAGACAAGCAAAGTAGACAAGGGAGCGAGTTGTCGGATCCAGTTCTTGGTGGGGAGGGTTGGGTCACGTCGGGAGGACAGTTTTAGGGAAAGGTTTCGAGGGCTTACTTGGTGGGGGCAGGGGAGCTTGGCGTTGAGAAGGGGACTCGACCCAAGAAGACACAGGGGGGAACGTTTAGGGTTTAGGGTTTGGGGTTTAGGGTTTTCACGACCCACCCCCCAAGCACTGGCGAAGGGGATAAGGGGATCGAGAACCGTTGACAGCGTACTTTTCACCCTGAGATGGTTAGCCTCGGCTTGTGAGTGAAAACCCTACACCCTCTGCACCCCAAACCCTACACCCTAAACCCTATACCCTAAACCCTAAACCCTAAACCCTACACATGAGTGACGAAACCCTAAACATGTGTCATTGTTGTTGTTTTTGCTGCTGCCTGGGGTTTGAAAAGTAGGCCGACGAATACGCTATGGATGAGCCGGGCGGCCACTACGACAGCGTGAGGGGCTTGCTCCTGTGCCGCGTGTGCCTAGGCACCGGGCGGGGGAAGAGGGGGGAGGAGGGGGGGGTTTAGGGATTAGGGCTCATGATACGGTGTGTCGGGTTTATAGGACTTTGGGTTTTATAAGTTTATAGGGTTTAGGGTTGGGGTGGCGGAGGAGGTTGAGGGAGATGCGGAACCTGGAGCTGGTTGGGAAGAAGCGCAGGCTACCATTTCGGGGCCTGTAGGCCTGATGCAAAGATCAAGATCGCTGTCACAGTCTCTCCTTTTGAGCCCTTAAGGCTACCCTAAACCCTAAACTCTAAACCCTAAACTGTACAAGCTGGGGCTACTTCACAAACCGGCCCCGTAGGTCCGGTCCATCCCTCCATGGGTTTAGGGTTTGGGGTTTAGGGTTTAGGGTTTAGGGTTTAGGGTTTGGGGTTTAGGGTTTAGGGTTGAGGGTTTAGGGTCCCCATTCATCTTGGACAGGCAAGTTCCACTACACTTTGGACCGCGAGCCCTCGGCCATTGACAAGTACAAGTCTGGAGAGTGTGACAGATTCTTGGCTCGGTCTTCCACCGTGGCTGATGGTTCGAAAGGTTGGGTTTAGGGTTTAGGGTTTGGGGTTTGCTGTACCCCGCTTTTTTTTGGCTACTGTTGCTCGCTCCAAACCTTGACAAGAGGTTCTGGCTTCCCTTAACCAAATAACCAACCCAAAACTGGGTGCCCCTTCTCATGACATGTTTACTGGGCTACTAAGTTACTCCCCGTATACAACTCATACTTGCCAATCCATCATGTCCAGGCACGCCGGACATAAAGCTGGAAGAGCCACAAGAGTCAGGTACCATCGGCGACCGTGCGAAGTCCGTGCACACGTACCGCGAGATGGTGGTGTATGATGAGGATCAGGCGCCCAAAGTTGTCGGCTTCAGGGCCCCTCGTTTAAGCTCCCAGGCAGATGAGGGTCTCGCCACCGAAGCCCAGAAACTGAACCCTTCTTCCGAACCTCTGAGAACCTGGAAGTTAAGACCAAGACATCTTTCAAGGGACTAAAGCAGGGACCCGTACAAGGGACCTTGTGGGGGTTACTTGGGGGTCATTAGTTCTTATACTGGTTCTTTAAGGGGAATAAGATTCCGGGTACCTTCTAGGGGTCATTTTGGGGCTACTTAGGTCTTATAGTGGTTTTTTAAGGGGAATAAGATTACGGGTCCCTTCTAGGGGTCATTTTGGGGCTACTTAGGTCTTATTGTGGTTACATAAGGGGAATAAGATTACGGGGTCCCTTCTAGGGGTCCCTCCTTATCCCCTTAAATCTTTTGCGGCACTCTTTCTCAACGCAACGCAGACTCATGAGGTCCCTAAAGCCGAGAGGTGCCCGGTTCTACCCGCAACTCCTTCTTAGGGTCTAGGGTTTAGGGTTTAGGGTTCAGGGTTTAGGGTTTAGGGTTAGGGTTTAGGGTTTAGGGTTTAGGGTTTAGGGTTTAGGGTTTAGGGTTTAGGGATTGTTCTCCCCTGCTTCAAAGCAAACTCTGCTGAACCAAATCCCTGCAATGCCTGGAGCTCAGCCCTCCTTGCAGGTCTATCCAGAGTACTTGGTCCTCTACGAGCGACTTCAGAAGGGTGCTCTGGTAAGATCTGGTAGACATAGAGCACAACAGCCCGACGCAGATGCCATGCCTTGCAGGTGAAACTCCCGAACTGCCGCCCAAGGATGTGCCATTCTTGCCTCTCGGCGAGAGGTTCTTATGGCTCTCAGAAACCGTACTCCCGCTATTCCCGCTCCGCGATGCCGATTCTGTCGCCGTGTTGCGTTTTGGAGGCCTGCTCTCCCTCAGGGCGTTCTTCCGTCTGCCGAAACCAAGTCTGAGAGCCAAGGTTAGAGCTGCCATTGCTGCGCGGCTGCACTTGGCAACTCAGGGCCGTGTCAGGCAAGTGTCGGGTCTAGTGGGATCCGGGCATCTCTGCATGAAGCCGATGTACTGCGGAATGCCCGCGCAAGGCTGAATTCCGGGATGCTTCTAGTGCTTGAGCCCGAGTCTGAATGAATTTGGGTCCGTGCTTCGTTGATCCCAACCATGGGCTCGACCCTAACCCTTCACCAGCAAGTAGGGACGTCATGCTGAGGACATCTGAAGATACTACGGGAACTCCCCCCCCCCAACTTCTCATATTGCAGCATGTCTGAATGCCTTACCGCCTCGATGGACGAGTGTCCAGCAAGGTATTGGAAGAACGTGGGGCTCAATCCGTACACGGAGGGCTTCCGAGAAGCTTGGATCTGGAATCCTGAAGCGGACTCCTCTTTTTGAGCCCGTCTTAAAACTTAATGGTGGATTCAGCAGATCCGAGAGTGCATGTCAGAAACATGCAGCCCCAAATCGACACCCCCAATGCCTACCGAGCGCTACGGTCTTGTCTTCTTCGTGATCGTCTTTTTTGGATCACGCCTGTTTAAGTAGGTCGCCTTAAACACGTATAGGAGCCATCCGAGAACAGGGAGTGAGGAGGTGAGATTTCGGAGCTCTTGGCCCCGGAACGCAGACAGCAGAGCACTCTATGTGTGTTCTGAGCGGCTAAGTTTGCGTGAGCGACCTGCCCTGAACTCCAGCCAAGGAACACTGGCTGGTGAAGCCAAAGACCGGGCGTTGTGGGGTTTGGGGGGGGGGGGGGGGGCTGGGTGGGTGCCTGAGGGCCTCAGTGGCTTAGGCTTCGGGTTGGTTTGGCAACCACGCCGATTCCTCGCCGACTTCACGTCGTGTGTGTCTGGCTGCGGACGTAGTTGAGAGGCGCCGTCGCAATGCACTGCACAAGAGACAGCGGCATCTATGCCGTACATGATCGACCTCTGCGCGAACTCCTTGTAGAGACAGACTATTCTTGGAAGGTTCGGAAGAAGATCCCTCGGCCCTTCAACTGTGTCCTTACAACGCTTAAACTGAATCTCAAAGTTGACTTGCAACTGATGTCGTTTGATGTTACTGAAATTACCGGAAACTCGTACTGCCCCCTCCGCCAAGAGTTGCAGGATCCGCGAGCTCATTCAACGCTTAGCCAACGGCTCCAGCAAAGGATCGGCGCCGAAGGCACGGGGGGCCCCACGTGTAACACGAAAGGAACGATGGGCTCCTAGGGCCCCACTGCATAAACAGGCCTGCGAAGGCCCCTTCTTTGTTAAGGGTTATAGGCGCTTCCCCCCCCCCATAAACAACCCTATAAAGGCCCTTTTGGTAAGGGTTATTAGGGGTCTAATGTGCACATCCTGGAACACACGTGCTTTTTTTGTTGGGGGAAAAGCGTAGGAGCTCGTCTGATCAGGTGCTCCGGGCAAAGCGGGTGGAGGATTCGAATCTGTGGTGCCGCAACTCAGACAGCAAAAAGCCAGTGCGAAGCACGCGAAGCCCATGCTGGGGTCTGGAGATGCCTTGAACATTTCACACAACTTCAATTGTCGGGTGCCGTCTCATGCCGTCAGTGTCATGAGTTACCTTGTTCAATGCTCAGAAAAGTGCCCCGAATCTTAAACTACCCTGCTTCCATCAAGCTGTGGCCCTTCTCGCGGCATGGGAAGCCCTTCAGGCTACATTGACTGGAAGCGATCTTTAGGCTCCCTGCATTCTTGGGTTTAAGGTTCAGGGTACCTAGTAACCCCCCCATTATAAGTGTAGTTACAACCCACACATAAGCACCTTAAGTACCCCAATAGGGTTAGAATTGGGTTACATGTACAGGGCTATATGGGGGTTTCCGAGAATGGGGGTATACCCTTTTAGGGGGTTCTTGTAAAGTTGGTTCTTTTCTATTTTGGGGTCTTTAGAGTCTAAAAGGGGTACCCCTCTGTTCGTAAACCATTATTTCACAAGAGTCATGCAGCAAAAACAGCATTTCGGGATTGTGGGTCCGGAGGTTCGCGTTCGTCAGAGCCCTTGGTATCTACATGTTTCGACCATGTCTATCGGCCAAGGGCTTCAGAACGCTGCAGCTTCAAGCTGCGCACTACTGAGCTTCCTGGGTCTCGAATTCACGCTGCGCATGATCCCATTGTGTCTTACCTGATGGCACTAGATTCTAGATTTCAGGGGCGCTGGCTATGATGCTGTCACCCTAAACCCTAAACCCTAAACCCCAAACCCTAAACCCTAAACGCTAAACCCTAAACCCTAAACCCTGTGGCACAACGCAAGTTCCTGAGCCAACTTAATGTTTTCGCCCCTGGGGCCCTGGGAGGCGCACAACTTCAGGCCAATGGTGATACGAGATGCCGCTGGGCTCAACTGGGGCATATAATTACGATAACAACAAAATAATCATCATAATACTCATAATAATCATAATGATCATAGTAATCATACTAGTCATAATAATCATAATAACAGTAATATGTATAGTAATAGTAATAGCAACAATAAGAATGATAATGGTGTTACTTCAGCGATTGTGCAGAGCCGCCGTTAGCGCCGGGGCCAGCGCTTTTTCTAGGAATCCAGCGCACAAGTCTTTTTCGATACTCAGTGCTGCAAAAAGCAACAAGCGGGTCTGTCAAGCTAAAACCTTTCCTTGGAGGTACACCTCCCAACGAGCTGGATGGAAACCCGGAATCTGGCCACGCGCTGACGGTGCCTTCACTTATTTGCCCATGTGGTGGTGATACACCCTCAACCCTAGACCCTGAACCCGGCTCGGCTGTCATATCGTGAATGTGGTTGATGGCCTCCTGTGCTGACGAACTTCTGGGCTTGGGCCCAGAGTCCTGCACCCAGGCATTTGGAGATGTGAGCAATTGCAGGCCTGCAGTGGGGCCCCGTTTTTTGCATCAGCCCCGTTATGCACACGTCCTGGCACCCAGGCGACCATCTTAGAGGAGTTCCACGGCGATGAAGCCATCTCTGTGTTTCGGCTCCGGATTCAGTTGGTTCAAGATGTGGGTGCAGCTGGGCTTATGGAAGCAGGTCCATGAGACACCCAACATGACTGGGTCCAAATCTGTTTGGCTTAACACCACCTCTTGCATCAACGACATCTGTGGCGGTGTTTGAAGGCCACTTGTTTTGAGTCATGTCGCTAGTTGGCGATTCCCAGACAGCCCAAAGCTTCGACATTCTGCATCATTGGAACTGTGCGTAAGCAAATGCCTTGAGCAAATGCCTTGAGCACCCGCTCTGTCACTGAAGAAGGTGCAGCACGCAGCAACCATTCCAAGCACTTCCCATCGCCAAGGTGGAAAACATGGCCGTGGGCTTGAATGAGACTCTTCTCTGGCACGGCACCTCAAAGCAGGCCCCTGGTGGGACCGACACAGTAGCCTGCACAGTAGCCTCCGCAGCGCACTCCCAGTCTCAGAGAAACAAAGACATGAGCGTGACCTTGATTTGCTCAGATCCCTGCTGGGAAGGACGTCCTTCCCCCATTCCGTCCCTATAGGCGGCAGAAGCCATCGCAGAAGAGGGCTTCGAAGTCAAGCAGTCGCTTGGCGGAACGGGGGGCGGCTGAAGGTTCAGTTGGACCTGACGTCAGAGTAATCTGTCGTGGGTCATTACGTGTGCCTGCGATCGCCTACGCATACCACCAGAGGTAAGCAAGGGTTTGGGCAGAGATCGTCCACTTTGGGCTTTGCGGGAGAGAAGTTTGTGATGAAGTAATATGCCCTTCCAGAACTGATGGCCTTCAAGCCACCCAATTGCTCCCAATTGCTGCATCTTGAACGACCTGCCAGGAGTGGCACACACGGTCGCCGCTTTGGCCATGGAGTATACCTGGCAGAGGACAGCAACTTTGTCGGGCCTCTGGCTGAGATTGTGCAAAAATGCCAAAGGGGTTGGTTTTTTAGGGGTTTATTTGGGAGCTTTTTATAGGGCTTTCATCGGGCTTTAGGGTTGAGTTGACAGATCGTGAAGCCGTCAGCCCTAAACCCTAAACCCTAACCCTCAACCCTAAACCCTAAATCCTACATCCTAAACCCTATCCGAGACCCCGCCGCAGACCCATGACTGCCACCCGTCTCCCCGCTTCACCGCAGGACCTCGGCAAGAGTCTGGGCTTCTTGGCAACGGCTCCCCATACCCTGGGGTTTAGGGTTTAGGGTTTAGGGTTTAGGGTTTAGGGTTTAGGGTTTCGAAGGCCGTTGCGAAAGGGTTTAGGGTTTAGGGTTTAGGGTTTAGGGTTTAGGGTCTTTCTTTGCATGTTGACCCTGACCTATCCGAATCATGTTGCACAGGCCCGGTTCGAGCATGAGGGGCGAGTATATCGAACGACTGAAACCAGGCCTCTAAGACGTAAGACCCTGAACCAACCAAAGATGTAAAAGGGGCGATGTTGCATGGTCCCTCTGCACGGCCCCTTACCTCGTTAAATGCTCCTGAAGTGTGGCGCCCTTCAGCTTTACATGATACAGAAGGGGTATATCCCTAAACCCTAAACCCTATATGAACCCTAAACCCATATGCCCATCTCGGGTGCACCAGTAGGCTGCCCTTGCATGTGCAGTGAGCTGCGCACGTATGAGGCTACTGCAAGAGTTATGGCAGCGAAGCCTGGCGGCAATGAAGCGGCCACCTTTCAGATCTGCAACGAAGATACAAACCCTAACCCCTGAACACTAAACCCTAAACCCTAACCCTTGAACACTAAACCCTAAACCCTAAACCCTAAACCCTAAACCCTAAACCCTACCCCCTATGTCGAGTCCAGAGGAACAGCCCATAAATCTCTGAAGAGCCAAAGTCTTCAACTTTCAGTTTGCCCTAGTGGCCCCTCCGCCCTCCACCGCTTTCTTTTTGAGCAATTTTGTAAAGAGCGGTCCTCCTGAAGGCTGACTGACAGTCCATGGTATTGTTGACAAAAAATCTAAACGGTCCCGGAAGACCATTGCAAAGCTGCCCGCATCCTCCCCGGTGTTTTATAGGAGGACGCTAGCTGCCCTGCTGAAGTCCTCGCCATGCCCCCCTATGCTCAATGGCTCAAAGTTGCTTCCCAAGGTGAATTATGTTCTACTATGCCGCGCAGCTCCTCGGCTGCAGAATTCGGGGTAATTTGCTGGGTCTTATTGGGGAACTTATTAGGAGGGAATCCTACTACTTGGGGTATATTTTGGGGGTCTCCTTTTGTCGTAAACCCCCGAAATAGCTGCGCAAAAAAAGTGAGACTCAAATTTGGACATCTAGGCGCTGCAATCTCCGACACCAAGCTGGACCGCATAGAAGCTATACAAGCCTCTGGGGGTTTCCGAAGATCGGGCTACCCTTTTGGGGGGGGGGGGGGGTCCCTTTCAGGGCATTCTATTCTATTTTTGGAAAAAACGGGTACCCCTATTTTTGGGTTCGGAATGCCCATATGGCTCTTCGTGTTTGGTCCATCCCAGCCTGATTGCATGCGTGCTCGAACTTGCGAGCCCAGCTGTTAGAACTAATGCAGACCTGAAGCAGGCCTGCGCAGCTTGCTTCAAGCTCTTGCACCTTAATTGCTTGTCTAAGTAAAAGCTGAGGAGAGTTCGAGAAATATATCCTGAGACGAAGCCCTCACACTCTGGCCACTGAGGTCTGCGGCCACATGTACTACACTGAGAAGCATTGGCACTCGGACGCGACGACCGAAGCTTCAAGAGCAGGGTGGCTCGACCCGAGTTGGATGGGTGCAGCCGCGCACGCGCGCGCGCGCGCGCGTGCGAACGCGCGAGCGTATTCGGAAACCTTGATCTCCAGGCCTTCGATTTCTCTACAGGCTCAGCGATGTTTCGAGGGGAGGTTACTGGTTCAATTGGGGGTTTCTTGTAGAGACCCCTGTGGCAAAACAACGGCTGGATGCACCATCCCACAAGATCTCGAAGATTTTGTCGCCCTAAACCCTGAACCCGAAACTGCACTAAATCCTTCGTGCTGGGCGGGTGGCACAAGAATCCTTAACCCCGTTTGGGGCGTCAGAGCCGAGTTTTCTTGCTCAGGAAGCATTGCGTTCTGGCAAATCCAGATCGACAAGGCCCAAGAGAGTACATCGTCTTGGAGGAGTCACATGTGTACCTTGGACGGAGTCATCATAAGAGTCATCGAATCGACATCGGTCCTTTCAAAGTTCTTTGTTGCAGCTGGCCATGTTCATATGTGCAGGAACCCGCCCAGGTCAGCATCCACGGGAACAGTTATGTTTTGTATCGAAGTCCCAGTCGGTGCCTGCGTTTCACCTTCAATGCCGTTCCAATACACGCTTCTGCTGGGCTGCCCTGCCCCAAAAATCTACGCATGCAACTCATGTACTGAGGTACCCTGAGTACATTGTGGAGTTTGAATGCTGAGCCATCAGCGCGAGAACTGCCCTGGGCCCTGTCAAAGATGGTTTTTTTCTTGGGGTGTTTCTTGACCTTCACAGGCAATTTTAATTTACGGTCTTTATGCTGGCGCTATGGGCTTCAGGCACAGCTTCGATTCCCCGGATTCATCTCACACTCTTGCTCTGCCGAAGAGTTGGGCATGCCATGAGGCACCACGAGAAACGCAGAGCTTTGGGCCTGGACCCTTGAACTTCGAGGGTTGCTTTGGACATGTGAGAGAGAGCGCAATGTCTGCGGCTGCAGAATTGTGACAGACGTTTGTGGGGAAAGTTTGCACACCGATCCTGCTCAAAGCCTGTCTTGGCCGAGTGGCTTGCAGCAGCTGGAAGCTGCCACGTCCCCTGAGCCATGTACCAACAGTGAGTCCAACTACACCCTAAGCCCTAAACCCTAAACCCTAACTGCCCTTCTAGAACTTGTGATGTGTGGGGAGTCATGAAAGCAAAGTCCGGTGCTGGACTCACATTGGCTGCCGCTCAGCAGAAGTAGACTCCTTGCCTACTGCCGGGTGAGAGTGGAGCTTCTGGCTAGAAGGACTGGCACAGGCCTGCAGCTTGTACAGCTTGTAAACAAAAAAGCTAGGAGTCTGCTTGAGTGGCATCCGACCTGCACGAGAAAGCGTTTTTGGCTCGGCATCCTTGAAGGATCAGCATTCGAGCCCATGCAAGTCCTCGGGGGTTAGTTAGGAGCCAGATCATGCTCTGAGCATCGGCCTGGTCTTGCCGTGTCACTTAATGTTAATAATATTGATCATATATGGGTAATATTGAGAATATTAAAATTAGAACATAATGTAAGGCATATTCATAATTTTTATCCTTCCTTTCATCAAGTTGCCCAAGAGCTTCGGATTAACCAGGCCCTGTTCACTGGACATCACATCTGTGCCCACTCTTAACAGAAGTGTGGGGATGTGTGGGATGTAGCCCCCGGCACCTGCGCCCCCTCAGGGGCCCCGGAGCCAGGGTTCACAAGCAAAAATGAGTGCAATTCTGCTTCGTGAGTTTAGGGTTTAGGGTTTAGGGTTTAGGGTTTAGGGTTTAGGGTTTAGGGTCTCTGCGTAGGTCAGCGCTGGATGTCGTGTTTCTTCGTGCTGCCGCAGGCCATATCAGGCTGTAGTTATAAGCGGAGTTGTAAGTTAAGGCATGAAGCTTGGGACTGCTCACCTCACCCTACAGGGCTCGCAGTCTTCACGTCTCGGGCGCTCAGTGGAGCTTGCCGCGCACTACGTGAGAGCTGTATATGTTTTGGCTACGCTTACCGTTTGCAGTCCTAGAAACAGACTTCGAAGCCCTTGCTTAGCCCACGATGTCTGAAGTGGATGTCGCCATCGTTGGCGGGGGCGTTGCTGGGCTAGCTGCCGCGGTTTCTCGCTTGACCATGGTGCGAGGGAGCTTCAACGATTCAAGAGGATTGAGCTTTGGTGACGTTGGGGTTTGCATGCGGTGGTTTTTTTGCTTTAACCCTTAAAACTGTTAAAGGCTTCCTCGTAATATCAAACTCAGTCAAGCCCACAAGAGCCACAAGAACTCCCAGCAAAAGCCAGAGGTGACTTTGGCAGAGCAGGGCCTGAAAGTCGTGGTCCTCGAGAGCCGCTCCATCCTGGGCGGCAGGGCGCGCAGCTGGGTGGATGGCGACGCTGGGCCGTGAAGTGCTGGGCTTTTGGGCATCTCAAACTGTCATGTGCTTGTCACCGACTTAGACCAACATGAAGGTCCAATCCAATCTCTCGTTATCCCTCTCTCTCTCTCTTTCTTAGGTTGTTTTTGTTCACTCTCTCTCTCTCTCTCACTGTCTCTCACTCTCTCTCGCTGTCTGCATAAATAGTAGAATGCAGTGTAGCGCAACATTTCACAATTTTGCCAGCTTGAACCCCAGCAGTGAGAGAGCATGTTTGCCCAAAAGTCCGAAAGCGACGACAGTTATGCATGTCGGCTCAGACGTCCAAAAGCGACGACAGAATCGCATTCTCGAGCCCAGAAGTCGCAAAAATTAATTTCGAGGACGGCGAGTGCGGCCTCGCCCGCACCTAGGCAAAAGAGCGACATTTCGTCCAGCCCATCTTGCCCTGGGCGTTTGAACCGCTTAGTGTTCATGCACTTATGTTGGGAACATGGCTTACAGTGTGCATGTATAGATTTAGACATATACTTATACATACATATATATATATACATATATATATATACATATATATTTCTTTGTTGCGGTACATGGTGCCACGGAGGTTACGCGCGATCCGGTGCACATCGGCCCGCATGTGGTGGCTCCTTGGAGAGGATATCTGGACACCCCATGCCGAACACAAGAAGAGAATCGTCTGGGAACTTGGGATGTTCCCCCTTATACGAACAGTCCTTAGTAATTAGGGATTATGGTACCCCCCCCCCGATTGTAATCCCTCTTGAAGGAAACATCCCAACTGGGAGCCCCTCGCCCAAGAATTTGCGCAAGGTCTCTGAGTACCCCAACTTCTTCAAGCTGCTGGAGAAGTTGCAGACATTGGAGAAGCCACTTGGCATCACCGCTGAGCCTTTGGGGATGCCGGCAAGTCAGGAAGACGGGAGGGAGAGCTTTAGGACTTTGGGGTTTAGGGATTAGGGTTGTTAGGGCTATTAGGGTTATTAGGGTTACTAGGGTGATTAGGGTTATTGGGGTTATAAGGGTTATAAGGGTTATAAGGGTTATTGGGGTTATAAGGGTTATTAGGGTTATTAGGGTTATTAGGGTTTAGGGCATTGAGGTACAAGTGTCTGTGGCATCTGACTTCGTTACGAACTGTTTATCGAGTTTCGGGAGTGGCGTGCGAAGATGAGGCTCGGGTAAACAAAAAATCCCTGCACGCCCGCGAAGATCTGGTCCTCAAGTCTACAAGGTGGCATGCCTTGCAGGCCTTGCCCTAGCCCAAGGGGGCACTCAGAACGCGTAAAGCGCTGGCATTTGCAGACCCTGACTCCCTAGAGGCGCCAAAGTGCATCTCGACCCGAACTTCAGCTGAACTTTCTCTCCATGTGCCCAGAATCACAGGGTCCTTAAGGGACCCCAACCCTTCTAGAACTCAGGGTGCTTAAGGGACCCCCCTCCCTGAAGGAACCCTAGAACACAAGGATTGTGTGGCAGCCCTGGCGCCACTTCGTGACGTTCGTGCAGGGAAAGGTCGACTATCACATCAGGAGACCTTCCCCCTAAACCCTAAACCCTAAACCCTAAACCCTAAACCCTAAACCCTAAACCCTAAACCCTAAACCCTAAACCCTAAACCCTAGACCCTAGACCCTAGACCCTAAACCCTAAACCCTAAACCCTAACCCTACACCCAGAAAGCCATCTCCGGGTTTCCGAGAATAGGGGTACCCTTTGTGGGGGGCTTCCTATAATCAAGACATACAAAAGGGGCCGGAATAATTACCAACATCATTCCCTTAGGGTCCCTTTATAATTATACTGTAAGAAACCCCCAAAACACTATTCCAACCCTAAACCCTAAACCCTACACCCTAAACCCTAAACCCTAAGCCAAAAATTCTAATTATTCAGCCCTTCTATTCCAATTCGCGAAGAACTTCAGGACACGGCCGCTCCCCGCCCCGGCCTCCTGGGGTCCAGCGTCCATCTTCGACCCGCTTCCTGACTAGGTCCAGACACCCTTAAAAGCACTTTTCGGGTTCAGAGGGATTAGGGTTTAGGGTTTAGGGTTTAGGACCGGGTTCAACAGGGTTTAGGGCTTAGGGCTTATGCTTATATCGAGTGGCGCGAGCCTGTTGCAAAAGGGTTTAGGGTTTAGGGCTGTTGTGAACCGAGGCCTGCTGTAAATAAAGGGTTTAGGGTGTTTCGGATGGCTCTCAGACAGGGTTCAAAAAGGGTTTAGGAATTATAGGGTTTAGTAGGGCTGAGGGTTCACGATGTGGGGTTCAGGCGAGCCTCAGCAGGGTTCAAAAGGGGTTCCTGGCATGTTCTAGGAAGGGTCCCTTGTAAAAGCAACCAACTAACCGTTAACAAGGGGATGGGGGGGGGGGGGGGCAACCCCCTTTATTATGATGTGCTGGGCTACTTCAAGCTTCTGTTGCGACGTGTTTTTTCTCAGATGGCCGTAAACCCTAAACCCAAAATGCATTCAGTTTCAGATGCAGTTTCGTCACGTGCCCAGTACGCCCCTGCGATGTGAACTTGGCAGCAGCCGAGGTTTGTGACATGGGCAGATAAGCATTCCACGGTCCCTGCTGCAGTGCATCCTGCCTCAGAGTCGCGTGATTCTTCAGCTTTCTTCAGGTTTTCGTCCTAGCTGTTCAGGGCTCTCTGCCGCTCACCTTCGAAGGGGCGCGGTTTTTGTGGCAGCTTTCGGAAGTGGCAACGCGTACTTGACTTCAGTACCTATTTTGGATGCAAAGATAGTTTCCATCATGTTATAGTGGATTTGACGTCCCATACTGAGAAAAGACTAGTCCAGGCACTGCCTCGGCCTTGATGAAGAGGAGCTGATGAAGCTGGTATCCAGTCTGAACAGAGTTCACGTCTGTGGGGCCGTTTTTTTTTTGGCGGGGGGGGGGGGGGGTTGGACCGACCGCCTTGATTGTGAAATCCTCCTCTTCTGCCTCCTCCCCTTCATCCTTCTCTTGTTTGATGTTTTCCGCGGTTCCTATGTATAGTTTGCGAAGCACACACAAAGTAGCCTCCGAAAGCTCTGTGCTCCTAAACCCTAAACCCTAAACCCTAAACCCTCCTTGCCCAGGACGGCCAGTCCGGCGCAGAGTTTCTCAGAGGCCTGGGCGTGACGGAGGCATGGGAGCACGCACTCTGTCCCCTGCAAGGATGGGTTATTAAGCCTCTTAAAATCCCCACAAGGAACCCTGTGAAGGGCCCTTTCAAAGGGATTATAGGGTATGCGAACCCATCCTGGTGATTCTTCTCTTTTTGTTTGGATTGGCCTCAGAGGCCGAAAGGGGGTAGGGTGGGGACATGTGGGGACACGGGAGGCGTGTCACCCCGTATTCCTTTTGTGCGTGCTGCTTCGCTGTTGGTTTGACAGGTGTGACCAGGTCTGGGGTGCTGAGGCAAGGCTCGGGGGTTCAAAGGGTGTAAGGCTGCGGGTGCACCCGGAGGCTCTATAGCTCCCTTAGGAAGTATTTTGCCCTATTTTTGTTGTCCTTAAGCCCAGGGAAGATTAAGAGCATTTCTGTTTATGAAAGGTTCTAAGGGGAGTATAGGGCGCGGGTAGACATGTCGAACCGTATACAGGTTCAAAGACCACAGCTGTCACATTGAGATCCCCTCAACTGCCCTTGTAACTCCGAGCGTGGTGTCCCATGGCAGGACTACATCCGCCACTTCTGGGGTTTTCTCTCCCATGCCATCCTCAACGTGCCAGTGGAGGAGAGGGCAGCATCCGGGAGGGCTTAGTCGAATGAAGCCGGGACGGGGGCACAAAGCTTTTGGCGGTGAGAGTTCCCTCGGGGGCGATGCGCATGGTCCGTTTTCTCGGGCAAACACTGTACCAAGACGAAGTGGACCCTCGAGTTCCTTTAGGCAAGTTGTGCTGGGCAAACGTGCCAGCTCTTTCAGGCCAGGCATGTCGCCGATCCCAACACAAGGGTGTGCTCATGCAAGGTGAAGGCTGAAAAACCAACCTTCCTGCGTATGCGCAAGAATATGTGGCCAGGGATGTCAACAGACCAATTCCTTGCTACGCTGAGGGCTTTCAAAACCCTAAACCCTAAACCCCAAACCCTAAACGCTAAACCCTAAACCCTAAACCCTAAACTAAAAGGCCCCCTTTGACCTCCACCAGGAGGTCTCGGCCGCAGCACTGGTGCGCTTCTTCCGGCGCCTGGTGGGGCGGTCCTCCATGGAGATGGGCATCTGGGTTTGGTGTTCATGAAGGGTTTAGGGTTTAGGGTTTAGGGTTTAGGGCTTAGGGTTTAGGGTTTAGGGCTTCCAGGTTCAAAAAAGGGTTTAGGGTGTAGGGTCCGTGCCTGAAAAGGGTTTAGGGCTTAGGAGGAGTTGCGTTTCGCAAGGAAAGTAGAATTAGAGTGCGGCTAGGATGTTGGGGACGGTGGGAGATCAGATTCCTGTCCACCGTACGGGGTTATTCAGAGTAAGTCTACAGGCTACAGGCTCCCAGAACACCGACACTAGTAGGCTGAGCAGCTATTCATGAGGCACTTATTTTGGATGTCCTCAGGAGCAGCAAGTTGAAACCGACACAGAGGACCAAACTCCTAATCCAGCCGAAGATACCTCAGAGGCTTTTCGGGATGCGGCTTGGGCGAGCTCCTCGTGCCCGCGAAACTGGGACAGGTCTTCAGCAGAGGTGTCATGAAGATACGTAGGCTTCTAGGAAGGTCTTTCTTTGGAAGAGCGTATAGGACTTGCAACGTACCGTTCGCTTGCGCAATGACTCCAAAGAGGCCTTGTAGCAGATTTCAGAAGTACAGGCGTTCCTCCTTGGAAGCACCCACGTATTACATGCATGACTGCATGTCAGCCCTGAGGAAACCCTTTCTCGAAAAGCTCGGCTCCACCGTCCGCACCAGCACCGAGGTTCCTCAGAAGCACGGAGAGGAAGCCTTGGCTTCCGGATGTATCTGATACGCCAGCAGTTACGAAAAGTCATGATGTTTCTTCATCTAGGACGGGCCACACCCCCCCCCCCCCCCCCCCCCCGTCAGAGAAAACCATTCCGTAGTTCGGCAATGATCATCCTTCGATGCACAGGTCAGGGGATTCCTCGGCAGTGAGCGCTGCGAAGGCGTGGTCCTGGACTCAGGCGGGGAAAGGAGGGCTCTGGGACTCCAGACGTCCGCAGTCCGGAAGTTCGGAGTAGAGGATGCCTCGGTGTGGTGCACAGAGTGGCAGAGTCTTTTTCCAGAGCTTGGAAAAATCTAATCTGCCAAGAAGCGAAGCGCTTATAACTTATAAGCCACTGGCAGGCGAAGAGATCCGACCGAAGCTGGGAGTCATCAGCTCTCTGCCCCCACAGACCTTCCTGCCACTGGTGCCGGTTGCCTGGGAGGGCGCTGGCTTCCGAAGTTTGGAGGCATTGAAGCCGTGCAAGAATCTCGGGCCTGTTAGTTTTATATTAGTATAGAGCCACGAAACATCCAGTGCTACAGCCTGCAAAGAGCTTGTGCCCGCAGATGCGGGGCGACTACTCATCCCTGCTCGCACGCTGTCTGTGCCCAGGTACATCTCCGTCTATCTCTGGTTCGACCGTAAGGTCACAGAAGGGATGCAGATGTGGGCAAGGACATACAGCAAGGACGACTTGAACTGCGAGTTCTACGACTTCTCCGAGATCTATCCTGGAAAGGACTGCCCGCATCCGAAACCTTCATGAAGAAAGGAAGAGATCCAGAGAGGATGTTGAGGGAAGCCTTCTGTTTCGGGTCTGCGTGATGGTAGTCGGTTTTGTGGCCGCAGGTGGTGGCTAATGCAATGTCAGACATACACATAAGGTACGGCCACTAACGGCTCAGCCTCCCATCTAAAAACACCTTCGAGGCTGCAAAATCATGCAACATCCAGGGAAAGAGAGTCAGAGCCGTGGAAGCTGAAGTCTCCGCCCGAACCCTCAACGCTAAACTCTAAACCGAGTCAGATAGGGGTGGCATGGGCACTCCAGAGACACTCTGGGGTTGGGCACTCCAAGGAGACTCTGGGGTTGGGCACTCCAGAAAGACTCTGGGGCTGGGCAGGTTGGGCACTCCACGAGGGAGACTCTGGGGGTGAATCGGGGAGACTCTGGGGTTGAGGGAGACTCTGGGCTTGGGCACTCCGCGGAGAAGAGTTGGGGTTAAAATCTAACAACCCCACACCGAGGGTGGGGAACAAAGCCTGAATCCTAAGGCTAAACCTCCCCGGCCGTGTGCGAGTGTGAGAGTGGAAGCCCCCCAGGACGCTCAAGGGCAGCCATGGAAGGAGCGGCCCTCATTCGTCGGATCCAACATCATCGATTCGGGGAGGCAAGCGGGCTGAACGGGGAACTATAAGGGGGAAACCCGAAACCCTATAAGCCCAAAACCCCAAGACCCCCGCCCCCCCCGCCCCGGAAGCTTTTGTGAAACTTACATCGGGTAAAGCACGTTTCGCTTTGTTCCATAAACTGCTGTGCAGCAACAAAAGACCGAGCCCAGAAGCCTAAACCCTAAACCACTAAACCCGAAGCCCCAAACCCTAAACCCTTAAACCCTGAACCCCCCAAACCCCAAACTGGAGGCTGGCAGACATGACCGATGAGGAGATCGTTCAGGGCACCCTCCGAGAGATGCAGGAGCCCGTTCTTCCCTTCCTTTTTCCCTGGTTCTTGTAGTAGGGAATGAGGGATAGGGCCCTACACTTATATATATATATACCCGTGAAGGGATAAAATAGGGCACCTCATTCCCTCAGTTCTGTTGTGCCTCAGGGCCCAGCAGTTTGGGCGTTCCGTGTGTCATGTTTTGGGCGACACGCAGGGTGGAGGTGACAAACACTTCGAAGAAAAAACGAAGTTCTCGAAAGCTCGGAGAACTTTGAGCAAGCCCAAGCCCGCTCCAGGAGCGGTTCCCCAAGGCTCTGGAAGCAAAGGTGCTGCACTCTGTGGCCACTGGGTTCTGAGAGAGGGTTTAGAGTTTGGTTTGATGGGGTTTTAGGGCCGTTGAGTGTTGTGGGCCATTCCTCTGTTTTGACAGGGCTTGGGGCTTTCAAGACGTTGCTCGTTTGGGTTTGGTCGGCTCGGTGTGTTTAAGGGCGCTTCACGGACGCAACGACATGACGCCTTTTCACGTGCTCCATGTGCAGTAGACACTCCACTGTTTTTACCCCGCCGGTCCCCAGAGTCTTTACAGGTGAACCGCATTCCCATGGCCATCCACCGCCCCGTGGTGGGGACCGAGTCCCTCCGCCCAGATCAGGCCATGGGCTCAGGTCTCAAGATTTGGGGTTTCAGGTTTTGTTTTTTTCTTAAATGCAAGGGGACCAATTACGTGAGCTTAGCCCGGGGTGTGAATTAGAATGGTCCTCCTCCTAATTTGGGCTTTTTGGGGCGGTCGTGTTTTTCAACTGTGCTTTAACCGCCCATTGTGAGGGTTCACATAGGCTCGCCAGAACCATTCTGCATCAAAGTCGGCGGAGCAGTGTAGGGCGCGAGCAATCTCCATCTCACTCTCTCTCTCGCCTCCCCGACCTTTAAGCTTGAGCGATTCAGCTTCGAGTCCCTTGACCTCAGGGCCCAATGGAGCCGAAGCTTGTGAATCAACTTGGGGCATCATAAGCTTTCAGACGAGCTCGCCACTGCCTTGGACCGTCAAGCTTTGTTCCTTGATCTCCGATGCCAGGCCACAGAGGTGCCTGGTCTCTATCTCGCGGGCTGCTGGACACGGACGGAGTTCCCGCACCTCGTGCTCCAAGATCCTGTCTTGAGTACTCTGGTGCCATCACCCTGTGAAAATATGGGACAGTAGAGGTGGCATAGGTGGCACTTGCCACCCAATACGACACGTTTGGCATGAACATGCCGGAACCTTGGGGACCGAATGCTAAAATTGGGGTCATACACCCAAAACTACTATAATCCCGATTAAGTATGAACCATAAACCCTTTTAGGGTTCATATGCCCGAATCCGCCCTGTGATCCGAGGAGTTCCATGGAGTCTGCAGCCCGCAGCGGCTTTCTCGCAGCAGACGCGCTGCTTCGCGGGCAGGGGCGGCAAAGCCAGCCACTGGGTCAGACACGTCTTGGGGTTTTTTCTCACACATGCAGGAGCACATGTGTATGTATATATATATATCTCTCTCTCTGTCTACTCATGGATATTATATGTATATATATATATGTATTTGTTTAGTTATTCATATTTATATTTATTTTTATATAATATTGATTTGTTTTTTATTTATACTTATTTTTCATCTATCTACTTATTTGTTTATTTCTTTTTTTATGAGGCATTATTAGGTTTTGTACGTCATACCTTATAGCCCATATTTGCACAGGCCATATGAGCCAGCGGAAGGTGTGAAGACTGCAGATGCTAACAGGGGCCACGGGGAACCCTTATCAGGACGAACTCCCAACGACCGAGCTCAGCACAGTATGAAGGGTGAAGTCTCTTGAGGATGCTCTACCCTAAACCCTAAACCCTAAACCCTAAACCCTCTTGCTACTCTTGTTTGGGGCAGTCGAGGTTCCAGGGCTCACAGGGTTGACACGTAGTTGGCGTTCAGCGTTGGAACTTCGAGACAGAGACCGCTCAAGCCCTGGCCCCTTATACTAAGGGTTTAGGGTTTAGGGTTTAGAGTTACTAGCAGTCCGTTGATAGAGAGAGAAATCGGGGGTCCTACAATGCCTATGAAGGACTGTTAGTATGAGGGGGAGAGTCCCAACACATTAACCTCATCGTGTCCGCAAAGGCTTACAAAGGTTTTCTTGTGGGTACAGCTGCACCTGAACGGCGATCCTGGCTTCATAGCTCAGGAGATCACAGAACTATCGCTCTTGCTACTTGCAGGTCACAGTGCCCAAAAGCCGCGAACCCCCAAAAGCTCGGAAAGCCACACACAGAGTACGAGCGCTGCTGATTGCTCAGGGCCGCGATTGCTTACGGGCCCATCTCCCTTTCGGCGCGGCTGGTGGGGAAGCTCGATGTGCTCAGGCAACGTGGGTTTGCTTGCATACGTGAATTTCGAACTTTGGGACGTGATATGCTGTTCAGGGTTTGGAGGGATGCAAGCATCTAGCACTGAGGGGGGGGGGCGGGGGTTAGATGCAAGACCAAGAGACTCGTGCGAATACATACGGATCGGCATTAGCAATGGGGTTGGGGCTCGAGAATTTTGGAACAGGACGCACTGATCCGAACGGCTACAACCGTCTGCCGAAAGTAGCTCGACCGTAGTTTTATGGGATGAGAAACACGCCTGCTCTTATCTGGGCCCCTCCGACAACCAAGAAGCAGCATATGGGACAGTCCATGTGTCATCTAAGTTGTTTGTTCATGACTTTCTTGGGGCTTGCCATGTGCTGTAGAACCGCACACTCAGAATGAATGGATTTTGGAGTGGGCAAGCCGAAGATACCACCGGGCCGCATCTAGACAGGCCTTTCGCTTCTCTTCGCGGAAGTTGCTTGTTGTCGTTATAATCCTTACATTTCAATACTGTTACTACTCTAATTGCGAATACTACCATGATTACTCTTATATATCATTACTGCTACTATCTTTGCTTTGAAGGCCCATGCTGCTCGCACCACTCTTTCGAGGATTGGTGGGGGCCTCAGACCACATTTTTCGACGAGATTCCGCCACCCTCTTATAATCAGCGAAGACTACAGGCTTTTGGGTTTCCCAGGTGTCAATCTGTAGCTCCCCGGTCCTACCCTGCAGACTCGTGGCCGAGCTCTCGAAAGGTTTTGCTGCGCTCTCTGCGGTGCCTTCTTGGGCCTTTAAGTCGTCGGTTGAACCCTGTCTGCTTGGCAGGAGAATCGAAAACCAATAGTTTCCTACATATCCCCCTTTGCGTAGCCTCGTCTCCTCCCTGCGCCCGACGCTCTGTGAGGTTCGCCTGAGCGGCGCGCCCAAGAGCAAGCTTTGAGACTTGCGGAAGGGACATCAAAAGACTCGAAGGGCACATCAGGTCAAAGGGTTTAGGGGGGAAAGAGTTACTTACTTCTATAGTGAGACATATGCCCCACTCATCTGCCTGGTCGCTTCAAGGTTCTGACGGAGGGTAAGATGGCTCGCCGATTCTGTTGCTGCCGATGTGCTTCAGGGGTGCGATAGAGGAAAGTCCACATGCTGGGATGCTTTTGCTGGCCGAGCAGTACAATGCGATCATCCTAATTCCATGAAATGCGTCACAGCGAGGGCTTGCAGATGCTTACAGTTTCGGCTGCATGTATACGTATATCAGAGAAAAGCAACATCTTGCGCGCACTCCCAGCTGTCCCGAACCTTTCAGCAGTCCCCCGAACCCACTGCGCCCATGCTGGACCTTTTGGGTTGGCCTTGGCCAGGCGCGCATCCCGTCACCGCTGCCGGTGCCTGTTCTGCGAGAGGCTGAACTCCCAGGGAATCCGGGTGTTGAGAGACGCAGAGCCATCGTTCTTACCCACTTACCCTACATGTCCTACAGTCCTACAGTCCACCTGAAAGTTGAAGTTTTCTCCACCTTAACGTGTCTTTTCCCATGGCTCCCCTTGAAGCTTTCGCGTAAGGGGGTTTTCAGATGTCTTTTCAAAAGCCCCCCCGAACTGGAGCCACCTGGCCAGGGCTCGGATCCACAAGGCTGGTGGCAGGCCGGGGTTGGGCCGGGGGGGGCGGGGGGGGGGTTCTCTTCCATCAGAGGGACAGAGAGAAGGAGAAGAGGAAAGAATATGACAAAGAAAGAAAGAGCGATTTTCAGAGGAGGAAGAAAGAGAGAGTTGAGGGCGGAGATTTGCAGCTGAAGGCTCAAGAAGCACCAATCTATCCAGGGCGCATCGAAGAAGCATACCCTAACCCCTGAACCCTAAACCCTCGCTTGGCACCCAGCGGAACAAAAACAGTTCGAGGGAACTGGGCCTCAGCTCGCCCAGATCCTTGCCGAGACGAGGGCCGAGCGCCGGGAGCGTGAGCATCGAGGTGCAGGGTTTAGGGTTTAGGGTTCTACGTTGGGAGTTCCCAAAAAGTTGTCACCGCGGTTTGTGCAAGGGCCCGAACGAGGGAGGAGGGCCCCTCGAATGAACTACGGGAGTACAGGGGGACATTCGTTGATTTTGACTTCTGAGTTGTGCTTGCAGGTATCCAGACCCAGGATGCGGCTAGAGTCTAAATTCAGCACGTAAGCCAGACATGTAAGACCAACGAAGCAGAAGTAACAACACACAAGCCAACAATGCACAAGCACAAATTCGTAAGCCCGACGCCGTCAAGGACGAAGTAAACCCTAAACCCTACAACCCAAAACCCTAAACCCTAAACCCTCTGTGGACTGCTAGCAGAGAGCGCGTGCCAAAGCCCTAAACCCTAGCCCGACGCCGCACATCTTTTAAAAGGTTGATAAGGGTCAGGGTGGTTCTGCGCATTTTTTGGGGAATCGGAGCTTGGAGAGATGGCAGGGTATAGGGTTACCGGCTTGGGGTTTTGGGTTGAGGGTTGAGGGTTTATGGGTTTAGTGTTTAGGGTTGAGGGTTTGTGGGTTTAGTGTTTAGGGGTGTGGGGTTGTTAGGGTTTAGGGTGTAGGGGTTGTGTTTTGGGTTAAGAGGTGCGGCTACTCAGCAGTTAGGCTTCAGGATTCTCGTCCACGGCGAGCCTGCTTGATTCCCGCCGGGAACCGGTGTCGACAGCCAGCGGGTGGCGCCATCTCCTCAAGAGGAGGTTTAGGGTTTAGGTATTAGGGTTTAGGGTTCAGGGTTTAGGGTAAATGGCTACGGCTCAAGGACATCTTGGCTACGAGGCTCTAGTGAGCATTTAAAATTAGGACTTCCTTTGCTGCCATGGATGACGGAGAAGGAAAACTCCGGAGGAGCTTGGTATCCTGCTTGGCTTACGCGCTGCGTCTTTCTTCTAAGTTGGGATGCGCTTCCGCCACTCCAAAGCTGAATCAGGTGCTGCGAGAACTGGTTGAAGACTCCACCGGAAAACCAAAACGAAAAATCAGCCTGTTCGAGGGACTGAACCTTCAGGAATCGGATGAGGCCGTGCGCAGCTCCCAGACTTGTTCCCGGGAAAGCCATCAGAGCGTCAAGGCTTGTCATGTGAGCACTCAGACATATGAAGAACCAATCTCCGAACGACAATGCAAAGCTCTCGTGCAGAGATACGAGGAGGCTCTTCAGACGGTCATTCGGGAAGTGACTGACTTTGATCGCAGACTTTTAGTGCAGGAACGTGCTGCACCATCGGAAGTTACTTCACGAACCTCAGGGTCAGATCAATCCATGATACCACCACGTGCGGGTCAACCCACCGTTCGACATGGTTCGTTCAATTATCTCCGTGAGAGTGAGCCTGCCTTCCAGCCTGAGTCTATACAAATTCTACGGAATCAGCACAGAGCACAGCGCCTCGCACTCAAGGAAGAACGTAGGCGCATCCGTGCAGGTTTGTCTGTTGCTTAAGCCTGGATGCAAGCATCAGGGCTTTTTGCATGTCAGCCTCGGTCAAGAATAATTATTGAGGTCTGGAGACTGGCTAGACCTTCAGCCCAGTAGCAAAAGGGTTCTTCACTGATTCAGCAAACTGTGAAGATTGAGTCACCATGTGACAGAAACACAGGAAGTCCCCTAAAACCAAACCCTCCCAAAAAGAAGGAACAAGAAGAAAATAAATTAAAGGGACGCAGCCGTAAGGGAGCTGCCCAGATTATAAGCTTCTAGGGCTTAAACAGGGCCTCCCTCACCCATGTATGTATACGATCCTTATTTAGGGCGCAAGAGAGGGCCCTAAACCCTAAACCCTAAATCAGAATCCCCTTAAGAGGCCACCCTGCCCCCCAAGGTGAGATCCATCTGGCCCCGGAGGTGACGTGAGCTGGGGCCGAAGGGTCCTGAAGCCCCGAAATGAGAGTTTTCCAGCAAGTTCAGGGAACCCTAAACCCTAAGCCCTAAACCCTAAACCCTGTAGACTTCAAGATCTTGCAACTTGGCTACCTCTGAGTTGAGGTGTTGAAGTTGCTTGCACAGAAATTCCCGGAATTTCTGGAAGGCTTTTGAACTGTTTCCTCCAGACATTGGAGGCTGGTGCTGTCTGATGACACCCTTGACCTTGAGGTATACAAAACCACAAACTGTGCTTTTGATTGCTATTAATAGTCACGAAACATACTACGACAAAAATCCATGAGATCTACGTATTCCGTACTACCTGCTACCTGCTGACTACTGCCACTACTGCTACTACTTGCATGTTCATGGGTAGATAGAACCCCAATTATGACTGCACTTATCAGCCCCCTAAGTCCCCTAAACAGGTTACAAGTGCAGCCATACTTGGGGCTACAAGTACCCATGAACCTAGTACTGCTACTACTGCTACTGCTCCTGCTGCTGCGGGTACTGCTACTGCTGCTACTGCCACTAGCTACTGCTACGAATTATGACTGCACTTATCAGCCCGCTAAGTCCCCTAAACAAGTTACAAGTACAGTTCTGATTGGGGCTTTAAGTACCCATGAACCTAGTACTGCTACGACTGCTACTGCTCCTGCTACTGCTGCTACTGCCACGAGCTACTACTGCTACTGCTACGAATTATTTCGACAACTGCCAGTTACTATGAATTGCTGTCACTTATTTCTATTCTTAGTTCATCTGGTATTATCATTTCAAGTTGTATTATTGCTCCTACTTCTTCTTTTGCTGCTACTCGTACTAGACTAGTAATGAGATTTATCATTGCTGCATTGGTCGTATAGTTTAAGTGTCGTATAGCAGATCTGTGCAGAGTGATCCTTCTTTACCCTTCATTGAGTACCCAACGTGATCATCAGATGCACAGCCCTCGTAGTGTGCCGACAGGCCAGGGATGCGCTTGTCATGCTTTCATGCGTTTATCTTCATTCTCGTCCTCCTTTTTGGCCTTTATGCAATCAGCAACGAGCACTTTGAGACTGGCCGAACCTGAATCAAGAATTCAAAGCCTCGACTAGACTTCGGGAGATTCTCTGCAGGAAGTAAATCGCAGCCCTGGGTGTCTTGCTGCTACTTGTGCTAGAAAGCAGCTGTCGACACAAGGTGGCAAGCCTCTTCACCTCTACAGGCGGGTGAGCCAAGCCCGAAATGTGAGATCCCAGCCGCCTTCGAATAACCCAACTCTTCGACGCAGTTCTTTTGGAGTCCTGAAGGTACACCATGGCCACCCAACAGTTATGCGAACTACCACCTCTTGGCACAAGGCAGCGAATTCAGCGAATGTTTCAGGATGTTTCAGGTGCAGATGCCCCAGCTAAGGTGATCGCAGCCAAAAAAGTGCTCGTGATACTTGCGTGCGCGTGGGTCCAGCGCATGTGGGGATGTAAGCTCAGGGGTGTCAGCCTGGCTGGGACGGATTGCGTTTTAGATGGTTCGCTTGATGTTGTGATCTTCATAAAGGGAACCATAAAGTCTCTAAGCTTCTGCTGATTAGGGTTTCCGACTATATAAAGAAAACGAGTTCACCCTTCTTCATGCAGCTGTTTCTGGTTTCGGCGCCGGTGGGCGTTCGTGCCTAGGAAGCCTGTCAGGGTGCCCCGGCCGCAGGTTGCAGGAGGGGGCGGGGTTTGATCAAATTCTGGAGGCATTTCTGTCGGCTTCTAGATATGTTATTGAAGAGCAGGAAAAGGGCGAATAGGTTTGAGAAGCCACATGCATGAGTTCCGCACAACGGTAGAGACTTCGGTTGTCCTCCGGTAGTTCGGATTCTTGTGGCTAGTGGTAGTCTAGGTAGTCAAGCTTCCTCCATACCTGGGGCATGCGAAGCCCACCCGAAACCAGCATTCTGGCAGTGAATCACACTTCTACACAGCCAAAAGAAAGCAAGCCGGCCAGCTACCAGTAGGCAAGTTGCGTTGATGCCACATGTCCCGGCTTCAATCGCAAGCAGGGCCACAGATCCCGCAGTTCATTCAACCGCCTCTTGAAGTGTAGGATGAACGAAGGCCTGGACTTTCTTTAGTAGTCGGGTATGGGTTTGGGCCTTAGGGATGTTTACGGTTTCCGGATTGCAAGAAAGGGTGGGGAGTTAGAAGCCTGTTGCAGGAATAGAGTTGGATCAATGTCTTGGGAAGCTTGAGATGTTTGAAGCAGAAAACAGGGCCTGGATTCCAGCATTCACACTTGAAGTGGAAGAAACATTAAACTCCCATGGGCCCCTGTCAAACGCAGAAAGGGAGTTTGTGGTAGGGCCCCCCCCCTCCCCCCCACATGGCCCACACCCACCCCAGTTGTCCTGAAGTGTGGAAGCTCAGCTGAGGATTCTGTCACAACCGGTGACTACCTGGGCCGGTGCTACCTCTTCCTGTGGCTCGCTTCGCGATGAGATGGCTTCACAATTATTGTCATTCCTATTCTTCTTCGCTACACCGCGAAGAGAGAAGAGAGAGATGTATATGTTGATGTTGTTTATGTTTTGTTTGGTGGCTGGTGGTTGGTGAGCGGTGCAGAAATGTTGATGAAGTTCAGAAATCCTGGCAGCTGGGTTTGAGGGACAGGGTGTGGAGGTTCGAAGCGTTTTTGTTTCTCTGTTTTTTGAGCACAACCTTTATGATGGTTCCTAAGTCCTAATTACTTGCTGTTATGACCATGACTGCCGTTGTTCTGGCAGTGGTAGTCCGCCCGTCAGTTTTTTTGAAAGCTCTCGCAGCCGAGGGGTTGTTCATGGCAGTCGTTGTGGCGTGAGTCTTTCTCCAAGCTGTCAACGCGCCACCTTGTTTTTTTAAATCGTCATCCCGAAACTGTCGTCGGCTTACGGTTCGTGGTGCAGCTCAGGGGTAGGGCCACAACTTCTGGCTTGCGGCTTTTTTTTCAGAGGTTTGCATACGGGTGCACCCTGTGGGAGGCCTCGCATAGGCTATTCTGCTGCCAAGCGCGGCTGGGAGCAATCCCAGTCCCCGAGTGGCAGCGTACGAGTGGGAAGATTGACGAAACTCAAGGGGGGGGCTCACTTGCGCCCTAAGCCCTGAAGCCCAGGTGTCGCAGAGACAAGGAGCTCAGCGGTCAGGAGCCCTGTGAAGCGCTTCCTTTCGGACGTTTGTTTTTAGGCATTTTTTAGGTTCTGCTCCTTCCTCATGAGCCTCGAATCGTCTGCCAAGGCATGTTGAGGCGCGCGCCGGCGCGCGCGAGCGCGCTTAAGCGTAACACTGGGGTCAGCGCAGCGCGGGGTAGAATCGGGTCCCGAAATCCCCTCCGCGAATCGTTCGAAAGTTCTTTGGGCCGATCCCGAATTCTGCAGAGAGAGAGAGAGAGATCCCGAGTTGTGAAATGATCATTAATAAGAACCAGAAACGAGGCCGGCGAACCGCTGTGAGGCCCGTGTTGTAGTTGGGGGAGAGCATGGGGGGTGTCATTATGAGGCCCTCTTCTGGAATCCTTGTAGGATCATACGACCCCAAACGCGCATAAGCCTCAAAACGCCGCAACCCTAAACTCCAAGGCGAACTCTCTGCTACGTTGGAACGGGCAGGGGCACATGCGTGTTAAGGGGTGAGGAGGATTGATTCAGTGCTGAGCACCTGAGACACAACCAGAACTCCAGCGGCCCTTCACATCGACGGAGTTGAAAGAAAACTGCCCACGTCCATCCAAAACGGAGAATAACAAGCCTCGTGTGATGTGAACTCAGGACTTTGCCAGGCCATTCTGCCCTCTTTGTGGAACTGTGTAGCATTGCCCGATGACAAAAGACGCTCAGCCGCAGACTTGCAGGAGCATCTTCACGGCGAACACTTCGTGACAAACCACATCCCCCTGAACAGCACAGGACCAGCACCGGGTTGTAGAGCTGCGCCTCATTCGATGGACACTTTGCTGCTCCATTCTCCCGAAAGACATGGATCCTCTGTGTCAGTCGCTCCAGCGCAAACCACACTAAACCTGCTGGGTGGTCTGAGGCTCTCTAGGACAGCATAGACACTATTCTCACTATTCGCTATTCTTTTGCCGATCATCATGTACGATCGCGGAAAGGTAGGGGCAGCTTCTGTGCATGAACGGAGCATGCGCCTCAACTGGACACACACACAGACAAGTTCGCAGTGTTGGAATAGCCCTTTGGGCTCCGAGGCAGTTCGCGTGTCAGAAAACCCAACTATATCAGCAAGCAAGTCAGCATCAGAGCAGAAGTGGCAGAGTGCCGACTCTGCAAACACGAACTGTGGCTCCATAGGCCCATAGGTCCTAGGCACGAGCTTGGCTTCCTTATCGCTGTTGCGATTAAGGTTATCATGGGCCCGGGCTGGCGAACCCTTTAAGGGTTTAGGGTTTAGGAATTAGGGTTTAGGGTTTCAAGTTTGGTGAGTCGTGCCATGGCGGACAATGTCGCCGGACATGAGCACGACTGGGACGGCTCAGCCACCGAAGAGTCCGAGGCACGCTTGGGGTTGGTTTTAGCCCAGTATGAGAGGGGTCGGAATAAATTACTAATAGTATTCCCTTATGGTCCCTATATAAATATTCTATAGATAATCCCCAAACCCCTGCTCTAATGATTAAGGCCCCTACACTACGGTTTGGTGGTTTTCGAAATTAGGTACCTTGTTGGGGTCCCTATTTTAAGGCAGTTCTATAATAATAATAATAATTATTATTATGATTCCTGTTTTTTGTTTTTATTTGGGAGTCTATTTTAGGGATCCCCTATTTTCGTCAACCCCCTTTCGGTTCAGGGCGGTCCTGTGCTCCACGGTGTGTGCTGCGTTCGGCTCGGCGAAGTCCGTTTTTGTTTTTGGACCTGTGGAGCTCAATTGCTTTGCAAGCCCTAAACCCTAAACCCTAAACCAGCGGAATCTGATTTTGAACGTTGATGTTGGGGCGCTCTGAAAGCTCGGTCTCAGAAGCGTGCCCTTAGACACTGAAACACGAGCCACGCCCAGTCTTTCGACTCGGCCACGCAGATTGAACTTGAAGATCACTTGCCACCCGACCTGCAAGAGACGATCTTTCGGGAGGTTTGCTAGCGAGGGTTTTGCTTGGGCACCTTTCTCCAGCGCCCGCTACTTGTGTCAGTCTGCTTTGGCTCTGCTTGGGGATGGAAGGTTGAGAGTTCAAAATGGATCGCCTCCCTTCCGCTGCGAGAACACACGTATTGCCACAAGTGTATCGCAGCTTGCTGGACCATGGCTCAAATCAGGCATCTGCAGCCCGTTACCCTTAAGAAATCCCGACTGTAGCCCATGGCCTTCTGCCAAAAACCAGCACGGCTTTGGCTTTAACTTGTTCCTAAGCCGAACTTGCCGTAACCCTGCGCCGGGCACGTCGCACATGCAGCCGCACGCAACTGCCAGACACAGCGCGGTGGCAAGATGTTCCGCAAGCCATCCCAACAGACATGACCAGCAGAAGTCTCTGAGCCCGAGCCAAAATTGGGGTTTACGAAATTGGGGGGGGCCCCTAAATTCTGGACCCAGATAGTAGGAATCCCCTTCTAGGATCCCCTTATGATAAGGACCCCTACCATCGTAAACCCCCCTTAAAATCTCACACCCGTGGCGTTCCAGACTCGAACGCAACGCGTGGGCCCATGCTCGCCGCGCACCAGCGTCGCCTGCCATGGCCTGCCAGCTGCGAGCGCTATGGGTCTTCCACATGGAGTCGGAGGTCTTTAAAAAGCCCCCCCAAAGTATGTAAAAGAATCGCCCAAAACATCCTCAAGCCCATAAAAAGGCCCATGGTAAGCCCACCCCCCCCCAAGTATGTAAAAGAATCGCCAAAAACATCCTCAAGCCCATAAAAAGGCCCATGGTTTTGACATGCTTTGGGGGGTTTAGGTACAGCCCAGCGTCGGAAGTGTGGGAATTTCTTTTGCTAGGGCCCCTCCATCTCCTGATAGGTTCGAATTCTCCCAAGCCAGATACGGGATTGCATTGAAGTTTAGCTTCGCCGGTCATGTCTGTTATCCACATGAAAGTTTAGCTTTCCCGAGCTTGAGGACAAAGGTTGAGGAGTGGGGGGGGGGGGGGGGGGACTCTTTTCAAGTTTTCGGAGCGGTTTCAGGTTTCCAGGGGAGGATCCTAGGAAGCCCTAGTACAGGTGCCGTTCGTAATAGCAACGGGGAACCTTTTTTGGCATGTCTTTGTCCCAAAATAAAGGAACCGCAAGTTTGACAACCTCCTATATGCCGGATGCGTACTGAACGTCTGATCTTTCTGTGATGAGGGGTACTTCTCAAAATAGGGGTACCCCGTTTATACCCCAAATAGAATCGAGTCCCCCTTCACCCTAAACCCTAAACCCTTAAATGGGACCCCCCCAAAAGGGTACCCCTCTCTCTCTCTCGCTCTCTCTCTCGCTCTCTCTCTCGCTCTCTCTCTCTCTCTCTCTCTCTCTCTCTCTCGGAAACTCCAAGAAGAATAAGCGGGTGCCAGGTGCGACTCCTCACCAGCCGCCGCTTCCCCACTGTGGAGCTGCGGGGATGTTTTAGGGGTTAGGGTTTTGGGTTTAGGGTTTAGGGGTTAGGGTTTTGGGTTTAGGGTCTTGTTGTCTTTGGGAGCGCTGATCTTCTACCTGCCTCTGCAGGTATACTCACCTGAGCCACGCTAAAAGCCATGCAAAGTCATGGGAGCTGTCCTTGCTTCGGACTTTAAGTTCTTTGGGGGGAGCTACCTTGCGTATGAGGGGAGCCCAAATTCAGGACCCCTGAGCCCAAAACCCTAAACCCCCCGAAACCCTCTCTGCTTGACTCAAGAGAAACTTCACAGGAGCGCAAGCTTCAGCGGCTGCAAGGTCGCGCAGAAGCCTGGGTTCGTGTTAAGGAACTTTATAAGTGATCGTCACAGGGTTCTGTGTAGGGATGGTAAATTTTTGTTAACAACCAAACCGCAGCAGATCTCAGGCAAAACAAGGTCCCAGAGAAAAGTCGGTCCTCTCACCCCCTGGCCAGGCAGCAGCCATGTGCCGCTTCCCTGCGATGAAGACATCAGCCACCTTTTCGTGTCAGAGGCTGGGACCGTATCAGAATGTATCAAAAGGGCACTTTACTGGGGGTATTCAGAATGACTTCAAACACCACTGGGACCTTCTAAAAGATGTTGGGAGAGGGGCAGTAAAGGTCGGCCACAAGCAAGGTGAGCACGTGATGACGCAGTGTTCTATTGCAACTAGTGCTCCCGAGGCTAGTAAGTGTTGCGCTGCGCGACAAACTCGGACAAAAGAGTAAGCCCTAAACTTCCTAAACCCTAAACCCTAAGCTCCGAAAAGGTTCTGGAGGAGGAGGAGGACCACAGCCTTCCGGCAGATCTACCAGCGCCATTCCACGAGGCGCTCAGGTTTAGGGTTTACGGTTTACGGTTTAGGGTTTAGTGTTTAGGAATTAGGGTTTAGGGTTTAGGGAAGAAACAGCAACCGAGGTGTTCACGTGTGGGGTTCAGTAGGCTCATGCTGGCAGAGAGCTCAAAACGGGGTTGAGAATTTAGTTCCCTAAACCCTAAGCCCTAAACCCTAAACCTGAAACCCTCAACCCTAAACCCTAACTAAACCCTAAACCCAACTTCCTGCCGTCAGGAAGCAGTTTTGCTGCTTGAAGTTTCGTGAAGTTTTATGCGCTGTGGCCCTTGCAGTCGACAGTCCAAACCACCAGACTTCACAAGCTTTTAACGTAGCACCATGCCAGGCGCGTGTCTTGGTTCTTGGTTTAGGGATTTAGGGGTTTAGAGTTTAGGGGTTTTAGGGGTCTTAGGGGTTTTAGGGTTTTAGGGTTTAGGGTTTAGGGTTTAGGGTTAGGCCGTGACACCCCCAAGAAACTCAGCGACGGAGAAATCTTGAGGACTTCCATCAAGGGTCCTTCAGCTGGGATGCCATGGAGGACGTCTTGGGAGCTGCGACTTGTAGCAGTTCTGTTATGTCAGAGTGCTGATGGTCGCCGACACCGAGTGGCTTAGGTCAAGCGCAGCAAAGCTCGAAGCTAGAGTTAGAATCGATGGGGGGGACTACAGGGAGCATCAGAGTGTTGGGCACGGCGATCTGGAGAGCGGCATGAGGGTGGTCTTTCATCGTGGGGCACGTCGATGTACAAGAGAACCGTTTGTTAAGTGGGACAGACAGTGCTTCATACAGGCGGTGTATCAGACTTCTTGCCGGTGGTCTTGAGGTCACTTCCAAGGGTTTGCGGCGAGTGCTCAAACCCTAAACCCTACAGGCCCTGCGACAAACTCTAGAATGTATATATATATATATATGTATATATATATATATGTGTGTGTGTGTGTGTGCATATATATATATATATAAATGTGCTGGGTTTATGCTTTTTACACCTCTGTGTAGCCGCAAACACGAACCCTAGGCACAAAAATCAAAAACTATGAACCTTATTACCCCTAAACCCTATTAACCCTAAACCCTATACTCCCCAAACCCTAACCCTCGGCAATGAGACCTACTAACCCTCAACCCCCAAAAAATCCTTTGACCCTAACCCACGGCAAAAAAAACAAAACAAACAACATAACGCAGACCCTATCAACCCGAAACCCTAACCCATAACCCATGTGGGGGGAGAAAACAAAAACAACAAGAAACCATGAACCCTAAACCCTATATACACTAAACCCGGGGCCTATCGAAAACAAAAAGCAAGCTGTAAGCCCTATGCAGAAACAACCCTATACTCTATAAACCCTGAACCATAACCCTCGCCCCAACCGACCCCTGCCTGTGCGAGTGCGAGAGTCGAAACCCTAACCCACGGAGGAGAAAAAAAGAAGCCATAAACCCTACTAACCGTAGACCCAGTAACCTCAACCCACGGAGGGAAAAAAAGGAAAGAACAACTATAAACCCTTTTAACCCTAAACCAAAATACTAATTAAGTCAAAACCCTAGCCCTCGGCACAAAACAAAAACAAATTCAGATAACCTACAAAACCGATTGACCCTCAACGACCCTGTTCCCTTTTACTCTTATAAGCCCTTAACCCTAACCCTCGGCAAAACAAGACGATAAACCCCATAAACCCTCGGCAACAAAAACCATAAACCCTGTAAAAACCCTGCAAACCCTATTAGCACCCTATAAACCCTATCAAAGTTCCAGATATTTTCTTAACCCTCTAGAAACCCCATGAAAACCCTATTAAACCCGATTATTAAACTCCCACAAGCCCCAGTAAAACACTAAACACAAAACGATAAGAAATCCAGATCAACCCTACTGAAACCCCTATAAGCCCCCAGTAAAACCCGAAGAAGTATTACGAACCCTAGCAGCCCCATTAAAACCCAATAAACCCCATGAGAACCCCTATAAACCCTCGTTAACACCCTAAGAATTACTTGCAAAAACCTTTAAAAGCCTATAAACACCCTGTCAAACTCCTATAAACCCCCATGAAACCCTAAGAAATCTTGCGAAGAAGTAGGAGTCGCGGATGGAGAAGCTCTGGCCCCTGGGCCCGGTGACGGCGCTGATGTTCCACGGCCCGACAGCTCTTTTACTTAGGCCAAGAGAGGGGTAGTTGAAGCCTTTTATGTAGGGTTTAAGGTGTAGGGTTTAGGGTTTAGGCCTCTATGTAGGGTTTAGGGTTTAGGGTTTAGGGTTGGGGCTCAGGGGTTTAGGGTTGGGGCTCAGGGGTTTAGGGTTTAGGGTGTAGGGTTTAGGGTTTAGGGTTTAGGGCAACAGGTGGGTAGTTTCCTAAAATCGGGTCCCTTTCTCGGGTACCCATAAATTAGAGAACTACCCAGATGAGCTTAAAACCGTTTAGGGTTTAGGGTTGAGGGCTGTTAACTTGTCGGGTTTGCCGTGTCTTTTGTGGGAAGAATAAAGTTAAACCTTCTCATTGGCTGTTGGAGAAGTCAGGCTGAGAACTCCCCACTTCTGGTGTGACCTTATAGGGCCTTTCTATAGGGGTCGTTTTCGGGTTTTAGGGTTTAGGGACTTTAGGGTTTAAGGGTTTCGGCCCTAAACACTCACACAAGCCTGGACGCAAAAGGGCCTTTCGGGCCTTTAGAGGGTTAAAAATTGGGAAGCCCTCTGGTTCGGGATCGCTTGGAGCATTAGAAACCTGAAGATCGCGAGCAGTTGATGCCTGTGCTCTCTCCTGAGGAAGGGCAAAATTTGGCCGGTGGTCTTCCTGCAGAAGAAAGGCCTCACTGACAGCAAAAGCTGGGAATTGGGGGCTTTGGGAACTGTGCCTCCTTTTGGGGCTACAATTTCAAGGGGGTTTCTTGATTGACCATCGACCTCCTACCTGCGCCTGAGATCCCGACACTGCACGATCACAGAGCCATGAGTCTTCAGGTTGTGTGCCGCGTTTGAGGTGCTTGGGGGAGGTTGTTTGCTCTTGAAGTGCTGGTCTTCTGTGGCAGAGAGGCTACTACCTGGTCACGGCCGTGGCAATTATGGATCGCAACTGTCAGGAAGCGCTGGCTCAGTTGGAGGGCAGAGGCTGAAGAAACGTAGGGTTTAGGGTTCCTGGGCTTCGTTCTTGACATTCCATCTCAAACGTGATGGCCAGATGATGCTAGATAGTCTGCCGCCCGTATTGGCCGCAACCGCACTCTTGCAGCTGCAGAGAGTGTCAGTCAGAGAGAGAGAGAGAGTCTTGGTGGTTGCCAGTTTCGGCTCCTCTGTAGCCCTTGCTGCAGGAGAAAGGCGGCGAAGGCGCGGGAGAAGTTCAGCAGTGCTTGTTGGCATCGTTGCTCTCTCAAGCTCCTGTGAACTTGTTGCGCCACCGGCAGGGTCTGTGCATATAATCACAATGATAGTAGAAAAAAAGATAATCGTAGTATGAATAGATGTATCATTATATTGAATTATCAAATGTATTAGATAGGCTTGTAGTTTTATGCCACTGCCAGCTCGCACACTTTCCGCTCACTTTTGAGAGGACTGACGTCGAATGTTGTCATTTAGGGCGTCATTCCGCGCGACAGGACGCGAAACGTCTGTCACAAGCTGCAAAGAAAAGATGTGGCCACAACCTGGAACCTGAATCCTGAAATCTGACGGAATCTGTCAGTGGGGTCCGAATTTGGACAGGCGATTGTCCGAGGCAGCTCAGCTTTCAAAGTACCCTCCTTCGTTTGGGTTTGGATAAGTGGCAAGTCTGCAATGTCATGATGTAAACCTGGCACCTCGTGCTGGAGAAGCTTCCACATAGTAGGTCTTTTCAATTCAGGCCCGCAATGAGAGCCTCTCAGCCGAAATCGAGGTTCGACTAGAGCAAGCACGCGAGGAGATATGGGAGAGTGATCTGAGGCTACACAAGCCCTACCTGTCACTGTGCCCAATAATCTGGGACTCCAAAATGGCTGGGTGTTTCCGAAATTAGGGGTACCTTTTTGGGGTTACAGGAATCCTACTATTTGGGGTCTAAATCGGGATCCCCCATTTTTCGAAAACTCCCCCAGATGTCCCCCAAAAAAAATGGCCAACGGAAAGCAAACTCCGCGAGGCGAACGCCCCCGCGCTTTAGACTTGCCCGCCGTGACAGCTGCCTTCGCGGTCTTGGAGGCCGGGAGTTTTTTGGTGGCAAAGCCAAGCAAACCCTAAACTTCCCTAAACCCTAAACCCTAAACTTCCCTAATCCCTAAACCCTAAAGTCGGCTTCATGTGGGCACGGTAAGTAGAGGACTGCAGGCGATAGATGGCGGGGAGGGTCTCATTGTGGACACTGCCGAAGGGCGTGGATTTGATGTTCGACTGTCGGTTTCAAATCTTTAGCATTTGCAGCAGGCGGGCGCGAGGTTCCAGAGGTTCCAGCTGAGGGTTTAGGGTCTAGGGTTTAGGGTTTTGGGTTCAAGCCCACTACGATCCTTGCGAGTGTGCCTATTTTGGTTCTGGCTCAGGGGCTGCAGGTTTGGGCATAGCAAGTTTCAATTTCTGCACTCACTATGGTTCCTAAACGCTCGACCTCCAGGACATCTGCGACTTCATTCCAGCCAATCTGTCGATCTCCGATGTTACCGGCATATCAGAGCTTCAGCCGCGTGGCTTCACAGTCTTTGGTTCCCTTGGCCACTTCAGGCTGTGCACTTTGTCTGGCTCAGAACACCTGCGAGTCGCGTGCAGAATATGACAGAGAGAGAGAGAGAGAGTGCGAGTTATCCTGCAACAAGGGAGGCGGTTGCGATTCGGGGCCGGAAACCTACACGCGAACAACGTGATATAGGAAAGCACGTTTTTGCCGCTTCTGTGGGGGGGGGGGGGGGCTGTGTCGTGTTGGTTCGGATTGAGCTTCAACTTCGGGTGCGCTGTGCTCGCTGACGGCGGAATATTCCTCCCTTCATGCCCGGCGGAAGAAGAATTTGAAGAAGAAGAAGCAGAAGAAGAAGAGGATGAGGAGGAGGAGAGAGGGAGTCGTTTACGGGAGTTGAAATGCCCCCGTCCCAAACCACGCTTCACTGAATCCCTTGACTTTCCTCAGATTTGTTGCTTCCCGACTCGTGAATCCCAAGGCCCCCGCGCCTTGCACCGGGCTTTCACGAAACCTCCATGACTTGACCCTGACCACGGATGCACCACATAGCACTGCTGTCCGAGTTCTTCCTCCAAATTGGGCTGTGGTTTGATACATGTTTAGGCGCCTTGCAAACACCCGCGGCCGGCTCAGGCCCTACTCAGAAAACTCTCCAAGCTTGGGCATGTCCTCTTTTGCCACAACACCAGAGAGCCACAGGGCCTTACGCGGTCGAGTGTCGGAAGAAGGCACAGGCTGCTTCTGATCTGGCAGCCTTGTGGATGAGAGGGGGGGTGGTCTCACACATCATTTCCCTGCAGCTTGCTGTGGCATGCTGGGTGGGTTTACGAAAAGAAGGGACGCCGAATATAAACCCCCAAATAGTAGGATTCCCCTTATCATAAGGACCCCAATAAGGTGCCCTTGAATTTCGGAAACCCCCATGCTGACACTTGCAGGTACTACATCAGGAGCGCACTGCCTTTCGGCAGCCCAGTGAACACCAACTTCTACCTCCTGCGCATGGTGCGGCAACCCATCAGCAGCAACACAAGCAAAAGGCATCCTGCTGAAGTCCCCCCGTCCCCCCGTCCCTCCTGCAAGGTCTCAAGGCTTCTGAGCCGTGAGCTTGGACCTCCACACTCCTGCTTGTGTGTTACGTAAATGGTCATTTAAAGTATAGTCCTTTAGGTGCGTGCTTGTGGATGGCACTGGGTGTTGATGGGCGGTCACAGAAGAGCGCGCACCCCGACCTCATGGTTTCAGAGTCGCAACGAACCAAGGCATGGCTTCCCAAACAAGGAGGACTAGGGTTTAGGGTTTAGGGTTTAGGGTTTAGGAGGGTTTAGGGTTTAGGGCTGTTCGCTGTTTACTCTTCAAGGAAGGCCGTCAGTTTGGGCGAAAAGCGATGTAGCTAAAATGTCGATTGAGGTAGGGCATCAGGTGCTCATCCCAGTTGCCATAAGCTCAAACTGCTTTCAAGTACGCATCCCCCACCTTGGGCGGTGAATCCCTCACATCCAAGTCCGAACACTCACGAGGATGACACCTCTCACCGATCACCGGCGTGGAAACCCTACCTCTACAAGGGCAAGAGCAAGCTGACCTTGCACCTCAGTCAGCATTGCGTTGTTGGTGGATGCATTCTCGGGGCCGAAGGGATGCTTTTGAAGCAGGCTTCGAGGGGGGCGGCTCGTATCGTCTAACCATTGTGCAACAAGTTGGCAGCCTGCACTGCAGAGAGTGGCGCGTGCAGCGGGTTGGGACCTGTAAGCTACATGCATGCTGTCAACGCACGCGAGCCACCCATGACAAAGCCCAAGCTTCAAGTACGGGAGCTTGAAAGGGACAATGTAGATTGCGACGACAGAGGCGCCAGCAGTGAACTCAGGTCCATCGTGGAGACGATCAACTGCACCCTGTACGGCAAGCCCGAGTATGAAGATGTGGCCTAGCCAAAGATGGGATGCAGGTGTGTGTGTGTGTGTGTGTGCTGCATAGATGAAATTCAGAATTCCATGAGATCAATGTGTGATCCCCACCCCCGCAGATGGAGCGTAACACCACCTATATTACCATATATTCGATGGCACCTTTACGTATGTTCTGCGTCGCTTTCAAGGCACACTAGGACCAGCTCGGCAGCTCTTGGCATTCCTCCATGCCCCCCAAGGAATGCTACATCCAGGGCACTGTGTATTGTTGCGCCGACATCGCAGGAGTGCCGGAAGTGTGCCCTGATGGGAACGGCGGTTGTCTTGGACATCTAAGGAAGGACGAACCCGACATGAACGCTTCGATAATGAATGGTTCACGAAGTACAACCGAGACAGCATGGTAAAGTTTACATGTTGGCATACTTTTGTGCGGCATCATAGACGTGCTTTCCAGGCTTCCCTGTTTGCTCTGTAAGACGACAACGGACAGGAACAAACGAAAAGGTTTGCCTCGAAGTACTTCCGCCAGGGCTTGGATTAGTTTAAGCCGAGGGCAATATACACAGAAACAGCTGATTTGTTTTGAATCTTCCTCTGGGATGGTGCCCATTCCCTCGCATACCTCTTTGCTCTGGCACAATGGCCGAAAAAGGTCCATCACCCCTGAAGAAAGTAAGCCTTGAAAGCTCAAGCTACGTAGAGCGTCATCCGGAACATTGAAATCTCAGGTGTGTGCCCATCTCCTTCCAACCGCATGTGACCAAAACATTCTTTGGCGGAGCCTCTGGCGGAGCCGACGTGGAGGAGGCCCTCCTGGGAGCAGCGTCCTTTAAACGGTTTTCGGTTCGGGTTCTCGTTCTCCCCCAAGGGAGTCACATGTCAAAGAGCACTTGCACTGTTGCAGTTGGCTCGGGATGCTGGCGCACGTCCGATGCGAAAGAGTGTAGGCGCACAGCGGAAACCCGAAAGATATCGGACAAATCGACCATGGATCCTGCAGGATGCCAGCTTGCCTTCTTCACCAGATGCATGGCGATGAGAGGTTTAGGCATTAGGCGATCACGCCAATGTCCTTAGGGCCTTCTCTTAAGGGCTTAGGGGAGTTTGGGCTTAGAGTAGGGTTCTTCACTTGGTCACTTGGGGCCTGAAGAGACTTGAAGTTTGTGAGGCTACGCTGGCGGAGAATAGTTGATTTTTTGTGCATGGCGCTTGGGCTGAGCCATGTGTGCCACGAGCCCTGAGGATATATGGGTGTCTTGTGCATCAGGCAATGCTAGGGCTAGGGAACTCGCTTCCGTTCAGGTCAGGCCCACGACTGATTTCAATTGCTCTCTGAAGACACGTGTTCTGGGCGGCACAACTGCAAACTGGAGCCTAGGAAATCAGCGTGCATAATTGACTCTTGGCTCGAAAAGAGACCTCCAAACCTCAAAGAGCGCATTCATGCAACACCGAAGTTGTTTGCAACAAGAAGGAGGCAGGGACAGTGACCCGTGCATTTCCAAGGTGCTCACATTGTTGGGGGCATCAAGCCCGCCAAGGACAGACCCGGGCTGAACCACTACGTCTACCACTAGCACGTTTACCAGCTAACACACGATATGCCTTCTTCACCTTTGTGCGCGAGTCCCCTTAGACCAGCTGCCTTCTTGACTTTTCGCAGTTTTTTTCCCACTGCATACTACTCCTGTAAGCATTTTAGGCTACGAGAAAGTATGGAATTGGTTTTCATCTCTCCTCCCAATAGGGCGCAGACAAGTTCCAATCAAAGAAGGAGGCCTCACGACCCAAGAACATGACGGGATGTCGGTGCCACGAACCTACAATTCTCCGTCGCAACTTGAGGACGAATCCTTCAAGATCTCGTGTTTGCCACCGACAGGGCCTTTTGTGCTTTGCAGGCACGCAGCTCGTTCATGCTAGAGGCAGCGGGACACTTGCCTTTGAATGTGGGGGCCCGACGAAGACCCAAAGCCTGGAAGGCTCCAAGACCAGCATCAGGGCACTTCGTAACCCAATTATCATTGTACTTCTAGCCCAATTAGAACCCTACTGGGGTACTTACGGGGCTTATAGGTGGGTTAGAACTACGCTTATAATGGGTTGGAAAGTACCCTGAACCTCCTAGTAGCAGGTACAACTTCCGGCGCAGCCCCAGCATGCCAGTTCGAGGCAGGTTCGGCTTCTTGGTAGCTTGGTGGGGGGCTGGACGAAGTCCGCGACTTTATCTTGCAGTGCTTTACAGACAGGACGACTGTTCCTTGAGGCCCCTCCGCTCCTGAATTCCCGGTTCATGTTTCAAACTAGACCAGTTGTCAGCTTGGATTTCAGAAGGGAGGCTGTATTTCAACAATAAAGAGGAACAGAGGTTTTGTTCTTAGAAATAGAGAGAAATAGAGGCTTTCCTTTTCAAAATAGAGGAAATAGAAGTTTTCCTCCGAAAAATAGAGCAAAATAGAGGTACTCTTCTTAAAACATAGAGGAAAATAGAGGTTTTCCTGCCCCGCCAACCCCCGCCAACCCTAAAAAAGATATCGAAAAAAGAAACGCAGACAAAATCTCCACCCTTTCAGACGCCTGACAGGATTCTACCAGCTCAAGGAGCTGTCGCCCCTGGAGTTCCGGCTCCTCCTCCAGGCCACGCCCCCTCATCCCCCTCCATGGTCGCAGTGCAGGTTGAGGGACCCTGAACTCTAAGAACCCGAAGCCCTAAACTCCCTAAACCCTACAAACCCTCGTTGGTTGAAATGAAGGGACCTTGTCCTTGTGGAGGAAGGGGGGAAGGGGGCGGGGGGGAGGGGTGAGCCCACAACAAGGCACTAGCCGACTCACGGATCTCAGGGCAACAGCTTCTTTCAACAGCTTAAGCAAGTTTGTGGAATATGATAATCATGGTGATACATTTCTCGATTGAAGTGAAGCATGTACTACTACCGCACTACAATACTCCACTTAAATCATAAACTGCCCCTGAAAAAAGAATCGGCCGGTCCAGCAACTGGACTCAGGTGCAGCTCCATCCGCTCGTCTCCTCTGCCAGCGGCAGTGGGTCATGGAACTGCCAAGTGAGGCCTCTTGGTCTCTGAAGGTTCTTCGAATGAAGCGGCTCCTGTGTTGATGTTCCGGGCGCCTGTGGACAAGAATATCAAGCTGGACCAGTCAGTGACTTGTCCTTTTGTTTTTAACACTCAAATTACAGAGCATCCGTGTAGAGTTGCAGAAATTGACGTGGGGGCCACGGAGCATGCTGCATGGAGAAAATTGCTCACTATGGTTCCTGCCAGTGTTAGTGCTCCTCATAAAAATGTGCCCCGGAGGCTGCCGTTCGACCACCGCGGAGTGATCCGGTCACATGACCTGAAATGCACCAGCGGCTCCTTCTCGCTAGCCGCGCCCTGGCTGTTGGTTAGAGTCTGATACTGCTTGTTGCGTAACACTTCCCGGCTCATGCCTTGTGAACGCAGTCATTGTCCACAGCACTGTCGCTTCATGCATGCTCGAGAGGTGGAAATGAGCCTTTGAAGTAGCTGCAAGCAGGTAGATCTCATGTATCTTATGCACTGCTGATGGTTCAGCATGCTAGGTTGGTTCATTGTCGCTTTCAGGGGATACAGATCTTATTGTGCAGGAGGTCAAGCAAATAGGTGCGCCAGCTAGCTATGAAACTTTGGCTTTAGATGGCCGTCTTCGCACGGTGGAACAGCGGAGCCATTTAACAAGATTGTGTCCGGACCAGTCCAGGATCACAGCCGGAGCATCGTCTGGAATCTCAATGTGCGGAGACCTCGAGGAGCCACGGGAGGGTGAGCAGCTTCACAGACGGCGGAGCATCCCCCGACACGAAAGGGCAGAGAGATTTTGTGCAAGGGCGCAAGAAGCAGTTGTGACCTCTAGATTCAGAGCGAAGCTGGCACGTCCTGCTCCTTGCCGTATTTTGTTTTGTTTGTTTCTCTCTCGCTCTCTCCCTCTCTCTGTTTTTCATATTATATACATATGGAGCTGGAAGGTACCCTGGAGGCGAATCTGCTGGGTGAGCTCATCTTCGAAGCCCCGCAGAAGCCGCAGCAAGACCAGAACCCTGACGGCCAGTTCCAGCATGGTCAATTAAAGGCCTTACAATCCCCTGACCAACCCTAAAAAGGGCCTTGTTAAGGGGTTATAGGGTATAATAGCCCATGCAGGTTGAGAGCTGATAAGATTTTGATGGTACGCTTAACGTATTCGGCATGTTCTTGACGTGCACTTGAAGTTGCAACAAACCCCGTGCTCGTGCAATATCTAAGGACCAAGCGGGAGCAGCAATTGCAGCAGAAGCAACAGCAGCTCCAGCAGCAGCAACAGCAGCAGCAGCTTCTCCAGCAACAGCAGCAGCAACAGCAACAGCAGCAACAGCAGCAGCAGGCGCAGCAGCAAGCGCAGCCATCTCAGCAGCCCTCGCCACTTGCCTGAAGAGAGACCAAAGCGGAAAGTTCGGACCATGACTGCGCAGCCGCAAAACGACGAAGCAGTGTGCCCAGCGCAGCAAGCATGTTTTCCGCAGCTTCACGATTCCTACCTAGGGCAGCAACAATCAGCGGTTCCTGATCTCAAAGCTCTCCAAAGCTCTTCAACCCAAGGCCACGTCCCGGCGAAGCTGACAAGGCCTGGGTGCGGGGCAGTCATTGGCGCATGCGCAAGAGGCTTTAGGTTTCGAGAACCATTCGCGGGAGGTTCTCTAAACTTCTGGTCCCGTATGGGGATCCCTATAAGACGGAGCCTCATCCACATAGGGTGCCCAAAATTGACCCCCCGAAGTGTTGGTGAATCCCTGGTGTCTTCTTGGGCACTTCTTATGTCCCGAAGGCTTCAGCCGCAAGCCACACAGGGACGCCTGCAGTGCTGCTGCCTGCAATTCCCAGTGTCTTCTTGGGTTGGGGATAATTAGGGTTTGTTTAACGTCAGGTGTCAGGTGAGTCCTTAGCTTCGGAACGCTGTGACCCGCTTGCTGGATGAAGGCTCAAGAGTCTACAGCCCCGTGACTGGATCTGCGTAGCTAAGCAGCTAGGCGACGTCGAAGGCTGATTCTGGGGGCGGGTGTTGGAGGTCTCAAAAACATGAGTGCGCAATGGCGCGATGCATGGATTGTGACTTGCGATTAGTGCAGCGTGGCCTTTCCCCTCAAAACTGGCTGGCCGATGTCGAGTAGAAAGATCCCCAGGCTGTGTAGCTTATGAGAGAGGGGCGGAGATGCTGGAAACACAAAAAAAGCGCGGCCGATGAAAGAGTCTTAAAGGGGGAGGGTCGCATTTCTCCGAGTCTCCGTTCGCCTTTTGAGTCTCAGAGTTGCGACCCAGGAGTCTGAGGCGCCCTCAGAGGGAGAGGAGGAGACAGGACATCTTGGGGGGCCATGAGGGGGTAGGTTTTTGCACCCGAAACAACCCTAAACCCTAGGGGGGGTGGGGGGGGGCGGGGGGGGAGGGATACAATCATCGGGGGGTGGATTATCTAAGGGTTGTCTAAGGGCATTTTGGTTTCTTTTTGTTCAGCCTCTCGTGGAAATAGGTCGGCGATCTTGCGCGTGCTGACTGTCAGACTAGTTGCAGTCTGTTGTTTCTCTTAGGGATGTGGATAAACTGCCACAAACAAAGTTATGAGTGACGCAGGGCATCTCACAGCATGCGTAGTCTGTCTATGCAGGAGAGCAAGCCGCCGCCGGTGACACATCGGCTTCCCGATCTGGCGTCGATATGCTCCTTGACTCCTAGGTGTCAATGTCAGAGGCGTGCTGCTGCACAAATTGCTTCTTCAGCCCTAAACCCTAAACCCTAAACCCTAAACCCTTGTTTTTTTGCTCTGGACACAAGAAGACATCTCGAACTTTTGAGAGTTGAGGCTTCTCAACGCGGCGGGCGGCGGCGCGCATGCCGGAGGTGAAAGTCCACGGGTTCGGCTGGGGATGCATAGCCCATGGCTCCTGAGCTTCTGAACCTCACATATATTCGACTGTATTTTGTATCGAAAAACCTCGTATCATACTGTGTGATATCAAAGATCTCTTGCAGAGCTCAGGGTCAACAGGGTTTCAGGCTTTGTTGCCTTCAGTACCCGGCAGTCTACACAGGGCCGGATGCAAAAACGGTTCATGATTCAAATGACGGGGGCGGGCTTTGAATGGCCTGCGAAAGCTGAATATCCACCCGCTCCACCCATGCCCAGGCACTTACTCACAGATCCCGCCATCCCGAAACGAGGAACTCAGACTCAAACCTTTGCGAAGTAGCCTGGCATCTCGAAGAATCAAATGAGCGTCTTCGTTGGTCAACTGTTGATACCTGTTGTAACACAGGCACTTGTATGCAGGGTAATATAAGGGTCTATGGTCCCTTTGTAATTACACAGAAAAGGCCCCCCAAACCTTATTTTAATTATTCAGCCCCTAAATTCCCCCAATCTTGAGGACTACAAACTGCCCATGTAGCCACTCTGAAAACTGCAGAGGCACCGCTGAGGGATTCACGCTGCTGGCAGCACTGGCCTCTCAGGCTGCAGTGGAGACCCCAATAAAAGCTCTAATGTACCCAAAATATACCTGATATAACCTAACACGCTGTAGTATGCCCGAACGTATGCGCAGACACACGACGAGTCCCTTGACCCGAATCCACGCTCAACCGCCGAGCATGCCTTATTTCCGTGTGCACGTTGGCTTCAGGGGTTGTTTCTGGTTAATGCATCTCGGTGCCTGCCCAAGGCGGATGTTAGACTACCGTGGCTGACTGAGTCAAAACCTGTCAAAAAAGAAGCAGGGAGTCGATGGATCCTTGAGAGAGGGCTTGGGTGCCAAATTGCGAGGGCAGGGCCTACACCTTCTTATCTCAATCCAGAGTTGCAGACATCAGTCTCCTCAAACTCCTTCAAGAAAACCCTATGAACATCCCTAAAGCCTATAAGCCATATAAAACCCAAAACAAACCTTTTTTCATGACCATATAAGCCCCCCCCCCTCGCTTTTCTAACCCCATTTAACAGCACTGAGAACCTTCTTAGGGGACTTGGGGGGGGGGGGGGGGGGAGGCGTAAGAGTTCAGTCTTTTGATTGGGGTTTAGAGTTTAGAGTTTAGGGTTTAGGGTTTAGGGTTTAGGGTTAGGGTTTAGGGTTTAGAGTTTAGGGCCCATGAACCCCCAACTAGCAGCAATCCGGGAATGCGCCAGACGCATGAGGAGAAGGAGCGCGAGGGCGGCATGGAGTCCAGCTTCAAGGCAAGGTGGCCCGAGGCGGGTTTGGGGTTTGGGGTTTAGGGTTTAGGGTTTAGGGTTGTTTAGGGTTTAGGGTTGTTTAGGGTTTAGGGTTTGGGGGCATTGCAAGGGGGGCAGGGGCATGCCAAGCGGTATGTGGCACCGAGCTGCTGACACCGCTACAAACAGTTTCTGGAGCACTCACCCCAAAGCTGAAGTGGCCCAAGTTCAAAGGTCCGCGATCTTGCTGGATGGCTTGCCATACAACACTCTTCCAGACCGTGAGACAAAGCCTGCATAGGAGAGCCAGTTCGATGCGAATCGTTCATCGGCAAGCTCCTTGGCCGACAGCTTTCGGAATTCCCAGCTAGGGAGTGACACCACAGGACCCTAAAACCCTAAACCCGAACCCCCTGATATGGTCCTTCCTCGCCAGTGAACTTTCGTGCAGCTAGGTACTAAACCCTCAATCCTAAAATCCATAAGCCAAAGCCTGAAACTAACCCACAACCACACCACAGAAAGGTGAAGTCGTTGCAGATCACCTGGGCCCAGGTGGCAACCAGGAAGCACCCGCAGAAGATGACGGTCAGGCCCTGCCCCGTTGTTTCGCATCGTCTGAAAGTGTTCTAAGGCCACGGCTTCTGCCTGGGCTCCAAGGCCCCCATACCCACAAGGCCCCAATAAGCTCCTAAGGCTTCGGGACTACTGTTCGTGCTATGAGTGTCGGGACTTACCCTATAACCTATAAACCCTAGCAACCCCATAAACCCTAAACCCTGATGGCAGGTGGACCTGGAGCATGGAAGTCTGGTGATCGCCGCGGTGGGCGCGCCGGCGCGGGCCGCGCTGACGAAGCCCCAAGCATCCCCGCTCAACGCCACAGCCAAAGGCCAGCAAGCGGAGTGAGGGAGCGGTATTGGTTATTATACATCGCATGGCATACAAGTGTTTTGTATATTTTGTTTGATAAAGTTTACAATGCATATATATATATGCATGTATGATATGTATGTATAATATATATATATATATACACACATAAGGCCTTCTACAAAACGAGCTTTGCAGACGGGCCCTGCAGAGCACTAATGCAGGCTGCTTTGCCTTCGCCCGGCTCACCCATCTTTTGCATCAGTGTGGTTCCGAATCGTAGATACTTCCTTGCAAAGGTTTTGGCGGGTTATTATAGTATATTTAAACAGGGACCCTAAGTCCCTAAGGAATACTACTAGTAGTTCTTCCGACCCCTCTATTCGGTGCCATGCGAGAGAGAGGTACCTTGCCGGTCAGCTCCCCGCCGACTGCCACGACAGCCTCCAACAACCCTGCCATGACATCACCAGACGCTCATCTGAGGCTACAGTTTAGGGTTTAGGGTTTATGGAGTAGGGTTTAGGGTTTAGGGTTACCTGCGGCTACATGAAGGTTCCCAAAAGTAGGGGTACCCTTTGGGTGGTTCCCTTTGAGGGGATTCTTTTCGATTTGGGGTGTAAGAAGATGCACCCCTTTTTTGGGAAATGCCCAGATAGAGCCGAGTTAGAGACTTGCGTGCTCTTACGCCGGCACTGCCGCATCCGCACCTTGAAGGATCCCTTCCTGATGGGTGTGAACTGCTATGCCGAGGTTTTCCTGGCAGCCAGGCAGCAAGTAACCGAGATCTTCTCGGAGAGCTTTTCGTTCTCGAATTTTCAGCCAGGGCTTCGCTCTACAAATCTGCCTTTTTCTTCTCACAGGTTCCGGTGCTGCTGCGATCTTGTCTCGGGTCGATGGGGCTCGCTCTTCTCTCCCTTAAGGGTGCCCTTAACGGAGCCCTTAAAGGAGCCCTTAAGGGTGCTCCCCAAAAAAAGCGCCCCCCCCCCCCCCCGAGGAAGTGCCAGACGTGGCGCTGTCCGGGATTCACGTCGATCCCAAGGTCGCCTCTCGAGAGGGCGGAGAGCTAAAAGCGCCCTCAAGGACTCCTTCCGGACACCAAGCCCTGATCGCCCGCCCGCCTCACGTCTGACGCAGTCCTACAGAAATTGTAACCTTTTCTAGGTGGAACTGTTGAGGAGGTAAGGGTTGTAAGTATACCTGTATACACTTACACATTTAGACCTGCAAAAACGAACCGCCAACCCTCCCAAGGGTGCACATGTCTGGGGGGGAAGATTACATGCGGAGTTTACGTGCCAGTGAACCTCTTAGGCAGAGCATCAGGGTCCTATCGTGTGAGCTTGTGAGCTTCGTTTGAGCTGAAAGTGTTGTCACATCTTAGCAAGTCCGAGAAGCCGCATTGCACACAGGCTGTCACTGTTTATCCGACCACCCGCGTGTATGGCGGTGTGGCAGTGCAGAAGGAGTTCCTCACTGGAAAGTCACTCGGCCCCACACAGCTGCGCTCCGGGCTTTGGCTTCTAAAGCTAGAAGGTGCCTCTGGACATCCCGTAGCTAGTTGCGGAAGTAGACCAGAGGGGCGTTTGATGACCTACAACATCTACAAGTTCCCAGCTTTGGACCAACGACCATGTTGGTGACAGCCCTCAGAGTGCTTTCCTCCAAGGTACATTATTTGGAACATGGCTGGAGATGTCAGAGGTGGGTGAGAGTTCGTCACAAGCATCGTTCTCTCGTTTAGAGGTTCTGAGCATGTACCTCATGTTTCCCGCCTTTTTTTTCCTCGTGGGGAAGGTCACTTCAACGGCCTCGAGTTTGACCAGGAAGGCCCTGACACCGAGCCAGCGCAGAAAAGCGAGGCTCAGTGACTCTTCGCTCGCTGGACTCAGGCGTGATGTCCATGGCATCTCGTAGCTCATTCGGGTTGGAGCAGCACGGAGCTTTCCGAACAGCCATAGGCCAACCTCGCATGTTGCAAACGGCTGCGCTGGACAAGAAGTCTCGCACGGCTCAGGAGCCGAGAGCGCGCGCGGAGTCGAAAGGGTGCCGGGGTCAGAGTTCGATTCGGGTTTGGGCCGTCCGGGTGAGCCTTGCCCTGGGAGGGGGGGGGGTTTAACACATTCGACTTCAACGAGCGCTTTCTTCTTCTTGTGGGCACCTTCCATGGCGACACCACAAGTTAGGGTTTAGGGTTCAGGGTTCAGGGTTCAGGGTTCAGGGTTCAGGGTTTAGGGTTTAGGGTTTAGGGTTTAGGGTTTAGGGTTTAGGGTTTAGGGCCCCAATAGAGCCACGGAAGGTTGAAAGTCCAGGAAGCTGCTCCACAAGTGCCAAGGTCGCAGCATCTGTCCTGTCCCATATCACATCGGGCCACTTGGCCTTGCCTTTTGAGGATATTGAGGTTTTTAGGGTTTAGGGTTTAGGGTTTAGGGCTTAGGGTTTACCAGTAGGGTTTTTCAGAAAGTTTTTTGAGAATGTGGCTTTGCCAGGGACTGCTTTTCGGTTCCTAGGCTTTGGGAGGCAAGGAAATGAACCAGATCAAATCTCACACTGCTCAGGCCTTCTCGTACATTCTACACCCGAACGGCTACCGGATTCAGTAGCTCAGTAGCCGCCACATCCATACAAGGATGGGCTATTATGCCCTGTAATCCCTTAAAAGGCCCTTTATAGCGTTCATTATGGAGATTTGAAGGCCTACTAGCCCATCCGGGTAGCCATAGCCCGGCAGATCATGGACATCCCGATGATCACGCCGTCTGGCCATAGCTATGACTTTCGATCAATCGTGGGGCTCCCAGCTGCTGTTCCTTAGCAACCCTAAACCCTAAACCCTAAACAAAGCAGTCTGAACTTTGAATCCGAACTTTGGCCAATGTTATGCCCGACCTTTTCCTCGTAAACGCATGCGACACGGGTGGGAAAGAAAACCCTAAACCCAAACCCTAAACCCTAAACCGCAAACCCTAAACCCTAAACCCTTAATCCTAAACCCTAAACCCTAGCCTTTGCAGAGACCTTCAGCCGCCCCTCAATGCTCGGGAAGTTCCCCCTCCAAACGCTGCACCCAGACCGAATGGCTGGCAAGACGCCGCGTGGACCCGTTGACTCTGGCACCGCCTGCACCTCAAGATTCAGGTCAGATAGTAGTAATAAAAATGATAATCAAAATGATGATACTAATAACAATAACAATAATAAGAATATTACTAATAGTAGTAGTAATAGTAATAAAAATAATCAGTAATAAGAGTACTAGTAATAGTACTACCAATAATGCTAATAGTAAAGAGGGTTCTCGCAGATACTGCGCCACTTCACTTTGTGGGAGAGTAGATTGCTGCGAACGGTGCTTTCTTTGAGGTGCGATTGTTAGGTGACAGGGCCATGGCCAGTGGCAAAGGGGATGCCGAATGGAAAGAATGGAACAGCAAAGAACCTCGAAATGAGATTCCACCCCAAGGAGGCTAACTAATTGCTTTGGCCAGACCTGTCCCATACCAGAGATGCAAAGCTTCAAAGCAAGTCAAGTAGCTGAACTCCTTGGTTCATCCAAGATCTTTCACAATGCTGAAAACGCAGGACCAGGGAGGCACGAAACACACAACTTGGTTTTCACTGAGGCTCTCTCCGGGGGAGCTCTACCCCAATCGCGTTCTCCAGGCATGAGCTTCACATGCTGCTTAATGCTTCTACGGAGCAAACGATTGCGATGGAACCCTATACTGTCACTAGCTCTGTCGTGTGGGACCTCTGCTGGTGTGACACCGGCAGGATGAAATCATAGCACAGCTGGACAAGTTGTGCAAGACTGCAGACGAGAACGGTGAGTACGAGCCACCCACCTGATGTATGTGCTGGGCCAGTGATGTTTACTTCCGCTTGTCTGGACCCTGGGGCCTGAAAGCAACAGTGCATGCCCAACACATTATGCACAGGCTAACGCCATGCCTGCTTGAATGCCCACGTCGCAAATGCGTTGCATGGCGGAACTGTATTAGTATAGTACGAGGGCATGTACAGCCCTTCCTGGAACGGGATGAAGTTTCTGCATTGTGGGTGTTTTCGTCAACGAATGCCGTTTAGATTCCCACTTCAACCTCAAAAAAGTCGGGTTCACCCTTTTTCTTCCTTGTGTACAGATCACGCAGTTCTCGGCGGATGTTACCTGTGTGGCTTGGGATGTTCCCCCTTGTACTCACAGTCCTTACTCGGGATTATAACAGGAGGTACTAGAATCCCCCATCAAGGACGTTCAGTATAGGGGGGAAGATCTCAATGTGTGAGGCTCTACGATGCAGCGCGTACCAGGCTGAACTACATCCGTGGCTTGACTATCCCGCCTCTTGAGGCGAGGGGCTTGCAGCTTGAAGCCCATGGCGAGTTGGGAGTTTACGAAAAACACGGGACCCCAAATTCTGAGCCCCCAAATAGTAGGATTTCCCTTTTTTGTAAGGACCCCAATAAGATACCCCGAATTTCGGGAACCCCTAGTTGGACGTTTGATGAAGCCCACCTACACTTTGGGCAGGGGGGGCATGTGAAAAGAAAGCTCAACGGCAAAAATGCAGCAGGAAACCGGTGAAGCATTCTTCATCTGCTTCAGCTTCGCGATCTTATGGAGTGCCAGTTTAGGGGGGTTTAGGGTTCAGGGTTTAGGGTTTAGAGTTTAGGCTCAGGGTTTAGGAATTAGGGCTTCTCTGACTTTGTGGCGTAGGAGCTGTGGAGTGATTTTGTCAGGGCGAAGCCAAGCGCACCACGCGGATTCAGAAAGTGCGACCCGGCTGCGAAAATAATGCGAGGCTTCTGAGGAAACTTACTGGCTCAAAACCCAACTTTTCAACTTTTGGGCTTCTCATAAGGTAGTTTGTTCGGAAAGTGTCAACTTCTATTTCCTTGGGTTTTGGGCCAGTAAGGGAAAGGCTTAGCTTTGCCTAAAGCTGCAAAAAAATCTGCCCCAGTCCATCCTACTTGAAGAGTTGTGCCTGGACGCGTGCTGCATTTGTTGCTGTGCTGACTTTGCGTCTTTTCTCATGACCTTCAAGAATGTCGTGATGCTGGCGGCTCTCTGTCCACATCTCGTAACATGGGAGATGCCAAAAGCCTCCCTTCGGCATTTTCCACGCCTTGACCATTCAGGGTGCATTGAATGCAAACTGACATGCTAGACATTGAAAACACAACCCTGCCACCCCAACTTTCAAAACTTGCAGCTGAGATTGGACCGCTGTGCCATCTATGCAGTGTGGCCCGGGCCTTTGCAGCTTCCGGGGGCAGTTTTTTTGGTCGAGATCGACAAAGCCGAAGCCGCGAAGTGCACTCGGCAGGCCCTGAAAGGGGCTGGCATGGAACAAGCAGAGTGATCCGGGTTCAGGGTTTATAGGGTTTTTGGGGGTTTTTAGTGTTTTTTGAAGAGGCGGTTTCAGAAAGCGGTCAGCCGGAAGCCTCTTTAGGTGCGGCCTCCTCGCCTGGGAGCAGATGCTTGTGCAGCTTGGCCCATGTCATGGTCTCTGCACGTCTCTGTTGGGAGCGGTCAGCTTATGTTCCATCAGGCCCCCCCCAAACTTGCCCCCAGGCAGGTATCCCCAAGTTTTCTCTACTAAAGCTCTCGGCTTGCTTGATTCTTTCCTTTGTTCAGAGTGAGAGCAATTGGCCGCGCGATCCGACAGATTTTCAACTCTGATCGGACTTTTGCCCAGCAGTGGTACGGCTGAGTTTTCCTTTGTCATGGTGGGGTAACTTTTTTACATGTCTAAGGATACTTCAAACTCAATAAGGACTAGAGATTTCAATTTTTGACACTATCCCAACCATGAAACTAGTTCTGAGTTGACTGACTGGTCACGCTGCCGCCTTAAACGAACTAGCATAGAAGAAGAGAGCAGCTAACGTCACACCTTGAACCAGAAACCGCGAGACACCCTCCGAAGAAAGAACGAAGAACAGGCGTTTAGAGGGTGTCTTGAGTCGGTTGCCTCTTTAAACTCAGAGCTGATGGGAAGGCCATTTTTCTAGAGACCTTGCCATAGGGAAGGCCCGTCCTAACCGAAAAACAACTCCTGCAGAACTGCCACTTCTCTGTGGATCTGGACATGTTGCTTCAGCTCAGGTTCACAACATCCTTCGGCGCGATTCTGCGCCGTGTCAGACCGTTTTTGGAAATATCAATTTAGATAAATGCACAGGGTTCGGCACAAGTACGGTTGACAAGGTCCATGCTAAAGGCTAGATTCTGCAGAGCCACAGGTGTTTGCTGCTCGATGCCCGCAACTCCCTGCGCATGCGGGTCGGCACCCTGCTCAACACACGAAGCTTTGTCATAGTTGGGTAACATTTTACATCTTTAAGGGTACCTAAACCCAATAAGGAATATAACCTTTAAGTTTTTAATCTTATCCCAACAATGAACAAGGAAGCTCCTCGCCCCACCCGCCGCTGCTGGCCGGAGGGGAGGGAAGGGGAAATTCCGAGGGCGGTTGGGAGCAACCTTCGCACTCTGTGCGCTCCGTAGAGTTGCAGCCCTAAACCCTAAACCCTAAACCCTAAACCCTAAACCCTAAACCCTAAACCCTAAACCCTAACCCTAAACCCTAAATTGCCATTCGGAGTTGGCGTTCGGTCCATTGGGCGCTCCAAGGCTCGGCTTCATTTTCATCAACTTTTTTTGGATATCCTTGGTTTCACAGAATGTTCTCTTTCTTGCACGCTTAGGCGCCTTCTTGCGCACAACTGAAGTCTTCCGCAAGGCTAAGTGTGCGGGTCATGCTAGATGCGGCCTGGTCTTGTGGTTCAGAGCCGTGCCGCTTTTCAGCCTTGCGCTATGAGGCATCCGAAAAGAAACCCACATCACAGAACCACTGGCAGAACGATGCAGAACGCAAGGGGCCATGTTCCCTGCCTTGGGGCAGGCGGCTTTCTTGAAGTATGCCTTCTTGCCCACACCGATGCCAGGGTGCCAGGGGCTGCAATAGTAATTCTGAGAATCTTAGGGTTCCTTTTCACATGGGAAGTTCATGGGGCAACTCCTTAGCTTGTTGCCGTGCATGTCCGACTTGAGAATTCCGACTTGTTCCGAACGCTGGCTTCGGAAGCATTGGAACATCTGCCAGTCGAGGCATAAGACAACCTGAGCCCAGGCTCATCACATCAAATGCTCAGCATGCGGATACTCCCCAGGAAAAGGTGGCCCATGCGACATCATGCTTGTATTAACATTACCCATCTTATCTGGTAATTACGCTTCTTTTGATGTTGGGTGATCTTCATTCTAATGCACTTGTTTGATCCTTATTTGGACCCTATATTCTATCAACATGTATTTTGCTTTTTTGATCAGAAGTTAGAATCTTAATATTTCCATTCGGGATCGATTCCCCAAAAGCTTCTGGGATTTGACAATAAATAATCTTTGGCAACCAATCAACTTCTTGGAAGTCTTGTTTGGGGGAATCATGTGTATACTGCAGGTTTAGAACGTGATACAAGAGCTGATTTTTGCAGGAGTTACAATTTTAATATCCTTACCAGCTGGTACTCAAACCAACTATTGCTTTTTACATATCTTGAAAATCCAACATTACTACACCTTAGAAGTAGTTCCGTCTTCTTTTTCCTTAATGTAATGTCAATGTTTACTGTAGGTGTTTCTACAGGAAGAAGGCTTAAATGCTGCAGTAGATCTAGAATTACACTATACATACAATGTTGTAGCACATCTTCATTTTGTTCTTTCTTTAGGAGCTTTAGTTTCTATCTTCTCTGGAATAGTTGCAGGAGAAAACATTGTTGGTACTAAGAAATAATTACTTTCATCCTGTAGTACACTTTCTCTTTTTCATCTACATTTAGTATATTTTGGTATTCTTCTTACCCGTTTCCCAATGCATTTCTTTGGATTTGATTTTATGCCAAGAATCCCATCCTGGAATTCCCTGCCATCTATTGGATCAGGCCTCGGACACCTTGTACAGAGACCACCCCCCCCCCCCCAATTCCTTGTGATTCCCCTTATGCACTCCCCCAAAACCCCCCAAAACCCCCCAAAACCCCCCAAAACCTCCCCCCGAAATTCCCCGAAACCCATTCTTGGGATTCTCCGTACGAACTTCCCATGTCTTCGCCGAGCTGAGGCACTGGTCCTGGCATGGGCGAACTGCACTGGCAGCGCTTCGGGGAGCCCGCCCACCCAGGGGATTCAGGGGTGCCACCGGGCGACTCTTTAGGGTTTAGGGTTTAGGGTTTAGGGTTTAGGGTTTAGGGTTTAGGGTCTGCTCCACAGAGAATTGTTCCGTAAGGGGAACCTGCGTGCTGTAGAGGGAGGCTCAACTCTTTGATTGCCCAGATGCTCTTGCTGTCCGTGGCCCCGATGTGCTTGAGCTTCGCGCCGCGATCTCAGCCCTGCCTCAGAAGCCCGCTTGCCGTTGCGAAGGAACCCTAAACCCTAAACCCTAAACCTTATACTGCCTGGGGTGCACCTGTTTCATGAGGAGGTTTGGTCAGCGAAGAGCTCAGCTGCTTACAACGAGGCTTTGGCAACGTTGAACAGTCAGCCAGCTGCATGTGCTGCCTATCCAGCGCTTTCCCACGTTCGGGGCTAACCGGTTTGGGATGCGTCACGCAAGCCATTCTGAGAGCCTATTCTGGGCAGCATCTCTGTTTGCCTCAGCATATCGAAACATGTGGCATGTCTTATTCTTGTGCCCTAACATGTCTTCACCACTCGCCGGTCATGCTGTCGCGGACGGGCAGTGCAACATGCAAGTTTCTCTCACACCATTCCAGCACCATCCACGCTGCTGCGTTTAAGTTGAGTGCCGCTCTCCAATGGCCGGAATGCCCAGCACTGACCAGGGAAGCTTCAACTGCTCCGGCTACCTTGGCCCTGCCGATTGCTGCATAGCGGCCTTATGGCCCAGTGCAAGAAACCTCGCAAAGCCAGAACGTTGTCCCTGCAACTCTTCTCCTATTTCACACATCTGAGAATCTGAGAAGCCCGTCCAGAAGAGGGTTTGTTTAAAACCCTCTTAAAAACCCCTTAAAAAAAACACTCTTCTGAGAATCTGAGAGGCCGGCCATGCCTTGCTGAAACTTGCAAGCCTCATATAGGGGGTCGGAGTAATTACTACTACCGTCCCCTGATGGTCCCTGTATAAAGATACTAGAAGAACCTCCCAAACCCTATTTCTGTAATTATTAAGGCTTATTAAAGATACTAGAAGAACCTCCCAAACCCTATTTCTCCACTTTTTAAGGCTTATGAAAGGCCTCTACAATTCTTGAGGCAAAGGCTTCTGTCTTTCCGAGGCTCGGCGGAGCTCTCTCCGTGGCACACTTCTCGGCCAAAGTGAATGAGGCCCGGGGGGGAAACTTGAGGTACTTCAGAGGCTTGGGAGGGGACGATGTCTCTTGGGGTTGAATTCACCCTAAACCCTAAACCCTAAACCCTAAACCCTAAACCCTAGTTGTATCCATCAAGGTCCTAAACTTCCCGGCCATTCTGTTCATGCCCTCCAGGTGCGCGCTTTGGAGTTCGAGCGGGCTGGGCAAAATCGGTGGTTCCTGCGCCTCCTGCAGGCAAGGGGCGACTTTGCACGTATTCGATTCCTCGTTTGGGCAGCACGGACTGCCAAGTTTTTTCTCGGCTTTCAGAAAACACATGCAAAGGCGGATGTTGAGGACTTCCGACTGCTGGAGGGTGCTTCTATAGGGTTGAACGCGCTGTAGAGTGAGTGATGCTGGAGGCTCAAGTTAGCATTTCAGAGGGTTCTCCAAGTTTCTCCAACTTTCTTCGGCCGGACCTTGAAATCCTGGGAGGTCTGCAGTGCGGTGACTGGCATGTCCAGCTTCGTCCTGTTCCTTCGGCTCTGCCTGGATCAGAAGGTGGTCCGGGTCCGAAACCCTAAACCCAAAACCCCCTAAACCCTAAACCCTAAAGCCCTAAACCCTAAACCCTAAACCCTAACCGTCCCGTGAGCCTCATGGGCCTCATACATCTCATGACTCCTTGCCTCAGGAGCGAGTTGGGAAGTGAGCGCAGAGCCTTCAAAGGATCGGGTGTGCAAAGCTCACTTCGATAGACAGGTCCCTGCCAGTACATCGTACGTATCGTTTCGACAGTGATGCCACAGTAGTCTTTTTTCTAGAAGGGCGTGGGATCTGAAGCAGGTTGTTCCATAAATGTTCCAATGAGCTGCTACAGAGGAGCCTTGATGATGAGGGTACATCTGCGATGGTGAGATGGGCGCTGTAAGAACCTGTTGGCTCATGCAGGGCTCCTCGTAATCCCGTGGGGAGACACGATTGTAGCTTCCGTTCTTTGCAGTGCCGCACAGGCATTGGAGTCGCCCTTTGCGCGCAAGCTTTTTTCCGAAAGCTGTTCTCCCATGCTGGTATTGGCACTAGTTGGTCCGTGCTGTAGAGGCTGCTGACTCAACCAGTATACCCTAAGCCGACATCACAGCTGCTAGCCGCAGAATGCTTAGCTTGCGAGCTGTTGAAATCTACAGGTTCTCTTTCGATGTGCCTCAAGCTTGAGCCGATTAGGCCCGCGAGCCCCAAAGAATCTCCGCTCCATGTGGGGCGCGCACGTCAGCGCAAGCCGTGGCATGTGGAGCAGTGGGAGGGAGGTCCCTTTCACGCTGAGGGCTCCATGGCCTGAAGCAAAACGACTTAAAAGCCACACAAAAGCCACGTTCCTTAAAGGGACCTCCTGGTAAAGTGTAGAATGGAAGCACCAGTCGCGAGAGGATAAAAAGTTGCCCGAACCAGGCAGCAAGGGAATCCGCCTGCGCAGGCCTGAACCATCCCGTGTATACCCTGAGTTTGTTTTGCGAGAACTTCGAACTTTTGGGCAACCGAACGCAAGAAGCAGATGTCATCCGCATGAACAGCTGTGCTTGTGTCAAGTACCCCCCCACCCCCCAGGGGCCATGTCCGAGCCCGAGAAGCTCCATGAGTGGGACGAGCCACGGCCTAAAGGCAAACAGGATCGAAAAGAGCGGCCAAGAGTGAGAGCATTTTAGTGAACATTTTGCTGAGCGCGCTTCTGCGAAGGGCTGACGTGATCGCTTGAAGCCGAGGATGGAATCATTCGTTCGAAGCCAGGGCGAGAAGTGTTAGAAGTTGTGTTCACCGATGTGTCAGAAAGTTTGTACATTCACTCACACGATACTATCGTTTAGGGCTAGCGTAGTGCGAGACCCGTCTACTGCTTCTTCCTAGGCTGCAGGTTCTGCAGAAGAGCGATGATGAGGAGCACGTTAGACTGTGCAAGGGCTTCGTTGTGTTCAGCGGAAAGTGCTACATTCACGTTTCAGCGTACCATGGGATGCCGGAGTATGGACCGGCAAAGACCTCAATTTTGCGGCGTGGCTGCTTTTGGGCCTTGGTCTGTTTGGCACGATAGTGGGGGTGGCCTGTCAGCTGGGAGATGATTCCTTGCTCAAGGGTTTAGGGTTTGGGGATTGAAACGCATCTCTGAGGACCCTATGGCTGGCAAGCGCCAGAAAAATCGTACTGGGAAGAAGAAGACCGTCAAGAGGCTCAGTTTTACAACATGCCTCCATCAACAAGATAGCAGCATGACATCATCCCCCTAAAGATTCACCTGCTGGAAAGGGATCTGCAGTGTCTCGGATGCAGCACTTTTTGCCAGGATCATCGCCTCACGATCCTTGTATAGAGATTGTAGTTTACATAGTTTGCAGCATCTCTCTGCATGACATTGCCCGGTGAGAAGAAAGGCGACTCTGGAGTGTGCAGGCTGGTTCTTCGGCCACAGGACCTCGAGATTGAGAGTGTCGAGTTCCCAGAATCATCCAAAGGGTTTAGGGCCCTCGGGTATACTCGGAGATGTTTAGGGTTTGCGGTTTTCGGGCAGAATCATTGTGAGCAAAGCACAGTGTATAGGGCCTTCGGCCGAAGTTTGTGAGCTCTGCTTGCAAGAGGTGCATGAAGTGCAGAGTCCTTGCTGCTTTGAGTGGTGTGAGGGAAACCCTAAACCTTATAAACCCCTAAACCCTAAACCCTAAACCCTAAACCCTAAACCCTGCATATTCGTCAGGAAGTTGAGGTTTTGTCAGCATCCCGGCCTGCAAGTCCTCCAAACTGTTCTGAAAGCACAAGGCCACCCGGGAGGATGCCACCGCGGCTTCGCCATCGCCTTGGCTGCTCTCTTTTGCTTTCGAAGTGCAAAGAAACCCTAAACCCTCAACCCTGAACCCTAAACCCCTAAACCCCTAAACCCTAAACCCTAAACCCTAAACCCTAAACCCACGCCTTGGGGTTGCTTCGGTTGTGGGTTCGGAATGGGTTTGTAGTACGGCTGGTGCAATCCCAGCGCCTCATACAGCCCTAGTCTAAGGAATCGAGACCATGTTTCTCAGCGCGAGCTGACCTCAATTGTGCTTCCTGTGCACCTATCCTGAGCCCTGCTGACACTGCACCCGGCAGCAAGATTCGGGGTTCCGGAGAATGCTGCAACACTGCACATACCTCAGCAACTCCCAAACTGCTTTCTGAAGCAGAAAACAATTACCCTAAACCCTTAAAACCCTATGAACCCTGCCCACCCCCCCCCCCCCCCCCAAGCACCCCAGAATCCCAGAGCGGACATGTAAAGCAGACGGCCGTTTCAGCCAGCAACTGCAACGTATCCCTCGGCACCGAAGATTTCCTGTGACGCCCCCGCTGCATGACACTACTTGGAGGTTCATGGCTACTTATAACCCCAACTAGAGCTGCACTTATAAGTCCCCCAAGTCCCCTAGAAGTAGGTGACAAGTACAGTCAGAAAATGGGGCCCCCGAAGCCCTCTAGAAGTAGGCTAGAAGTACAGTTAGAGTTGGGGGTATAAGCCTTGAACCTCCAAGTAGGGGATCCTCAGGTCGACCTCATCGACAGCGCCGGCGGCCATTCCGGGCCCAGGCCCGCTTTTTGGGGGCAAGCTGGAGCTCAGATGATAAACATGAGGCCTCACCACCCTAAACCCTGAACCCTAAGGTAGCTTCAAGGAGCAAGGCCCTTCTTGACTCTCTAGACATCCTATCGAATTTGGTGGGAGCTGCAATAAACTAGATCCTTCGCAACAACTCGTCTGCACTTGCAAAAAGAAGAAGGCCCATGCCATGCCGCACCTGAAAAGCCCAGCGTACTCTGGGGGTCGTCCCTTCTGGTCGCTATTTGTCAAGAATTACTAGAATACCCAAGTATGCAGGCCCCGAAATTATCCCTCCCTTGTTCGAAAACCCTTCGGCAGGTTCCAAAGACTACAAGGAGGCTGGCCAAGATTTTCGGGATATCCTGGAATCTTCAGTTGGGCTTTGACAAAGGCCTGACGTGGTAATGCCAGTCAGTACTAGTCGATGAATCCCCCATCTGGGCTCGTGGAAACGTGCTGCGCGAGCCGAAAGTTGATTTTTCAGCTGTTCGGAGAGCTCCCACGTCACATGACCTGAGACTCAACCCCATCCACCGTGTCAGTGCTCAGCCCTGAAACACCTCCCCCATAGCGTCCAGGCCACAATAGGACGCTGAGCTACCAAATCACAGTCGCCCTGTAGCCAGTCCAGCTCTAGTCAAGTCTGCCAGTACAAGCCCAACCCAATACCTGAATTGCTCCACAGTGTGCTCTCCCAGAGCATGGAGGCCGTAAACAACCTGCTGAGCATGGTAGAAGGCGTCCAGATCAACCAGGCACGGGCAACACTTTTGGTCGTTCAGGGTCATGGAAGTCAGCTTGTTTCTCGTCGGGGTTCCAAAGGTTCTTCACGCTCTTGTCGAAGCCATCCTGAGGGGAGGGCGGGGAGGGGGCTAGAGCCTTGAGCTCGAATTTGGAGTGCACCACAACCGGTGCAGATCTGTGGCAGGTCGAGTACTGCTTGTCGCGCTACTTGGAGCAAGGACTTCTCGAGGGTGCGTGTTCTTCAATGCACGCCTTGCTCGGAACACTTACCTCCTGTAACCCCCCTACATGACCCGATAGAACCCATCGAAATGATTTGTTGCAAGGGCCCCCGCAAACATCCACCAACCCCCACCCCACCACTCCCCCGCACCCCCCCCCCTCCCCTCCCCAATTGTCAAGGCTATTTTGTGAGCCCGTGAGGAATGACTCTGGAAACGGCTGCAGGCCTCGCTTTCAACGACCTGGAGAGCACAGGCCCCTCCAGAGGGACTTGGGTTCTGGGGTGAGCGGGGGGGGTACTGTATATCCCCGAACCCGGAGCTCGAAGTCCTTAACCCTACACCTCGAAGTTGGGGGGGTGCAGGGGTTGGGAGTTGCTTTCGAGCTCGGAGGTTCGGCCAGCCTTCAGGTCATGGTGCAGGGATATCGGGGACCCTGGTTGGGACCCTGGTTGGGATGCTGACTGTCTCAGGGAGCCTCCTGTGCCAACCACCCCACGTCAAAATCCGGGCACTTTCAATCCACTGCAGGCGGGGGAAGAGAGCAAAAGCAACGGTAGAAAGCCTGGACCAAGCAAAGGACGACCGGCCGGTCAACAGAACACCCAGTGTCGTGCTCAGCTTCTGCCTCTTTAGCTGCCGAGGGCTGCTCAAGCCTGTCAAGTTGTTGCATACATGTTGCCTGACAGTGCCTGACACAGCTTGGATGGGCTGTCGGTACGTTCACTGTAGCATGTGCTTTGTGGCGAAGGTGCTAGTTCAGGCAACTACTACACTTCCCGAGACCCGATGTACCAGTCATGCATCGGCTGTTGGGGACGCTGCGTATTGCAACCGACTCGTAAAACCCCACAAAAAAAACCCGAGAATGATGACTCAGCTACCTGTCTAGGTCGGCGATCCCAAGCACAGATGCCCTGCTGCAATCATGGTTGAGGGTTTAGGGTTTAGGGTTTAGGGTTTAGGGGTGGCTTCTTTCTCCGAAGTTCGGTGGGAGTTGGTGTTTCAGATGTGTTGGCGGATTCGCCCGCAAGGTGTGGGTTCACTCCCTACCCCTAGTGATGTTTCGGATTCTTTTGGGTGCCTGTAAGGTTCCAGTTCTGACCGCCAGGTTTTGCAAAAAGGGCTGCACAATTCCACACCCCACACTCTCCCCTATAAAAGGCCCTGCCCATGCGTTGACTTCGACGCCCAAAATGGGCCTGCGCCGTTGTGTATGCAGGAATGCGTAAGAACACCATCACGAACAGTACTATTAGTTGCCAGTTCCGAGGAAGATGCGAACAACATTTCATACTTTTCATATACAAGCAAAGTTGCAGATAAATGGGTAGGACAAATGCCCAGACTTGCAATGTTCAACAAAAAGTAGCAACAATGGCAGCACATGGCAACCTGCACCTTGGTGCAACGCGCTCGCTCAGGCGGCAGCAGCAGCTGGAGCAAGTGAGGAGAATGCCGAGGAGATTCTTGCGCAGCTTCAACCCAAAGTTCAACTGAAGGTTGCTAAGCCACCTCTCTTTTTGCTTTCCTTTAATGTTGGCTCCATCAGAGCATTGAGAGGAGGAGGAGGAGGAAATGGAATTTGCAGACCCTCCAGATCTTCCTGTCTGAGCCTCAGGTGAACCCTAAACCCTAAACCCGAAACGTTGAGGAGGTTGAGCGCTTGGGTGGCAAGGCTGGCTGGAGCTTGCGGTGCCAAGGCTTGAGGCAGTCTTCAGGCTTGGGACGTTCAGATATCACAAAGATCAGGAAACAATGAAAAAATGTCAGAACATAGTATGCCGTAGGATAGCGTATGTTGGTACATGGGGCTATAGTAGACTATTTTTCAACATAGAAAATGGACTAGTATCATATGAACACAACATAAACGTGGTATGGTGCTATATGGTAGCCTGCGACATAATATGATATTCAACATGTGTGTAAATGGATGTGTGTATATATATATATATAGTGATTAGTTATTTCTTATTTATGTATTATTTGCTTAGAGAATCTAACATGAGATACTGCGATAGATATCGTATGATACATTATATTTCAAGTCGAAACATGCAGATAAAACCACAAAACACCTTCCACTCTGCATTGGGCTGCAACACCGGGGTCCCCCCCAACTGTGTGCGTCTTGCACTGAGGAGCTGCATCCGCAAGAGAGACGACCACCCATCCCAGTGACACCGGAAGGATGGAAGGTGCATCGAGGGTGCAGGATGCTACTCTAGGGCCTAGGGGTCGGAATCGTTACTAGTAGGTTCCCTTTGTAATTCTACTATAATACCCCCCCCCCCCCCAAAAAAAAAAAAAATATTTTAATTATTAAGGGCCCTATAACGGCGATTCAGTTGGGACAGGCCATTAGCCATTATGCTTTGAGTTCGGGGCCTCTTGCTGAACAAACACCTGGGCTACGACCATTCCAAAATTGGGTTAGCCTCGTCAAATGGCTGCGCTTTGGGGACTTCAAGCCCCGAATGTGCATCGTTGTACTCTTTGGCAAACACTGGCCGGCTCGAGCTAGGGGAAGGCGCCACTCTGGACTTTCGCAAATGCTTTTCCAGCTGAGCAGATGTAACTTCTGACTCCCGCTTCCTGTGGCAAGACTTACAACTTACCAGCATCGCAACCGCCCTGCCAAGCGCCTCAGCAATCGCCATGCCCGAGAAACTGGAGAAGGATCCCTATGGCTCCTTGGTCTCCACATGAGCCCCGAAAGGGTTAGGGTTTAGGGTTTGGGGTTTGGGGTTTAGGGTTTAGGGCTTAGACTCAAGCCCGATTCCGGCAAAGGCGGCCAAGGCTCAAGGGCGGAAGCTCAACTACCCAACCCGCAAAGCCCTAAGAAGAGAACTCGGGAACTGCCAAAAGCCTACAGAAGCCTACAAAGAAAGCCGACAGAGCCCCGCCAAAACTCTAAACCCTTAACCCTTAACCCCTAGCCCTGAGCCCTAAACCCTAAACCCTAAACCCTAAACCCTAAACCCTAAACCCTAAACCTGCGCCGGGGGAAGAGGGCAGCTCAGCTCAGGTCTGAAGCCTGGGAAGCAGGGCACCGCCGGAGGTCACAGCGGCGCCCGCGGGAAGCTTGCGCAGCCCCCCAGGCCGACTCTCCAAAAGAGGGGTTTAAGGGGTTTAGGGGTTTAGGGTTTAGGGTTTAGGGTTTAGGGTTTAGGGGTTTAGGGGTTTAGGGGTTAGGGTTTAGGGGTTTGGGGTTTAGGGGTTTAGGGTTTAGGGTTTAGGTTTAGGGGTTTTGGGGTTTGCAAAAAGGATTTAGGGTTTAGGGATTAGAGGTTTAGAGGTGCAGAGGTTTAGAGGTTTAGGGTTTAGGGTTTTTGGGTGTATATCAGGTTTAGAGTTTAGGGTCTTTTCTGAGACATAAAGGGTCTCTTGTCAAGAACGGGTCCCTGGGGGGTTTCGGGGTTTGGGCTTGGGCTGTGGGATTCGGCTCTTCTACACGAATCGGCTGAGTAGGTACGAGGTTGGGAAATGTGGGTAGCAGCCAACAGGAGCTTGTCGCGGGCCTCTTTTATTGAGCCATGCCACTTGTTACACGAGCTTGTGGTAGTGGTTTAGGGTTTGGCGCTTCGGGTTCAGGCAAAAGGGTTTAGGGTTAAAACCCTAAACCCTAAATCCCCCTTGCCCTGAAGCGTTCCGGCCCCAAGTTCCTGCCAAGGCCCATCAACTACTCACGGCGTTGGGACCACGGAAAGGCACTCGATGACCCCGTCTACCCAACAAAGAAGACCCTTGGCGACATCTTTCACAGATTGCTTGTGAGGTTTGTTGTCCAGTCTTACCTGACTCTAATTTCTTCTTCTTTCAAGTTGTTGAAACTCTCTCCGCCACGCGAACGGTACAAAGTAGCCAAGAAACCGTTGTTGGCCCATGAATCCTTTCTCCAAGCAAATGGGAAGGTGTGGCAAGGAGCGATTCGAGAGTTTGCAAGTCACTATCAGATCCTAGCGTGACAGATCTTGGGTGGCACCATCGTTCTCTCGTGGCTTCCTAAGCGACATGGCTCATCTTCTTCGCTAGCACTAGTGTTCCAGCGCTACGATCCTAGACACAGACCACCCCCGGACCCCCTTCACGGCCGAGCACTGGCCATGCAGGGCTGAAGGAATGCTTTCGGAAGACCCTAAACATCCCCAAACCCTAAACCGCCCTAAACCCTAAACCCTAAACCCTAAACCCTGCCAAGCATGGCGACACAATCTTGGAAGCCAAGGATTCCCGCGGCTTTGCTGCCCGTCTTCCCCCAGGACTGCCTCTACGCTTCAGGGAAACTCTTCGGAGTCGGGGGTTTGACCTGGAGAATTGGTCTCAAAAAAGCTCACTATACTGGAGGGGTATTTTCATATCCTTCAGAGGTCTTCAGAAGTTTCAAGATACCATCCACGAACCCAGAGACTCCAAAACCTACTACTTAACGAGTATACCTTAAACTATACTAGGAACCCTAGTATGATTTAAGGTATATTCCTCCCTAAACCCTAAACCCTAAACCAGAAACCCTAAAGGGGTTTTGGAGTCTCTACGCATCTAGGACTGGCGATCTGCCGGGCGGGCGCTGCTTTGCCTGGGCATGGTGGCTGGGCTCTGGAAGACAAGATATGAAGAGTGATGGCGGGTACCAAACTCGAAGTTAGGGTTTAGGGTTTAGGGCTTAGGGCTTAGGGCTTAGGGTTTAGGGTTTAGGGTTTAGGGTTTAGGGTTTAGGGTTTAGGGTTTAGGGTTTAGGGTTCGACATGTGGAGACATCTGCAGCCGCGGCTTTCGACTTGCGAGTTGCCTTGTAGCAGCTGAGGCCATGCTTGAGGGCATCCGCCTGAGGTCCAAGGGCGCTACCCTGAAGTGGCAGAAGGTGCCCATGAAGGGCCTTCCCGGAGGAATCCCACGGTTTAGGGTTTAGGGTTTAGGGTTTAGGGTTTAGGGTTTAGGGTTGCTGCCGAATTGCTCTGAGGTTGCTCTACCGCTAGCTTCAAAGCATACAGTGCCAAACCTGTCAGGCCGGATCACACATCAAGTCAAATCAAGTCAACAAAAGCCACCTTGCAAACATATGGGGGTGTACGAAAATGAAAAACGAAGGACCCCAAGAAGGTGCCGCCCCCTTATACCGTAACCCTTCATATTGAACGAAACCACATGAGCATCGCAGATCCGGGTCCTGCCAGAGTCGTACTCCATCGCTTAGAACATACAGCGACACAGACCTGGAAGGCGGGCTACTGCAGCGCCTTGTGCAAGGAGCAGTGCGCCAGGGCACCTAACCGCATCTTCTGCGCCTTGGGCAGTCGAGCAGGAAGGGCTTGGGGTTTATCATGCCTAACCCTAAACCCTAAACCCGCGGTATTTCAAAGCACAGACACACACCGAAATGTTCGCCGCATAGTACCCTGCAGAAGCGGGTGGCAAGAAAAGCATCCTAAACCCTAAGCCCATGATCGAAACCGAACAGATCCGGCGTCTCATTCTCTTGAGGTTTGAAGCCGAGGTTGAAGGAAAAGGCGCTTCGGCACCAGCAAACCCGACCCCACGAGGCCAAAGCCTTTGCAATCACATCCGAAGCCTTTGATTCAGCCGGAAACTCCTTGCCCCTAAACTCTAAACCTAAACCCGAAAAAACACTAAGAAAAACCTAAAAATCCTAAACCCTATATCCTGAACCCTGAACCTTAAAACCCAAAACCCTAAGTCAAGCCCTGCATGTCCGAACCTTTTGGGCGCGATCAAGGTGCCTGGAGGGTACAAAACACGGTCCACGACCATCACAACCGCTTGGACGGGATGCTGTTGAGCTGCCAGGCCTTGAAAGCGGATTAGGGTTACTGTGGGTTTGAACTCGACTTTCTGCAGAAAAGGACAAGCTATACGGGGCGAATGCAGATGTGGGAAATATCGCTTTGGGGGTCAGTTCACCAGACGAAACGAGCAGGTCATGTACGAGGTGCGCAAGTACATGTTGTACCTTTTGTTGGGGCCCCGGAAACTGCAAGACTAAACATCCGACCAAGGCTATAAGGGCGTGGTGCACTATGACAACCCGAAGAAGCCCATCTTCCGGGTCCTCAACCAGGTTGCGATCAAAAACCGGTACAAGTCCGTCGCTCGAGCTAAACATTCTGCCGGGGTTCAGAGAGGGTTCAGCATACATTGGAGTATACTGGGGTATCCTGGAGTATCCTGGAGTCACTGGAGGGGCCACAGTATTGGGTTATTGGAGGAGAAATCCACTGGGCCATAGCCTCAATATGCAAACCCCGGCTTCATGCGCTAAGGAACGGATGGTTTGGGACGCGAGCCAAAGTGCCTACGTCTTTGCGGACCGTGAGGAGATACATCCTGGTTTCGGAATCCGACCGGACCGTGATGAATCCCACTACGAGCCGGACGAGGAACGCGAGGGGGGCCCTTGATGTTTTGCGGGTTGGTGATGATGCGTGTCAGCTTGGGATCTAGGAGCCTGCGGGAGCAAGGCAGAGCATGCAGCAGCCATTCAGCAGTGAGAGCCGTCCTCTTTGGCAACTTGAAGTTAACCCTTTCAGGCCTCAACCAACCCAATAGACCAACATGATGCCATGAACTAAAGACTTCTCATGAATCGGTTCATAATACTGAAGCCCAGCTGCATATTGCAGAGGGGTCGATGCACGATTCAATTCCCAACGCCATGACGCCATGAAACCAAAGTAGCGCAGCCAAGCCTCAGACGTAGGATCGCTCCGACGGACAAATTCCAACCTCCCGCTCCGATCAGGCGACATACGACTCAGAGAGTGACATCGAAGCATCTTCGTCGGATGAGGACTCGGACGGAGATGGCATGGCCTAGCAGCCTCGTAATCTGCCCACGTCACTCGTGACTTCAATTACCCTAACCCTAAACCCTAAACCCTAAACCCTAAACCCTAAACCCTAACTCGCAGCTGCCTGGCAAGGGCTCGTCCGTAGTTCAGTCTCGGCGGGTGAAGACAGATATGAGTATAAAGTGACTAGGCCAGCTAGCATAGCACATACGAAGGTTTGATGGTTGCGGTTTAGGGTTTAGGGTTTAGGGTTTAGGGTTTAGGGTTTAGGGTTTAGGGTTTAGGGTTTAGGGTTTAGGATTACAATCCTGCGCCAGCGTCCGAAGTCCAAGATTTCGATTCGGTGGACTTTGCTCAGTCCGGCCTGCACCGGCGGAACAAAATGATGGCTTTGGGCCACTTGGGCATCAGGGAAGCTCTGCACAGAGCTCTTGAGATGACCTCTCCTGACTTCCCACTACGCAGTCCCTGTTCTGAGGTGTTTGCAGAGAAAGCGCCCCCAACTTTCCCCTGCACATGCCAGGCTTGCTGGTGCAGGGAGTCGAAGCCACTTGCTGAGAGATGCTGCTGTTTAAAGCTGAGAGATGGACACTCCTTCGTCTGCTAGAGAGATGTCGGAAGTTGTTTTGGACAAGCTCTGATCTCTGGCTGACGATTTCCATGAAGAGCAGGGGGGGTAGGCATCATGCGCTTGGGCTCTCGGAGAGGGGCGGGGGGGGCGATGTTCATACCACGGGGTTTTTTAGCTGGGAGGGGGGGGGGGGGGAGCGGGTCATGGGATGCTTTCCCGCCTCCCCCTTTCCTGAGCCTGGCTGCCGCCAGGTAATTTGCTGGGTACGAGTTGCCCTAAGCTAAACCCTAAACCCTAAATCTGACCTTCTTAAGGCAGTACTACTACTGGAACCGGATCCGAAACACCACGCAGCGCTTTGCCCGCAGTGGTTCGGAAGTGAGGGCCCTTATTCTGTGTTGAGCTGGGCTTCATTAGGGTTTGGGGTTTAGGATTTAGGGTTGTTTAGGGTTTAGGGTTCCATGCACCATCCCAGCTTGTCTCAATTCAAGGTGGGAATGGCCATTGGAGGCGCGCTCAGCGGCACAAGACCAGTTGTTTGGGAACTCACTGTTTCATGTGTACCCCGACCCCTTAACAAACACCAAGGCCCCATGTGTTGTATCTATTTTCCTAAAAGACACCACTCTCATCCTGAGGGCGGTGGCGGCTCGTCTAGTGCTGGCCGTTCTTCCTGCTCTTCTTTGGTCCCACTTCAATTCATTCTTGGCCCAGGGCGTGCCCGATGACATGTCCATTGCCATGGTCGACAAGATGGTGCACGAGGCGAGGGCTTAGGATCTATAGGGTTTAGGGTTTAGGGTTTAGGGTTGGTAGAAGAATGAAGTGGGCCGCAGGGATGCGGCCACCCGGCAATGCCCAAACTCCTCCAACCCTAACCCCCCCCCCCCCCCCAAAAAAAAAAAGAAGCCACGAATGATTTTAAGCTCAACGAGTAGCATTTGCATTTTTGGTATGCTTGTTAGCAATACGTTACTATTTTGAAAGTATTTGTGTTGTCAGCACATCCCGGCATTGTTCATTGTTGTTTTTGGCATTGGCACATACCCCCCGACCCCCCCCCACCCCACCCCCAGATGACCAACGCTGCCGGCGTCACAGAGTTCAAGGCCAAGGTCAAGTCGGGGTCACAGCATTTCAACCATGAGGGTTTGGCGCTTTCAGGGTTTAGGGTTTGGGGTTTGGGTTTAGGGTTTGGGGTTCAAGTGGGTGTTGTGCACGACTCTAAAAACGAGAGCTGCATGTCTGTGAGAACCGGAATGTCTGGATAAGTCCATGCCCTCAAGCTGCTCATTGTAAGCTTTGGTTAGGGTTTGGGGTTTGGGGTTTGGGGTTTAGGGTTTAGGGTTTAGGACCTAAACTCACCCCTCTCCATGAGGCTGATGCTGACAGGCTTTGACATGCAAGCGGCGATGAGGCGCCGCTGGCATTGTCTTGAACATCTTTCAGCAACCTGGCCACTTTGCGACACTGTGGCTAGAGCCTTCCTTGTGGTTCCTATAGTTGGGACCCCAGCGGTGCATCTGAGATGCACCCTGACATCACTGAACCTTACTTTTCACAGGACTCACATCCCCCACTGCAACATCAAGTCACTTCATCCGTAACGTAGCCAATCAATCGAGGCTATCTCGTATGAAAGCACACAAGTTACGTCCCTGCCTCTTCGTTCACCTCAGCGTTCAGACTGACTTCTTCATATATATCTTGCTAGACTTGGGGTGCACCAGGGCTTCCGGGTGCGTTGGCAGCGCAGGGGTTTCAACTTACTTTTGCGCACCGACGTTGGCCAGGCTCATACAGGAAGAGCAGCAGCGGATGCAACAGGTGCCGATATCCCCCTTGGGGTTTTTTTGTATATCAAACCTTACTTACGGCGTGGGCCTCTTTAATCAAAGGTCTCTGTTCGAGGCATTCTTGGGCTTCAAACTATTTACAACTATTTCCTTCTAATTCGGTCGTGTTTGCGAGCGCTGGTGGAGGGAGCACCCATTCCCCAGAACACCCATGCCCAGGCACTGTGATACTGCCATGGGGCTCGGTGGAGGAGATAGATAGATGTATATATAAATATATATATATATATAGAGAGAGAGAGATTAATTAATTGCGAGAGCTTATAAGAGGCAATGGATGGTTCCACGAGAACTGTTGTTCGGCTTGAAAAATCATTTCCATGTGGAGACTCCCAAGGAACGGTGATTGGTGAAGAACCCACTTGTATAAATAGATATCCTCCTTGAAGGATTCGGTTTCCCATAATCATTGTGATAGTTCATGTGTAAACATAGATATACAGTTGTTTATACGTTCCACGCGCAAACCGATTTTCTATGTGAAAACAGCTTTGGCGTTGAGCCAAAAACCGGTTCCATACAAGAACCAGATTTCCCTGTGAAAACCAGTTTTGTGCAGCGATTCAAAGGCGAAACCAGTTTTCCTGTGGAACCAGCTTTGGTTTAATCAAGCTTGTTTTGTATTTGTGGGTTTTTATCCACCTACAAACCATTTCCACACAACTTTCTGGTATTCGCACATATATATATATACATACATATGTATATGTATATGTATATGTATATGTATATGTATATGTATATGTAAATTTACGCTTCAAACACACACCCACACACACACACTCACACACATATATATATATATATATACATACGTATATGTCCGTGCATGCCTGAGATTCTACATGTTCACAGGATATCTGTATCTTCTTCCTGGACAAAACAACCAATTTCAAACAACCGTTTTATTGCATGCTTTACGTGAAGATGTCTGCATTTCTACATCTATATCGATATGCGTAATAAGTGTGTGTATCTCTGAGCTTCTGAAGTTTCTACAGATATATATATATATATACATAAGTTATACATATATATATAGAGAGAGAGAGAGAGCGAGAATGATAAGGATGTTGCGCTTCCACCAGTGTTGACCCACTTTTGCTTAAGGCTTGCAGGACATCGAGAGCTTTGGGGGTGTTCATATTGAGGGTGTAGGGCATTTAGGGTTTCAGGCTATTGAAAATCTAGTGTAAGGGAATGCGGGTTTACGGCAGTTAGGATTTGAGGGCCAAAAAAAGTTGGTCGTAACCACCCTTTTCGAGTCTGGACAGTCTGGCTGATGAGTTTGGGTATTGAAGGCCTCCGGGGCCCCCATGAGCCACCAAAAAATCTCATCAGACAGACTTGAAAAGGTCGGTCGTTTTCGCTGAAAACGACCGCCCTTTCAGGAAAAAACAGCCTGTCTGGAGCCTTGGGATGGTCTGAACTTGTGCTTTCTCTGAGCAAAACGGGTTTGAAAACTGTTGTTTTCTTGAGAGGGCGGTCGTTTTCAGCGAAAACGACCGACCTTTTCAAGTCTGTCTGACGAGTTTTTTCTGGTGGCTCATGGGGGCCCCGGAGGCCTTCAATACCCAAGCTCATCAGCGAGACTGTCCAGACTCGAAAAGGGTGGTTACGACCAACTTTTTTTGGCCCTCAAATCCTAACTGCCGTAAACCCGCATTCCTGTACACTAGCTTTTCAATAGCCTGAAACCCTAAATGCCCTACACCCTCAATATGAACACCCCCAAAGCTCTCGATGTCCTGCAAGCCTTAAGCAAAAGTGGGTCAACACTGGTGGAAGCGCAACATCCTTATCATTCTCGCTGTCTCTCTCTCTTTCTATATATATATATATATTTATATATCTGTAGAAACTTCAGAAACTCAGAGATACACACACTTATTATGCATATCGATATAGATGTAGAAATGCAAGGTTTTTACATTGCGTAAAGCATGCAATAAAACGTTTGTTTGAAATAGGTTGTTTTGTCCAGGAAGAAGATACAGATATCCTGTCAACATGTAGAATCTCAGGCATGCACGGACATATACGTACTTATGTATATATATATATATATGTATGTCCGTGTGTGAGTGTGTGTGTGTGTGTTTGAAACGTAAATTTATAGATACATATACATATACATATGTATATACATATATATATACATATATTTGTGCGAATACCAGAAAGTTGTTTGGAAATGGTTTGTAGGTGGATAAAAACCCACAAATACAAAACAAGCTTGATTAAACCAAAGCTGGTTCCACAGGAAAACTGGTTTTGCCTTCGAATCACTGCACAAAACTGGTTTTCACAGGGAAATCTGGTTCTTGTATGGAACCGGTTTTTGGCTCAACGCCAAAGTTGTTTTCACATAGAAAATCGGTTTGTGCGTGGAACCTATATACAACTGTATATCTATGTTTACACATGAACTATCACAATGATTATGGGAAACCGAATCCTTTAAGGAGGATATCTATTTATACAAGTGGGCTCTTCACCAATCACCGTTCCTTGGGAGTCTCCACATGGAAATGATTTTTCAAGCCGAACAACAGTTCTTGTGGAACCATCCATTGCCTCTTATATCTCGCAATTAATCTCTCTCTCTCTCTATATATATATATATATATACAGATACACATTCTTTTGTGGCTCAGTGGTGGATGTGCGACCTTTCGCAAGGGGGGGTCCCAAAAGCCACTCAAAAGCCTTCAGGTCGCCTGATCCCGGTGCCAGGGCTTCAGACAACTTCAGGGCCTCCCTTGACCAGGCTCACTACAGACCAAATTGGTAGGAGATAGTTGGAAATAGTTGTAAACAGTTTGGGAAGCCCTCTGCACCTCCGACAGAGAAAGAGGCCCACGCCGTGAGTAAATCAAACCCAAGAGGATATTCGAATATTTATTTTTTGTTTAAGGTTCTAAGGGGAGTATAGGCGCTGAGTGCTATGGAGGCTGCCGAGGATGTTGGATCGGGACGTGGGTTTGCAGCATTCACCCCCGGAATGTATCCATGTTCGGACCTTGAAGGTGATACCGAAGTTCTACAGTTCTACATGTAACATGCGCGGCAAATACCCCGGCAAAGCGACAGGGACCGGCCGAAAAGCAACATGCGTCCTTTGCCAGACGACCAAGTAGAGTCATGTGGTTCTTACTGAAAAACTGGGTCAAAAGAGACAGCCCTATACACCCGAAACCCTAAAGCCTAAACCCTCAAACCTAAACCCGAAACCCGAAACCCGAACCCTAAACGCTAAACCCTAAACCCTATAAACCCTATAAACCCTATAAACCCTATAAACCCTATAAACCCTATAAACCCTATAAACCCTATAAACCCTAAACCCTTGCTACCTCAGATGAGCCACGGGGCCCCTCAGGAGGCGGACGTGCGATTTCAAGAGCTCAAGGTCGGCGCGATCCCCAGCAAAAGCTCCTGTTGGGTTTAGGGTTTAGGGTTTAGGGTTTAGGGCTTGCTGTGGAGGAGATGACAGATGCCTTACACATTAGGGCAGTTAGGGGGCTTTTCAAGCCTGGATGCAAAAGGGTTTGGGGTTTGGGGTTTAGGGTTTAGGGTTTAGGGGTGATACTGAAGCAGCTTCCAGGTTCAAAGGGATGATACTGCATGTCTGTCTGAATGTCTTTGACGATATTCTCAATGATACACCGTGGCAATCTCTTGGAACATCAGGCCCAAACGGTTTCTGAATCTTCTTGAAGCGTTCACTGGCGCTAGGAATTAGGCACAGGCCCACTATTTCCCCAAACCCCGAAGCCATGGCAACCGACCGTCAAACCACAGGCCTGAAAAAGATGCATCGCCAGCAGGCCGCGGCAGCTCTGGAATCTCTATTGAGTTGTACGGGTTTTGGGTTTTTAGGGTTTTGGGTTTTCAGGGTTTATAGGGTTTAGGGGGCAGTGGGGGCTTTGCATGCAGCATGCGGTGAGCGGGGGCGGCTGAGCCAGTCTCGTGAGCGTGAGGGTCCCACGGTCCTTGGATGTTTCAGGCCTAAGTTTAGGGCTCCTTGCTAGAGCTGCTAGGCAGCTTGAAGCCGAAGGGCGCAATAAGGGGCACAAAACGGCAAGAGTTGAAGAGCTTCTTTTTCAAAGGAGCAAGTTGAGAGGTTCATCTTGAAGACTCGCATGCGGCCCAAGCATATATCAACCACCCAAGCATACTCTGTTGCATGATGGTGATGGATAGTGATGGTCTGTGCAGTCTGCACATGCGGATAGTTCATGTTATGTTCCGTTTCGCATGAATGCGTGATTCCTAGTCAAGCCCGACAGATGCGGGTGGACAACTTCCTTGAAGACCTACTCTACGCCAGCTCCACAGAGACATTCATGGAGGGGTTGGGGTTCGGGCCCAACTGCCGTCAGCTCCTTGAGGGCGCGCTCATACGTGGGGTTTAGGGTTTAGGGTTGAGGGTTGAGGGTTTAGGGGTTTAGGGTTCAGGGTTTAGGGGGTCAAAGGGCTCAGCATCACAAGCTTAGTAGCCCAGTTGCACCCTTTACCCCCGTTTTGGGGGGGCTACCAAGCAAGGCGAAACAAGACGAACACCACTTCCCGACATGGGTGGGGCAGAGAAGGGGTGGAAACAAGCAAACCCGCCCCCCCCCCCCCCCCCCCCCCCCCCCCCCCCCCCCCCCCCCCCCCCCCCCCCGCCCCCCCCACCCCCCCCGCTCCCCCCCCTCCGTCTCGAGTCGAAAGCTAAGGCTTGCTTCTTGAGATTTTTTTAGGGGTTCAGGGTTTAGGGAACTAGACATGTTGGCAGGGGAAGGGGGGGGAGGGGTGGGGGGGGAGTTGGGGCGAGGTCGCCAAAACAGGATGTTGCAGCGCTCCGTACGCCGACCCCAAGAAGCGATGCCAAGAAGAGCCCACCTAAGGCTTCCAGGGGCCAGGCACAATGTCCCAATGCAAAACAAAAAAGATTATAAAAAAAAAGCAGGGGGCTCGAAACCCTGCAAACCCTGAACCCCGAGTTGAAACCTGTGCCATGAACCGGAACACCTCAGCTTTCCTTACCCAAACCCTGAGCTTTGTATTCTGTCCCTTAATGGTCTGCTTTTGCCAGGGCTTGTCGAGCTTGAACAGCTTAGAGACATTCAAGCCGAAACCCGCGTAAGCCTGCATAAGCAAAACATGCAAAAGTGTGGTGCGCAACCTGAGCTCGAGTAAGCAAATCCTGGTTGGAAAGAACATCCCGCCCTCCAACCCTTTTTGCAGGCCACGTGTGTGCCACAGGCCGCTGCAAGTAAGCTCAAGAACACCTTTTTCGCTTTTGTTCGCCGCTCACTGGTCTTATCGAAGTGGAGCCCATCACCACCCGTAAACCTGCTGAACTCTGCCCAGGTTTGCTGTGAGAGCTTCTTTTGTCACGAGGCTCGGGGGGGGGGGGTTGGGGGGAGCGTGTTTAGGCCAAGTCGCTTCTTCAGCTTCTTCCCAGTTGAGCTAATCGCCAGGAGGCAGTGTCCAGGATCCACCCCAGTATGAAGTTTAAGTAGTTGGACCACAGGGGGAGGAGGGGAGGGGGGGAGAGGGGGGGGGGGGAGGAGGAGGGGAGGGGGAGGAGGGGGAGGGGGGATGGGGGGGGGGGAGGAGGGGGAGGGGGAGGGGGAGGGGGAGGGTCATTCATATTGCGCCTATGCCCAAAACGCTGGCATTACAGCGTTTTCATCTCACTGCGCAAGGATGTGGAACAAGACACATTGTCGCAAGCGTCCATGCCTTTGGTGACCATGCCCAAAACACTGGCATTTACAGCGTTTTCATCACGCTGTACAACATACTGCGCAAGGATGTAGAACAAGACACGCTGTCGCAAGCGCCCATGCTTTTGGCGACCATGCCCGAAACACTGGTATTTACAGCGTTTTGCGATTCTGAGTTTAGCGACCTGCTGAAAGAAAACTTTAAGGTTCTTGATCTTTTCACACTCACACATGAGTCATGAACCACATAAGTATGAATCCTGTTCGATTTCCGAAGTAGTTTACGCCAGTTTTTTCCCTCTTGTTTAAGGCGTTTTCTTGGGAGCCGAATGACGAGTACATTGCAAAAACCAATACGCCGTGCACTTGCCCTCAATCTGCAAATGTGTCTGAAACACCACGGCCGCGTACGCGCCGTGGACCAAGTAGCTACTACTACTTCTATGCCTCGTGGTGCTGCGGCATTGGGGCAGCTCATCGTGACATGTGAAGGCTGAACTTGAGAGATGCTCTTGCCGTGACGATCTGTTCTGCATGCTTCCATTGCTGCGTGTGGATTAGATGAGTTTGGAGATGTCATAGGGTGCCTGCAGGTCTGATCCCGGAAACCCATGCTGCACTGGCTACGGCTCAAGCTCTGGCTCACGGTGCAGTTGCTATGGCTCCTATGGCACATATTCAACAAGGCGACCCAAACAGCTATAGGCTACGACACGAAAAGACACTAGTTCAGCACCTCAGCTGTTTATCTCGGCTAGTGCTCGATGTTGAAGTAGCCATGGGGCAGGAGATCAGCTGTTGCACCCAGAACTGCAAAAAGCAGAACTGCAAGCACTGCAAGCACTGCAAGCACTGCAAGGCTGCAGTTGTCGAGAAAGAGCCAGATGCACCGATCGTCGTGTTCGAGGAGAATGCAGTGCCGGAGGATGTTGACCTTGACTTCCTCATGCCGCAAGATCTCATGCTTGATCGGGCCAAGGGCAATTCCATGCGTGACGAGCAATCGACGAAGTCGACTGCACACGAATTCCTCGCAGAAGGCCTTCCAGCTCTGGGGCATACAGTGATACCAGTTGCACCGAGACAGCTGCCGACGACACCGGATATCACACCGTGTGCGTCAAGGCAGCTGCCACGGTCGCTGTCGTCAGATCTCACCCCAACTGCATCAAGGCAGCTGCCACGCACGCTGACGCCTGACGCGTCCTTGTCAAGACAGTGCTCGAGTTCATTCTCTCGCACACTGACGCCGGAGGTGTCGAAGCAGCTCATGCGCCAGGATAGCAAGAATTTGCGAGGCAACGCCATCGGGTACTTCGAGGTAGACACCGAGATTGTGCGGGGCATCTCGCTGCGACAGACACTTCGAGAGGTCAGGGCTGTGTGGCTCCGACCTCCGGCCACCATGCAAGAAGAGGAGAGAGCCGCACTCTATACGAGGTCCCGTCCGGTGCAGCACTTCGACCTCTTCCTGTCGCATACATGGCGCACGCCAGGGAAGTGGAAGGCATTCGCCCTGCTCTTCCGAACAGGCTGGCCCATCATGCTGCTCGGCAACGCAGTGTCAGTGTGCCTGGCATTTTGCTTGTGTGCGACTCGTGTGCTCCCCATGCCCTTCGACTACGCGCCACCACTCGTGAACTTCAGCAGCACCAGCAAGCTTGGGTGCTGGCTAATCTGCTTGAGCATGGCCGGCTCCCTCAGCGGCCTCTTACTTTCCCCGTTCTTGCCCTCGAGTTTCGGGAGCTCATGCTTTCTGGACGTTGTAAGCGTGCACCAGTCGGATCAGCAGCTGAACGAAAGGGGCATTTATGGAATCGGGGGATTCTTGGCCGTGTCCCGCGAGATGCAGGTATTGTGGTCGAGGCTGCTCCTCCCCATTTGGGGGGAAGTTCTGGCTCTCGATTTTGAAAGGGGCTTCTTGTGACTGATTGTCGAACTAGAGCAAGATGCATGCATTCAATGCAAAGCAAGCTCAGCACCAGGACGTTCGTCACATTACATGACCCAAGGATATGTCGAGCTTTCGGCTGAGATCAGCGTACTGGTAGATACTGTAGGAGTTGCTGCTGATCGTGACAGAGAAACCCTTGCACATGCCCTTATGAGGCGCAGCCCAAACTCGACATCCATACGACGAACGCGCAGCGTGCAATGTTCAAGTAGGTCACCAGCAGCGTGAGTCAGGGTGAGCGGCCGTGTTGACCATCTCACATAACAAGTCCCCTTGCCACTAGAACGTAGTATCATATTTCCCACCACCAATAACAGCGGCAACAACAACAGGAATGACAACCAAACAAACAACCAAGCGGACAGGCACAACAAACAAGCAAACAAACAACAGACAAGCAAACAAACCAACAAACAAACAAAGACAAAAACTGAAACAAAAACAAACAAGCAAACAAGCAACCAAAAACAACCAAAAGCAACAAGCAAGCAAACAGACAAACCTGCAAACATGCAACCATGCAAACATGCAAACCAACAAACCAACCATCTAGCAACAACCAACAGAACAAGCACAACGACCACAGCGTTGCCACCCGAATGGGCGTAGGTCACGGCATCCTAAAGCACGCGCGCGCACTCACGCACGCACTCACGCAGGCCGTACCTTTCACGCGTTTGTAGCTCACCTTGGTGCAAGCTGGCGTTGTTTATCAATCCTACAATCCTACTGCAGGCCGTACCTTTCACGCCTTTGGTGTGTTTTCGAGCTTGCCGCATACCGCACAGCCAACCCCGACGGCAAGATCACCCTGGCGCCGCTTTACGTTGAGCAGATTCTTGCCGTACTCCTCATCTGCGCTTATGTCATGGCCATGACCTTTGTGCTTTCTCGGGCCTTGCTTGAGGAAAGGCTTCGCCTGGTCGCCTACGCGGCAGCTGCAGTGCCGACCCTGATTGCCGTGCACATGCTCCGCAGGTTCTTTCAAGACAGACAACAGCTGATGATCGACTTACAAAGTTTCGATTTGGACTCCGTGGGGTGTCAGAACGACTTTGACCGCGAGTTCATCCACAAAGCTATCCTTGAGTGGTATGGAAGTAAGGATTGCTTCAAGGACTTTGTGCAAGGCCCCTTGCGCAAAGAGCTTGTCGGGAAAGGTTGCAAGATTCACCTGTCGGGGCCTTACCTGGCCCTGCTCGTGGGTGTCGCCATGACGCCCGGTTTCTTACTTCGCCTTGAGAGTTGAACTTTAGGCTTTTGGGGTTTCCTTTTTTTACTTGTTTTCGTAGGAATGCTAAAGTTTAACCTTTTCTTCCTCTTGGTTGTTGGGGAAGTAAGGTTTGGAGTTCACACTGGCGATCTACTGCGGGGACGCCCCGCCGCTGTCCATGCTCGCCAACGTCGTGGCGGGAGTCTTGGGCTTCTCGGTGCTGTGGACCATCTTTTCTGCACGAGTGCTCCTCTACTTCTGCAACGTGGCTGCCAAACCCATCGCTCCGGAATTCGACTGCCTGCAGAGCCTTGGTGGCCCAGTGGGTGCCCATTTTCCCTTTCCTTGCTTCAGGGCACCCTCATAAAGCAACCAACTCCACAACAAGGGGGTCTTCCCCTCTTGTTGTATGGTTACTGGGCTACCCAGGACCATTCTGGTCTTCACATTATAAAGTAACCAACCCAAAAACCAGGGGTGCCCCCTTATTGTAACCCTAAACCCTAAACCCTACACCCTAAACCCTAAACCCTAAACCCTGTAGTATGGTTCCCGGGCCACCAAGGACCATTCTGGTCTTCACCATCGTCGGCCCCGTTTGGAGCTCGGGCGCGGCCCTGGCGACCACGGCGCAGATGCACTCCTTGGAGGACCCTAAACCCTAAACCCTAAACCCTAAACCCTAAACCCTAAACCCTGGTCTTGTTTGGTGTGCTTGGTGTGTAGGGTGGGGTTTGTGTTGGGGGCTTTGTGGTTTGGGGTGTGCGGTTCTGGGGTTGGGAGTTGTGGGGAGTTTGATGTGAGTTGTCCTGGGCTTGCGCTGCCGTGCCATGTCTCACGCTTGCGCCCGATGTTCGCTCTTCGGAGATGGTGCTACAGAAACCCTAAACCCTAAACCCTAAGCCCCAAACCCCAAACCCTAAACCCTAAACCCTATGCACAGCTTGCAGGCCTCCTTCGGCTGGCTTGGCTTCGCTGCCGTCTTACTGGCCTTGTCGTTCACCAGCCCGCGCCAGATTCTGCACTTGGGCTCCCGAAACAAAGTGCATCAAGAAAGCGGGCAGGTGTAAGTTTGCTGGTTTTTTTATGCTGAGATCGGCGGTTCGCTGGATGCATAAGGGCGGGCGTCTGTTGCGTGCCAGCCTTCGACAGGACAGCCAGTGAGGAGCACTTTTTGCTCGAACGTCAGCTTATCTAGCCTCCAAAGAGTAAAAACTTTGAGTGATGAAGCCCCTGAAGCATAAACCCAAAAAAAAAAACAAGTAATCTCTGCGTGTGCTGGGCCAAGGCAGTTCTGGAAGTGCTGTAATGGCGGGGGGCCCAACCCTGCCCAAGCATGCTGAAAAGTGTCCTCGCCAGGAGGTGTCGGCTGCACCCTCACCATCCTTCATCACCCTTCATCCCAACAGTGTAGGAATATAATATATATATATATATCTCTATCTGTATATATATAAATGTGTATGGTCACCCCCCCCCCCCCCCCCATGATCCACACCTATGGTTTTCCTGTCTTCGTCGTTGCCTGATTTTCTGCTTTTTCCTCGGAAAAATTGCAGCAAAAACTGTACTGGAATACACAAGGCTCTTTTATATTATCCGCTATAAAAACACTAGTGGTTTTATGCGTATTTTTGCTTCTGAAACGTGTGTCTTGCAGAACCCTCAATCCTAAAAGCCAAACCAATCGGCCATTTTTCAGAAGTAATCAGTTTTCTCACATGCCGGTGCCGATGGGCACGACACAGTGCCTCGCGCAGTCCAAAAAATTTGGTTCGGGGTTTTAGCCAAGCCGCTTGACCCTAAACCCTAAACCTAAACCCTAAACCTAAACCCTAGACCTCAACTTAACACCAACCCTAAACACAAAACACCAAACCCTGAAACCTACACACTAAACCCTAAACACTGAACACTAAACCCTAAACCCGAAACAACAAATCCTGAACCTTAAACCAACCCCAAACCAAAAAACATGGGGTTTCAGTCCTGTAGGGGTTTTAAAACTTCATCAATTATAAGGTTTAGGGTTTTAGACATTATCCAAGTCGCTTAACCCTAAACCCAAAAAAGTAAACCCTAAACCTTTCAAACCAAAACCTAAACACTAGACCCTAAACACTAAACGCTGAACCCTAAACACTAAACCCTACAAACCCTAAACAATAAACACTAAACCGTAATCCCTAAACGTGCATATGGAGAACATGGGCCCCGGACTCCATATGGAGCACCCAGGCCCGGACTCCAGACTCCAGATTTCCAGAAAATATCTGGAGTACCGGGGCCCGGGACTCCAGACTCCAGATTTCCAGAAAAAATCTGGAGTCCCGGACTCCAGACTCCAGATTTCCAGAAAAAATCTGGAGTACCGGGGCCCCGGACTCCAGACTCCAGATTTCCAGAAAAAATCTGGAGTCCCGGACTCCAGACTCCAGATTTCCAGAAAAAATCTGGAGTACCGGGGCCCGGACTCCAGACTCCAGATTTCCAGAAACAATCTGGAGGACCCGGGCCCCAGACTCCAGATTACAGACTCCAGAATCTGGAGTGCAGGGTTCTGGTACTCCAGATTTTTTCTGGAAATCTGGAGTCTGGAGGTACTCCAGATTTTTTCTGGAAGTCTGGAGTCCCCCCCCCTCCCAAAACCAGCCTTCCCGAGGCCAAATGAGTGGATCATGGGGGGAAGGGGGGGGGGGGGGGGGGGGAGGGGGGCGAGCATATGTATATACATATATATATATATGTATTTCTTTTTTATCTGTATTATATTTGCATTTATTTGTTTAGATCTATGCACAATCAGCACTAGCCGTCATTAAACTATTAAACCCCAGCACCAAAAAATGGAGATGGAGGGAAACCTGATGCCCCTTGATCAGTTTGTGCATGAGGTGATCCCTGTTGCATTTGCTTGAGACGATCCCAATAACGAACCATTCTTTTCCGTCGAAGCACGTGGCAAAGCCACGTGCTTCAACTCCCCTCGGCCTGTTCCATTGGTCCTCCTAGACTCGCACTCACAACCCCCTTGATCCCTGTTCAGGGATCAGGGAGGCTGGCTTGATTGCTTGGCAGTGTAGCGACGGGTAGTGGATAGTTGTGGGAACATCGGGGCAATGGGGGCTTGGCCGAGTGCAAGGCATATGATTAACCGGCGTAACAACCGGGACTTGGATTTGCCCTTCTGTCTAGACTCTACAGGCTGAGATACAGCTTTCGGAACCCTTTCCAGTCTGGGTAAGGGGGTCAGCCGCACAGCAGGGAAAAGGAGAACACCCAGGCCCTAACGACCTACGGCCCCAACAACAACATCCAGTAACCCTAAACCCTAAACCCTAAACCCTAAACCCTAAACCCTAAACCTTAAACCATGACCATCTGAGCCTTGGCTGTGCGGCATCCTAATCTGGAGAGGTAGTTTGACCATTTCCAAGACGACGGGAGCACTCGCTGAGCGAACGCTCTGAACAGCCCTAAACCCTGAACCCTAAACACTCGTGTTCCATGAGACTTCGACTTTCCTTTTAGCGCAAGCAAAGTTGAGAAAGGCCGGCTGCACGAGCAGGGTTTACACTTAAGTTAAGCCTGAGTGGAGAATATAAAGAAATCAGGAAGTTGTCGCATCCTTCACGCTCAAGGGTGCTGGGCCCAGTTCACTGCACGCGCCTAGCACACTGCCCAACAGCAGCAGCAGTAAGCGCATGAAGAAGAACAGTAAGAATACACAGAAGACAAACAGCTCGCAAGCAAGGAGCTCAGGATTTAGTGCCCTCAGGAGAGCCCCCCACCCCTCTCACCACATTTCTAAACCCTGCGCCAGGAGGAGACTTGCCTCAAAGTGGTCAAGGGCGAGCGCTTGAAGCTCTACTACCAGGATCCCCTTGAGGCGCTCACTGGTAGGATTTAGAGTTTGGGTTTAGGGGTTAGGAGTTTAGGATTTAGGGTTCAGGGTTTAGGGCCAAGTTGAGCGACTGCTACCGGTCCATGGGTTTGAGACGCCTTGGCCCGGCCTCCGACATTGTCGAAAGACACACCGAGATTCTCGAAAACACGTTGAAGGTTGGTTCGAAGTTAGCACCTACAAAGGGGCTTGTGTTTATAGATGTTTATAGGTTTTTCTGGAAAAAGCTCCAGAAAGCAGCCTCCCTCGGTGGCGCACGCCTTCGGTGGCTCAATCTCGGTCTTTTTCTTTGGGACCCTGGGGTTTCTCGAGGGGTGTCTAAGAGGTTTCAACGAGGTATTGTAGGGGAGTAGAGGAATTCAGATAAAGGGGGGAGGGGGCAGGGTCCCATGCAAAGCCCATGGCCACCTAACGGATTTGTGTCAGTGCGAATTAGAGGACAGCAGCACTTCAGATTCCCGTGCAAAAGCCGTGGGGCATTCCAAAGGACGTGCTCGCATCTTTTGGGTGCCAGGGTTTAGGGTTTAGGGTTGAGGGTCCTAAACCTCTGAGCCCCCTGCAGACGGACAACTTCGAGCACGCCGAAGGCTGAGGAGAAGGGGGCCGTGGGCAGATGCAAGACCCTAAACCCTAAACCCTGGCTCCGTGTGTGTTTTGTTTCGAGCCCGGCGTTCAGGGGGGCAAAGGCGGATTCTGAGGCTGTCTTGAAGGAGGCCATATTTGCATCAGGAAACTCAAAGGGGAGAGCGGAAACTCCCGAAAATCTGGACGAAGTCTCATCCTGGGCTTCATATCAGCCGCAAAGGGGACTCTTTGAAGAATATCCCCTTATCGACCTCACATGGCCCCTAAAAACGACCGGAAGCTCAGCGGAGTACGAGGCGCCTCCAAGCTCAAGCGGGTGGGGGGGGTTTAGGGGGGTTTACGGGGTTTAGCGGGGTTTAGGGGGGTTAGGGGGGTTTGGGGTGGGGGGGGGGGGGGAAGGGATGAGTAAGAGCATTTGCATCTTTAAACCCAGAGCGCCCAAGACCCCTCAATTTAGGGAAGATGCCTGAAACCATCTAGGGATCCTGAGTCTGATTTAAGGGCAACTTCTTAAGTAAGGGGCATTGGGCTCTTTGGGAATTCCCCCCCCCCCCCCGACTGGCAAGCCCCCCCCTTAAGACCCTGCAAGAAACCCGAGGCCGGTGAAGGCTGGGCCTACGTGGGTATCGTGGCACTTTGGCAAAGACTTCGGGGCCCTTTCGAGGGGGAGGTTTCGAGGGGGGGTGTTTTTAGCAGATCCAAAGTGTGCTTGTTGGCAATGACGTTGTGGCTGTCGGATGTAGGGGGGGGGGGGGGGGGACGGTCGGGGACTCGAATATGAAATGAGACATCCAGGCTTTTTTTTTGCAGGAAGGAGGCCCACTTATGTCACCATATTCAAAGGGGGCACTTTTGTTTTTGTTTGGGAAACCCCCCCCCCTCCCCCCCCGCCTCCAGTCCAAGGACAACAAGCACCACCATGGCTGGATCCCGCAGGTGCCCGGACTTCATACCTTCAGCTTCGTGCAGGGCTCGTAAATTTTGGGATGTTCCCCCTTTATACGAAGAGTCCTCAGTAGGGATTCTATAATAGGGGGGTACGGCAAATTCTGTTAAAGACTGTTAGTAAAAGGGGGGAACATCCGAAATCATCTTGTATGAGAGACAGAGAGAGAGTAGGCCCATAGGCCTTCATGGCTACAGATGGCCGTGTCTTGTTCATGGTGTCTTCTGGCTCTCTGAATCGAAGCCAAACGAAACCACCATCAACAACCGTATCATCCTGGAACTTGGGAGTCCTCATATTTCTTCTTTCGCCCCTTTTAGGAGTCCATCCCAGCTCAACCGTTCACACCCTTGTCGAACCATCTACAGGAATACGATATCAACCGTGAACCCACCCCTCGGGAGCCCAACATCAGGGTTCTCCAGATCGACCGTCCAAAAGGCTGTGAGTTTAGAGAAAGATTCAGCGAAGAGGGTTTAGGGTTTAGGGTTCAGGGTAAGATACTAGATGGGAAAGGTCCGTGAGAAAGAGGTCTCTTCACCTCGCCAGAAGACTCATTCACTTTGGTCAACCCCCCCCTGAACTCCCATGCCGATCACTCTTACATCCACCTGCCAGGAGTGCATGCAGGCAGAAGCCCTGGAGCAGGGAACAGGAGTTCAGGAACTTCCGGAATTGAGGGCGCGCCGGGGGTCGTGCATTGGCGGATACCGCGCTCGGCGCTTGCCTCTGGGAGCTTGGACCCAAAGAGCCCAATACTCCTTAACTAAGGAATACACCTTAAATTATATTAACGCTCCCTATATAGAAAGGCCTTTTCCTGAATTCAGGAGGGGTATTGAGCTCTCTGGGGGCATTTTCCTCGTTTTCGGGGATGAAAGGGCACGGGTGGTTCACGATGTTGCTGGGCGAGGGTGCTGGTAGCCCCTGGTGCGACCTAAGCCAGCTGGGCTTTAAGGAGTCTAGGGTTTAGGGTTTAGGGTTGCGGGCTTGCAATAAGCCCTTCGCTACTGCTGAGCTCTGCAAGACGCGGTGCTTGGTGGTCCCAGCTGATGCTCAGAGCCTGGGTTCAAAAAAGGGTTTAGGGTTTGAGGTTTAGGGCTTTGCTTTCTCTAAGTGCGTTCTTGGGCTCACTTCTTCAGATGTTGGCATCGCAGGGCTTCTTAGCAACTTTTTTTGGGCTTAGGATCTGGGTATTATATGCCGGCCAAAGCAACCTAGACCGGCGCCGAGTAAATCCTAAACCCTCAACTGTGGCCCTACACCCTAAACCGTGGCCCTAAACTCTAAACCCTGGCCAAAAACAGGCACGCCTACCCTTCTTGATCCGATCTGCCCGCTCGTGCCGTTAGGGAGCTCGGGGGTGCCGGTGCGTGAACGGCCCGCTGGTGCAACGGTTGGGCACGGCATACACATGCGGATGCGAAAGGAACACAAATCTTCAGATTCTGAGATATATATATATACACACATGCACATATAAATGTATACATATGTGCACATATGTACATATGTACATATATGAAGACTCATGTACGTATATGTATTTGTGGTGATCTTAAGTCGTCTTTTGCAAGCAATCTGCCGGCGTATGTGAATCTTAGAGTCGGATGTTTCCCTCCTATACTGACAGTCCTTAATAGGGATTATAGTACCCCCTATTCATAATCCCTATTCTGGACTGTTTAGGGTTTAGGGTTTAGGGTTTAGGGTTTAGGGTTTAGGGTTTAGGGTTTAGGGCTAGTATAAGGGGGAACATCCCAAGTGAGCAAGAAAGTCTTGGGAAGCCCGGCATCCAGGTGGCGGTGAGACCTCCCGAGCACCGGGAGAGGGGCCGGAGACTTCGCTGAAGTAGTGGCTGTAAGGGTCCTTTAGGGTTTAGGGTTTATGGTCTAGGGTTTAGGGTTTAGGGGTCCTTTAGGGGCAGGGATGTGTCGGCGTTAGGGTGAAAAGGGGTTTAGGGTTTGGGCTGAATTTTCCCGATTGCTCCGAGATGCCCACATCCCTGATGGACATGCGTTCTTCCTTGCGGCTGGAGTTGGAGATCGCTACATGTTTAAACCTTAAGCTCGTTTGTTGAACGCAAGGTGCTTAGTGCGGAGATGGCGGGTGGTTTTGTTTCTATATTTGGACTGTTTGTTTGTTTGAGCCCACCCCAAAAAGCCCCACTCCATAGAAGCTCATGACTGGTTATCGCCGGCATAACTATGTGCATATATATATATATGCATACTCCATACATACATGTATATCAATATAGATTACATTTTTGCCATGTAAATATATGTAGACTATATATCGAGTCGTATGTATGCATTGCACTTTTGCGCCAAGGACCTTCCGCGTCAGGGAAAGCTGGGCTCCACAGCGCCATGGAGAAGTCGATGGGTGCTCGCTGGACTTGTGAATCCTCCCCCAACTTCAGTCACCTCAGTCCCAGGGTTTAGGGTTTAGGATTTAGTGCTAGGGTATAAGGGCTTCTGACTGCGGAGGAAGATGGGATCAGCGAGAAACCGATTGTGCGTGCGTCTTTCATCAGTGTCTTGCAAGCTCCCAGGCTCTTGGGCCTTCAGACCGTGTACATATTCCGGGGCTTTCGACAAATCTGGCCTGCAGAATGCACGACTTGCTGTGAAGATTTTCACGCACCCGATGCATCGGATCTGCGTGTTCGAGCTGACCAAGCCACAACCTTCACGCATACTTCGAGGTCACCTGCAAAACAACACATGAACACACACAAGATCCCGAACCCAATGGCATCGCAGGTACCTTCGTGTGAACGAGGGCGACATCGTGGAAGTGCTGGAGACACTGGAAGCCGAGCACCCGGCCTGTTGAGGTGTAGGCGCCTCAATCAGGCTCTCAGTGGCCTGACTTTGATCGTTTTGCTGGCACATCTGGCACTTGAGGGCGGGGCAATTCTCCAAAGCATGTGCCCCCCCAAATGAGCCGGAGGGGGGGGGGGGGGGGGGCACTTCAAAGGGACTCGGACTCAACCAAACCCGAAACCCTACCCCTAAACCCACTTCAGCTTTTGTTGTTGTTCGCCTTTTCAAGCACCTGAAAAAAGTCCTCCTTGGCGCGGCCAGGGCCAGAACTCGTGGGTGCGGGGCCGAGCAAAACGCATAGGGTTTGGGGTTTAGGGCTTAGGGTTTAGGGTTTAGGAGTTTAACTCTTAGGACTTGTGCCAGCTACAGAGAGCGTCTGGGTTATTTGAGCATGCAGGTCATCATCCATGTCAGGCACTCTCATGACGTTTATCCTTCACTGAGCCCTGAAACTCCTTGAAAAGGGTCCATGTTCTGGATGTTCTGGTCGCAAAACGCCCCAAGGTGTGGGTCAGGAACACTGCAAGCGGACGCGACGGCGACGTCCCCGAGTCCGGAACCCGGCAGTTTTTTATAGTTGCTTTGTTTTTCTTCGGCCCGCACGGCTACATGCTGCCAGCTTGCAGGCAGGCACCCTGGCTTAAGGCGCACGCCTGGACACACAAATGCATGCTTGAAAGCCTGATCGCTTGCATGCAAGCCCTCTTGCACGGTCGGACGCCCGCGAACTGCGCGGTGTAGCTGAATTCGGGCTGGCCCTCAAGTTCATATCCGAGGAAAAAGCTGTGCCGAGAGCCTCAAACATCCTAAATACAAGAGCCCGCACAAAGAAGAAAACCTGGACCCTGATTCATATTCTGCAAAGGAACTACCCCCAGCGTGTTTGCCCAGGCACTGTCTGGACTGATGGCGGGCGCGCAAACCAGCGCCTGGCAGAGTTAAACAGGCTGCGCGCGGACTGGCAAAGCGGATGCTTTCTCAGGGCTTGTGCTGTCCGGCTCGAAGACCCCACGATCCTCTCTGGAGGCTCTTAACATCCAAGATGACAACAAGAAACCCCCTGGTAAAAGGACATTGATCAACCCTAAACCCTAAGGAAACCCCTATCAGTTCACTTGCTTCGCATCATGTCATTGAAACTTCTGGGGCCCTGGGATGGAGGTATGCCGGGGTCCTTTTTGGGGGGGCCTTCGACTTGGGGTTCAGGGCTACCCTATGAGTCCAGAAAGAAAGGGCTTAGGGGAGCTCAGGGTTCAACGATTTTTTGAGTGAACCTCGGCGTTTGGGGACTTCGGATTCGGTTCAGCAAGAGGGTGTGATGTTTAGGGCTTAGGGTTTAAGCCGGTGCGCTTCAGAACCCTAGCGATGGTCAGCAATGGGCTCAATGGCGGTGCTTGGCGGGGTTTACAGCAACAGAGTCCTACGCACAATTCTCAGCGCCTCAAAAAAAGGGGAGCAGCAGAAGAGGCGCCAGCAATTCTGTTCATCCCTAAACTAGGTGAGCTGAAGCCCCTAAACAGACAGAGACCTTTTGCGACCACCCCCAAACCCCTTTTTTCCGGCCATGGCCCTGGAGCTGGACGAGGTGCGGTCCAAGCCGCTGCTGGAGTGGCCTGACTCGGTTGACGGGAGGTTTTTTGGGGGATGCTGGGCGAACGCGCCTTTAAAGAAGATGCTACTTTCGGTAGGCCTGCTGGCGCATAGCAGTGCAGCAGGGTGTGGCAAGCGTACGTTTGTGTAGTGTATTACTGTGGATTCTAGCACAGTCAGGTACAGTCCAGGGGTACGGTTGTTGAGGAGGCTCGAGATCTTGTGATTCTTTCTTGCTTTGGGGCTTAAGAAGATGTGCCTGGGCACTTCATTGCGCCTTGGTGTGCCTGTAACACACCTTGTCTCAAGGCCCGGTGGCTCCGAACCCCAGCCACCAGCCAAGGCCCACTTGAGTTCAGTGATTTCAGTGAGTCAGGGTTGTGCTTGTTGGATTTGGGAATGATTTCGGGAGGGTTTGGATCTCAATGATCTTTGGAAGCATGTGGGGATTAAATGCGGGCAAGGGGGTCACGCATCCCTGAAACTCTTCAAGCCTGCAGGGCGGGAAGACTCCAGGAGAGTGAAGATGAGGGAATTCGACCCTTTCCTGAAACTACCCGGTCCCAGAGAGAACCTTTCCACAACGAAAGAACAACATGACGCTGACCTGTGCGCGTAGAATGAAACCCAGTCCAGAGAGGATGAGGGACAGACAGAAAGAGGGATTTGAGCTAGAGAAACTGGTGTTCTGGGAGCTAAGCTTCTGGGGGGGGGTAGAGGTCTCGAGATATCAGGGTTCGCTTGCTGGGCTTCATCGCATGCTTCACGTCTGGCTTTGCAACTTCTGGCAAGGAAGCCAGAGCTTTGCAAGGAGGTGGACCGGACAAGAGTGCTGGCGGCTTGGGGATGCAAGCCGAAAGTCAGACAGAGACCCAGAGAAACACGGCAGAGCGCGCAGCAGCCGAGCAACGTGGCCAGATGATGCCAGATGTGGAGGAAAAGAGACTTCCTGAGTAGAGAGCGTTGAAGCCAAGAGCAAGGAATGGGAAGACGCTGCGAGAGACGATGCAGGAGGCCTCTTAGAAGAACAGACTTCGATACCACCATCTCAAGACGAGCGTTATGAGAGTGCGATCTTCTCTAGTAGCTTCGGTTGTGGGCTTCGGGATGCTTAGGGTGAGTTGGGCCTGGGCTGCTTGACTGAAGGACAGCCAAAAGAATGCTGGTGCCGGCGCCAAAGAGGAGTCGAGGTGCCACCCCCCCCCCCCCCCAAACTTTGAGGGGAGGGGATGTGCTTTGTCGAGCACGGCATCATTGCGCATTTTTTGAGCCTGGCCGACTTAGACCCCACAAATGTCCGGGAATAATCCGATGGTTTTTGACCTGATGTCACATATGGCCAAGCGTTGCCAACCTCAACATAAAGGGTTTTGTCGCATTGCCTCTTCGTGCCTCTTCTTTGTTGGCCCAAACCCTTCCCGAAGCCTGCCAGGCGCCAGTGTGAGACTCGAAGCATGTCGAAGCCTTCAACCCTAAACCCTCAACCCTCAACCCTAAACCCTCAACTCAGCCGTACATGGGCTTCAAAGAGACTTCCAGGACCTCGGAGCAGTCCTCTACCTCGGCCCCAAGCGCTGCCTCCTGCATCCCACGTATGGCTATGGCCGGAGAGGCCCTCTTGGTCCATTCTAGGGGTGCAGTGGCGAGCTTTCGGGGTCCGTTGCGTTCGGTTTCGTTCGGGGGTGGTCGCGCAAGTGGCCCGTTCTCGGGTGGCTCTTCAGACTCCAGCCCTGTGTCAGTGGGCGACTTCTCCTTCTGAGTACTAGAGCAGGCACTGATGGAATCTGATGGAAGGAGAAGGCCAGATGCATATCACCTTCTAGGCGATGAGGGGGACATGGACAAGTGATCCGGGGCTGGGAAGCTCATCCTGGAGTGCCCCCCGAATCCTGAGATACCCCCTCTCGCGTTGAGGACACTGGGCGCTCCGACGGCCCCCTGCGGGTAACGCACGTGAGGGTCCGGGCCTTGGTGTTCGGCAAGATCGTGGGAGGGCGCCGGGGCTCCTTTTCATCACTCCTAAACCCTAAACCCTAAACCCTAAACCCTAAACACTTCTTGGGGGGGGCCGTGGCTCTTGTTTGCCGAGGGTCCGGGCTCTGGGGCACGTGGGCTTTGGCCAATGGCACACCAGCCATGCATCTCCACACGTACATACCCCGCGTACTTGCAGTGGAAACAGCTTCGTCCGAAAGCACAGTTACCATGGTGCCATCAGTGCCCTCTCACCAGTTCCGGCCTTAACTGGAGCACGGGCCTTCCCAGACCCCCAGCCTAGAGGTCCAACAAAGCATCCAAGAATCCATATAAGCTGGTGTTTTCTTGTGGAGCCCATGAAACCTTTCTTTTGAAAAGAGCAAGGTCGAAGGCAAGACCACGGTGCAGCGCATCGAGCTGACGTACAGCGATGGCTCCCTGCAGCTCTGCCGTTTCAGAATCGGGTGTTTCTCGGGTCAGTTCCAGGATTCTCCCCAGGCGTTCCGAGGGCGCGTGGGCTTCTTTTTAGAAAAAGGCATCTACGCGCAAGAAGACGTGATTCTGTAAGTAGTTTGTTTAAAGCTTTCTTTGCAACCCGCAGCCTGCGCCCACGGCGAAGGTGGGCTATGGGCCCGCCCCTGGCCGGCGCCAAAAAGCAGGTGAAGAACAAAAGGAGAGAGACACGCAAGAGCCGACGTGTCAGTCTTTTCAGGTTGCTTTGAAAGTCCCCTGGCTTGCTATTGCCCATCTAAAGTTCCCCTCCCCCACCCCCCCAGACCCCAAAAAAAGAAGAGAAGCCACAATGAAGCCCAACTGTGCCCCGGAGGAAGATCGACGATGGCGTGAAGATCATGGCCCCTTGGGCTGTGAGTGCATTGAAGAAGCCTCCGTTGCGACAAGCTGCCCTTGTGCTTGGTGCAGTAGGGGCTCCGGCGCCGCAAGTCCTGCAAGCAGATTCTGGCGGCTGTGGACACGAAGTCACTTGTGATAACTTTGCCAGTGCAAGCTGCTTGGCCTCGTCCATCTTCGCAGACTCCCTTCCTGAGGTCTTAAGTGATGACGAGACCTGGCAGAGCGAAGTTTCTTGAGCATCTTAGGCAAGAGCACAGCTGAGAGAGTCGCAGAAAGCTGCTATCAAAGCTGCTATCAGAAATAGCCATCAACCGAGTGGCCTTGCTGCGCAAAGCATGCGACCGCAAAGGATTAGCCAAAGCCGCTCAATTTGTGCATCCCCACCAAAGCCCTTGGCTGCAACGTCTGTCAAAGCTTCAACCGAGGAGTTCATCACCGTTGCTTGGCTGACTTTTGCCACTGTGAAACTGCAGCTCGTGCTCCCTACTTGTGACTGTCAAACTGCTATGGTGAATGAGCTCTGCAACAGAGGCACAGGTCCTGGTTTCTCAAGAATCAACCATGTTAGGACCCCCTATGCTCGGACAGTGTCTTGCCCCCACAAAGTTTACACACAGCTGGGGTTTGTGGGCCTTGGATGGCTTAGAGAACCACCGGCTCGAAGTGGAGCCGTTGCGCGAACTCATTGTAAACGCTTAAGCCACGGGACGTGCGTGTCAGCGGGGTCTGCGCGGTCGGCCTGCAGATACAGAAAGCGGCCGTGGGTCGAGGACAAAGCCACGAAGAGAGGCCGACCCACAGACCCGAAATGAGAACCCGCAGTATGAGTCCTTTGGATTGCCAGAGGAGGGTACCGACTCAGGGTGCACTGGCTGTTTACGCTTGTGCGCCTGCTACCAAGCGATGCCTGTGTAGACTGGCTAGGGGTAGGAGTTCTTCTGGCGACCTGTTTTTCTCGCCGTGGGGACCAGTCCACAGGCTGAAGCCCCCCACTGCATCGAAGGGACAACTCAGGGGAGGTGGAAGGCCATGACTTTGGGCAGAAGGGTGCCGGAAGGCCAGGATGCTGTGGGTTGGAAGTTGCTACGGTATCTGTATTTGGGTCGTCTCAGGAATCATGTCAGAAGCCAGAGATCTTAGATCTCTAAATTTGCACTGCTTCCAATGCTTAGTGTAGGACTGGCTCCACCCCGCACGCCGCTTTGAGCAGCAGACTGCGAACGCTTTGCCGAGGAAGTGAAGCATGAGCCCTTGCTCCAGTGGTGGTGGGTTGGCGCAGCGCTGGAGCTTCGAACCAACAAAGGCAGCTCTCCCGCCGATAGGAGGGGGGAGTTTAGGAGTTTGGGACCTTTGGGCCGAAGGCTTCCCCCAATAAAGAGAGTGCACCGACGCCTCAGACTCAGGTCGCTCACTTCAGGCCTGTGGCACCTGGTCCTCGGGCTTCGAGGCAGAAGCTTCCCCCCCAGATAGGATTTGGTGTGATTTTGGGGTCGGCCAGGGTGTAGGGGCGGGGTTTTGGCAAGACTGGAGTTGCATGTGCCATGCACCCCAAGCCAGCCCTATAGGAGTAGCCAGGAGAACACGGAGGTGTTCACAGCTTCACCCGGCTGCGCCGTTCTTGGTCTACGCCTGCACAACGGGCGCCACTCGGTCACGTCCCAATGCCCGAGCTTGCTCTCCAAAACCCTGAGTGCTTTGCCATGTTCTGACTGAACTAGGACTCAGCATGACTCAGCCATCGGATCCAGCTCCCTTGGTTTTTCTGCTCACGAGCTAGGTCTTTGAGCTTGGGGATCTTAGGGGCTGGCTGATTCATTAGAAACTCGAGCCAACGGCATGCAAGCCTCAGGAACCTCCGCCACCAGACCCTGATTGTCGTGTACTTTGGAATATTTTTACCAAGGATGCCATGGAATCATCGAGGGCCCTGCTCCCGAGGTCGACGAACTCGAGCTGACACGTGGCCGCCTTCACATAGGCTACAGCATGTTATCATAGCACCGAGGTCCTCGGTGTCGGGGTACGTATGTTCTTGTGTTTACATATGTGCCCCCCCCCCCCAGCTGTAAGAAGCTTATCGGAAGTCATTGAAGGGCAGTATCAGCCGCATGCTTTCATTCGAGCCTTCTAAAAGATCTCCTGAGGAAGCTTTGGGCCGTGTACTGGTTGGCGGAGGGCAGCGCCGATGACGACATCCAAAGCCGAAACTTCGTAGGCCAGGGATATGCAGTAGGGTTGAGGGTGTGTACAACGAATGGCAGCGAGGGCTAGAGTGTCGACTGGCCTTGCCGCGCATGCTAGAAGCTGGCCGAGACCTGCTTCTGGGGTATAGGCACTCGATCATGAAGCAGAAGTCGAAGCTAGGGCCTGAATTAACCCCAAGCCCTGGAACCCAACAACCGAGAACCCTTAGAAAAGCACTCAAAAAGAAGCTCCAAGCCAGGGCGGGAGTCCGCTTTCAGCTTCGCCGAGCGCGTCGGCGGCGGCCACGAAATGGCTTGGCAGTGCGGACCGCTAAAGCTCCTTGTGGGCGGTTTAGGGTTTAGGGTTTAGGGTTTACCCTGCCCCCTTAAAAAATGCTTACGCAAGTTTTGCGAGCACCCTCCAAGCCCCAAAACTTTGCAGCGCTCGATCCTTAGTTCAGGGGGAGGCTGGCCATCTTTCTCTCTTCACCGCTGAAGCACTTGGAAAGCAAGTCAAGCAACCTCCCTCCCTCCCCCCCCCCCCACAGGAGCATGCCTACACCTTGCTGCTGTTGTTCCTCTATGAGGATCCTCTTGGGGCACCCCCTACTCGTCTCGAAATCCTCGAGAAACCCCCTAAACCCTAAACCCTAAACCCTAAACCCTAAACCCTAAACCCTAAACCCTACTCGTCCACCCCCTTGAAGCTGTCAGAGCCAAGCTGCCATGCCCAGGTTGTCCATCTCCGACCACCCCTGGTTGGACTCTTTGTCATAGTGTGGTAACATTTTGCATCTTAAAAAGCGTACTTTAAGGGTACTTAAGGTCAATAATTCCCAGAGACTCCAAAACCCCTTAGTTAAGGAATAGACCTTAAACCATATTAGGGTTCCGACTATATTTTAAGGTCTATTCCTTAATCAAGGGGTTTTGGAGTCTCTGGGAAGGAATAGAAATTTTACAATTCTAATACTAAACCCTAAACCCTAAACCCTAAACCCTAAACCCTAAACCTTATCCCAACCATGAACCAGGACTGCTGCCGGGACCTCCGCGAGTTGCTTCAGCCGGCGCGGCTCGCAGCCTTGGAGGTGGGAAGTCTCCCCCCCAACGTGCGCTTTTTTTTCTTAGGGTTTAGGGTTTAGGGTTTAGGGTTTAGGGTTTAGGGTTTAGGGTTTAGACGTCCGCACGCCCCCGCTTCTCCCCTCTTTCGAGGCTCGTGAGGTGGCATCGCAGAACGAGTCCTACGTCGAGTTTGCCACGGGGGAGCGCTTCGCCGCAGGCGGGGCCTATGCTCGGGCTCCACTGCCGCTCTCCCTCGAAAACCCGGGCGCCTACAGATCAAGCTTTGTGATAAGACCAGAGACTCCAAAACCCCCTAATTAAGGAAGATACCTTAACATATAATCGGAACCCTAATATGATTTAAGGTACATTCCTTAATTAAGCGGTTTGTGGAGTCTCTGGATAAGATCGGACTTCCTAGACGTTTCCAGTCCAAAGGCGCGCTCCTGGATATTCGGGGGTCGTTCCCGTCACGGCCCGTCACGCAATTGACAGGCATCGTGCTGGACTTGGTCAAGACCTCGCGCGTCAAGGCCGAAGCAGAATGCAAAGGAGTACGGGCTAACATGGGCTAACTGAATGTACTCAGAGACTCCAAAACCCCTTAATTCAGGAATATACCTTAAAATGTAATAGGAACCCTAATATGGTTTAAGGTACATTCCTTAATTAAGGGGTTTTGGAGTCTTGGGTGTAGGGGTGGCAAATGCGTGGCATTTGCTGGTGAGGCCTGGGGGCCTCACGCCCGGCGCAAGAAGTGTGAGGAGCTGGCGGCCGAGACTCGGCAAAGCCTGAAGTTCTCTGGTTCGAGAGAGGAGGGGGGGGAGACCATGTTTTGCTGGGGGTGTATAAACCCTAAACCCTGAACCCTGAACCCTAAACCCTAGTAGTCCTGCCAACACGCCCCACCCTCGGCCCAGCCGAGCCGTGCTCAGATCTCCCGAAACCTTGATGAACCCTTCAGCCTGGAAGCCTGAACAACCTTTGAGACCCGTGGTTTAGGGTTTAGGGTTTGGGGTTTGGGGTTTAGGGTTTAGGGTTTTCAAATCCCACCCAGTTGCCAAGAGTTTGGACGTCGTACCGACATTGCTACCCTGCGGTGCGGCTGGTCTTCCTGGCGGGAAGGGGTCTTTGCCTTGGGTCCAAATGGGTTTGTGGGGGGGGGGGGGGGGGAGGGGGGCATCCATAGAAGGCATTCAGCATTCAGTCCGGGTCCCATAAAGCGGGGGGGGGGGGGGGCCGGTTTGTTACTTTTTTCCACCTCCTGGCAACCTCTCCTTAAAGCATGCCTGTCTCGCTTGAATGATTCTTGCGAGGTGAGTTGGCAAGACTAAAGGCTTGTTGTCATGCCTCCAGTCGAATTTTCGAGCAAAGTGTGTAGCTCCTGCAGTGCGTCTTTACAGTCAGCCAGCCAGGCGGCACAAAAAAAAAGCAAACCCAACTCAAAACCAGTACACATCCTCCCGGTCGGTATTTGGGCCGCCTGAGAGCTGCTCTTTTGCAATGTTTGCTGAGTCGCCTGTCGGGTCTCCTGAGGAGCAAGGTCAGTTCAACCTCAAACGCTGGCGCGACATGTCCGTCTCCTTCGCGGAGATCGTGCACAGAATACAGCCGGGCCCCAACACCACTTCCTGGCATGAGCTTAAAACTGGTACTTAACGGGTTTAGGATTTAAGGGTTTAGGGTTTAGGGTTTTGGCATTTATCTGCTTCTGCCACCGCTGATGCATGTGAAAAAATGGAGGGTGTTCAGTTCGAGAAGGCGCGCCGAGTAACATGTATGACCCGTGACTTTCAGCAAGAGCTCCGAATTTAGCTACCGTCCTTTGTCACTTCCCGGCTTTGCACGCCCAAACTCCCAAGAGCCAGACAGAGAGAGAGAGAGAGAGAGAGCTCTTGCCCTAAACCCTAAACCCTTTGAGCTGCCTGTGTTAAGGTCGGTGAAGCCGACGCTCGCCCGCCTGGTAGCCATGATGGATTTGCGAAGGCACCTTTTCAGGACTGGGCACATGCTGGGAAATGCCTTGCAAGCTTGAACACTAACTAAGACCCAGAGTAGGCCCTTATTCTAGGGTTTTGGGTGCCCCTATGGCCCCTTTTAACCGAAAAAAAGGGGCACCCATTTTTTCCCTTTTTTCCTAGGTTACTTCTCGGTCTAGCTAAACGGCCTCTGGGCCGGCCTAAAAGGGATGCATACTTGCAGGAATTTTCGGGCTCTAGACCTTAGAATCGCCAGGACGCTGTTCACAGCAGCCATTGCAGCAGTCATGAGCACCTGTGACAGCGTGACTTGACCTGTGTGGAGCACGGTGAAGTTGCCTTGGTTCCTGTTCACACTTCTAGAAGGACTTTTCAGGGGAGCAAGTTTGCACTGCAATTACACCTCACGGTTTAGGGTTTAGGGTTTAGGGTTTAGAGAGGCACCATAGTTCTGCCAGCAGCCGTGCCAGGTTTCGAAAGACCTCGCATTGCCCTCAATCCTGAAAGAACTCGGGCTGCGTAGCATCATGCCTACGACTCATGCTGCCCTCGATTCTTGCGCATGTGGGCCTTTTGCCGCTTCCGAATGTGGGGCTGGGAGCTGTGGAGGCTTCGGCTCATGTTTCAGATACAATTAAACCCTAAACCCGAAACCCTAAACCCTAAACATCCTCAGGTCAAGACGGTGCTGTCTGGTGCCGTGTTCACGCTGATCAACGCCAGCGCTCAGCCGGCAGACTCGAGCATCCTTATTTCGGAGGTAGGAGGGCCGTAATATGGTTAGAATGGGGTCTAGGGTTTAGGGTTTAGGGTTGGGCCCAGCCATATCACGCAGCCATTTAAGTAGTTTTGAGTTTGGTTGAGCAGGGGAGTATGGGAGAATTGGGGGTAGGATGCCGGGGAGCGGAAATGGAAGCTGCACAAGAAGACTGACGAATCAAAATCCCTGGTACAATGTGCACAACATTTTGAGCCGATCACAGAAGAACGCATCTCCGCACAAGCTGCAATTCAGGATTGTGCTTTGCACCCCACGGCGTTCGGCACATGAGCCACAGTGCCTGAGGTGAAGAGGAAGTGAAGAAAGACAGTCAGTACCTTCATGTCATCTGCTCCTGGACCTTTGGCTGTGGATCTCGCACCTTGGCTTGCAACGATGATGCAACGCGTTGGTCTTAGTCCCCACCATGGAACCGAGGCGAAAGGAAGGGGGGGGAGCCTGAAAAAGTAGTGCGAGTTGGAAGTCCTACATTCCACAAGGGGGCATTGGGAGTCGGAAGCCCCAAACCCTAATTCAAAGCAGGTACAGGTAGTGCGAGAAAATTTCAAGGAGGGCATGGGAGCTCGAGTACGGAAATTGAGCCGATGTGAAGAGCTGCAGCGAGCGTTGAGTCAGGGAATTCGCGAGGGCAATGTGAGAGTGCGACGCATAGCATGAAGCGCCTATAAGGTTGACGAACCTATATGAGCTGTGTGTTGGGTGCTGGTGCGATGTGGCCTATGTAAGGGGAGGGATAAAGGTATGGATGGTGGGATGAACGCGTGAACGCACGTGATGCACGAACGGAGAAACAGCTGAGAGTAAGCAAGAACCCGAAGGAAGACACCAGCAACGACAAAGGGCCCACAAGGGGGGGTGGGGGGAGCGCTTCCACCGGATCTTGGCCCGCTTCTAAGGACTGTCCTTGGCCAAGAGCTTGATCTTGGGCCTGATGTTGCCGCTGAGCAGTTGTTTGGGCATCTGGGTTCGATGCGGTTGAATGTGTGGAGCTTGTGGCAGAGTCGAGGCCTCTTGGTCTGTGTAGAATTTGTTCAGGAGCCCTTCGGAGCCTGGATGTAACAGGAGTCTCTGAGTCTCCTCTTCCACTCTTAGGCAAGCAAGCTTCAAGGGGCCTAGGTTGTGGGAAGATAGGATGCCACTGCAAGCAAAGAGACCTTAAGTCGAGACCTGAGGTCACGTGAAAGTTTTGTGGGAGGAAGTTTTGACACAGAAGACTTCTCTGGGAAGCTCCCCCTCTTTCTCTCTATCTCTCCATCTCTCTATCTCTCTCTCTCTCTCTCTCTCTCTCTCTCTCTTGTTTTGGGGGAAGGGATGGAGGGGGGGTGTAGTGTAGGGGTGTGGAAGCCCGCTTTGTGTGAGCGCCTTCTTTTTAAGGCTGGCAATCCTGAAGGGCACCGTCAACGTGGTGTCCCAACACGTGGCCAAGGCCTTCAAGGACTCGGCTCCGGGTTGTGGCGATGCATGGGTTTTAGGGTTTAGGGTTCAGGGTTTAGGGTTTAGGGTTTAGGGTTTAGGGTTTAGGGTGTCCAAAAAGTTTAGGTGACAAAGTTGGGAAAGCTGCGCAGCAAACAGGACTCCTACCGCGTGCAGACTCGGACCGAGCTCTTCGACCACCTGCTCGCCCAGGATTTGGTCACCAGGCTGTGCTAGGGGTTATATAGGGTTCAGGGTTCAGGGCTTAGGGGTTAGGGGTTAGGGGTTGGGTTGGGGACTGGGGTTGAGGCCACGAAAAAGCAGCTTGAAGCTCTGGATGCCTGTGGGTTTCACTGTGTCTGCACGCCCAGGAAGAGTTCGAGAAGCAGACCACCCGAGTAATGGCACACAAAGCTTCGCCCGTGGTTCTTTTGCCGCACATGCTTGATGTGGGAGTTTCAGAAGCTATGATTGCATTGACATGATGCGCTGCGAATACCAGGACCACAAAGCCACCTTAAACCCATCCAGACTCCAAATTGGGCCGAGTACAGGAGACAAGGGCTTTACAGAGTGCAAGGGGCGTCGTTGTTGGAATTGTTGATGTCGGGCCTTGTATGGAAGTCATTGCTTCAGATCAATTTGCCAACGGACAGCAGATGGCAGATGGCCTTCCTAGCCCACATTCTGCACAGGTCGTGTCTGTCAACATGGGTGCAAGGGTGCAAAAGGCTGATGCAGTCCGCAACGCACAGAAGACTCATCCATAAAACGCCGCCTGGTTGGGCTGTAAGATTCCTATAACTGCCGGGGCGGAAGGTGTTCGAAAAAGAGCACTGTTATGCAGAAGTATCACTAGGCAGAGTAAAGAGCTCAAAGCCGGTTTCAACACCCAAGGTCATGGACAGCATGCCAAACATGGTGACGAACATGGTGCGCACCGTTACCGAGTTGTTGACGTTGCTTTGGTTGCAGTTTACGGCCTGGGCTGTCAAAGAGGCTTCTGAGTTGTGACGAATTGTGGGGCGGTGTAAGGGTAAGTTCAATGCACCGCGCCGAAGAGTTCGTGGGCGCACAGCAAGGTCGCTCATCTTCCTCTACTCGATGCTGGGACTGCACCTTCAAGGCTTCTCAATGCTGGGGGGGAACATTTGGGATCACTGCGGCAGGGCTGCTCCCTGGTACTGGTTTTGTTGTGGGCTGCTCTGCATTCGGATCCCTTTTGCTACCCTTCTAGCAGGCTCCTTTTGACAAAGGGAATTGTTCGGAGACCCAGCAAGATCAACCCCTCCCCCCCCTCCCCCCCCTGCTCGCCCTCTGAGGTTTGTTCGGTGCGGTGGGTCGGGGGGCAGTTGAAAAGGCTTTCCCTTTGGTTGCACGCGCTTGAAGTACTCGGCTGGTTCTAGCCAGGTTGCATGCAAAGAAGCTCATGTCACCGCACACAACGATGGGCACAGCTTTGCTTGCAGCAAACTGCCACTGCGCTGGCTTACACAAGGAACCTTGCTGCACCGTGTGACCGACATAGATATTGAGGATTTCGCCGCTGATGACCTTCATGTATGCCACCGCCGTCCCTGCATTTCAAGTGGCAGCACAGGCCTACCTCAGCTGCCCGGCAGCAACGCAACATGATGCTGTCCTGTGCTGTCCTTACGCGCAAGCTTACCAGTCAGCCCTTCACCTCCGAAGCACGGCCTCAGGAAAGCAGGCCCAGGGCAGCCAGCGGCGCGAGCGGGGCCTCGAGAACGTGGCGAATCGCGTTGTCGGAGAGGCCTGTGAGATGATCAAGGTGGACTCTTGCCTGAATCAGTCGAAAAAACAGACATAAGCCTATCGCCCCGCAAGGCCCATCAGCGATGTGCCATGCCTCGTAGCTCAGGGTATTACCCAGTCTAGGAACCGCTGCTGCGGGGACTGCAAGCACTAGGGTAGCGCCTTTCCCTTGCGAGCATAGCAAAGGTCAAGACGTTCTCTCGCGAGGTGGGTGACCACTGACAGCCCAAGATCTGTGCAGAAACCTGAGACGGCCCGAGGCATCCTAAGGCAGCCCCGCCTTTAAGAGGTAGCTTTAAGCACATGCAGGGGCTCTCTCGGGGCCAGGATGTTGGATGTACGGTCTTTGCACTGACTGAACCAGCCACAATCATGCACCTCAAGCTTTCGGAGTACGTTTTCTGGCTTCCTGGGGCTAGTTCTCAACCCTAAACCCTAAAGCCTAAACCCTAAACCCTCTCTACCCTGAACCCCACGCCTTGCGACAGGACTGGTGCCTGGGCCCGCACTTAGTCTGCTGCAAAGCTTCTTGCTGACTGGAGTCTGTTCGCAGCAAGAACCGAGTCCTCAGGAGCGACACCGTGAGGTCAAATCCCCGTCACTTAAGGGGCCTCTCTGTGTCTCTGTGTCTCTGTGTGTGTGTGTGTGTGTGTGTGTCTCTGTGTGTGTGTGTGTGTGTGTGTGTCTCTCTGTGTCTGTGTCTGTGTCTGTGTCTGTGTCTGTGTCTGTGTCTGTGTCTGTGTCTGTGTCTCTGTGTGTGTGTGTGTGTGTGCGTGTGTGTGTGTGTGTGTGTGTGCGTGTGTGTGTGTGTGTGTGTGTGTGTGTGTGTGTGTGTGTGTGTGTGTGTGTGTGTGGTGTGTGTGTGTGTGTGTGTGTGTTGTGTGTGTGTGTCTGTGTGTCTGTGTGTCTGTGTGTGTGTGTCTGTGTGTCTGTGTGTCTGTGTGTCTGTGTGTCTGTGTGTCTGTGTGTCTGTGTGTCTGTGTGTTGTGTGTCTGTGTGGTGTGTCTGTGTGGTGTGTGTCTGTGTGGTGTGTGTCTCTGTGGTGTGTGTCTGTGCGGTGTGTGTCTCTGTGTGTGTGTGTGTGTGTCTCTGTGTGTGCGTGTGTGTGTGTGTGTGCGTCCTGTGTGTGTTGTTTGTGTCCTGTGTTTGTGTGTCTGGTGTGTGTATGTGTCTGTGATGTGGGTGTGTGTGCTGTGTGGTTTGTGCTCTTGTGTTGTGGTGGTGGTGTTGGTGTCTTGTGGGTGGTGTGCTTGTTTGTGGGTGGCCCTGTGTGTGCTGTGGTGTGGTGTCCTGTGTGTGTGTTGTGTTCTGTGTGTGTGGTGTGTGTCTGTGGGTGTGTGTGTTGTGTCCTAGTGTTGTGTGTGTCTGTGTGTGTGTTGTGTGAGTGTGTGTCTCTGTGTGTGTCTGTGTCTGTGTGTGTGTGTGTGTCTTTGTGTGTGTCTTTGTGTGTGTGTGTGTGTGTCTGTCTGTGTGTGTGTGTGTGTGTCTCTGTGTGTGTGTGTGTGTGTGTGTGTGTGTGTGTGTGTGTGTGTGTGTGTGTGTGTGTGTGTGTGTGTGTGTGGGTGCGTGCGGGTGTGTGTGTGTGTGTGTGTGTGTGTGTGTCTGTGTCTGTGTCTGTGTCTGTGTCTGTGTCTGTGTCTGTGTGTGTGGGTGTGGGTGTGGGTGTGGGTGT